GTTATTTTATTAGCTACACTAAACTAAAAAACGAATACAGTTCTGAGGTAATTCTACATTTATTAATGTCTAACTGTTTTAAAGAGGTGTTGATTCAACTGTATTATCATGTTTGAGGCTGCAGTTTGTGGTGCTGTTGAGCCTAAACTCATTTCTATCAGTGAGAAAAGGCTGAATAACAGAAACACCTGTGAGTATAATGCATTACATTCAACTGCACAACAAACCCAGGCTCGTTTTCCAGTCGTGGAAACATCTGGGAAATGTATTAAAATAACCAAATATTCCATAAATAATCTCTGTTGTCCTGGAAAAAAATGTATTCTTACTCAGATTACCTCCGTAAACCTCGGTTAGAGGAAGTGTCCCATAAACGCAGGCCACCACCTAACTGTTAAATTCATTAAAAAAGAGGAATCAAACTGATAAATGTGTCAATACATACGCCCACTGTCAAGCAAGCGCTGTCCTACTACTACATCCTCCAAAAATCATAATCATCATACGGTTGAACCAATAACTCTAAAACAAACGTCATAAATGTAGATTTTTATTGCAGGTCTGTACCTTCTATAAACTGACAAGTGAGTGTAAACTGATATAGTTTGACAAGAAGTACAAAGACTTGTGTTTGTGTTTTTAGATTTACAGCCGTATAGCGATGATTATTGTTTATTGCCTGACAGCAGATCCCAGAAAAGACATAAACACCTGAATTTAACACGAGTAACATCAGTGCGACTCTCCGGTTTTAATGGTAAGAGTTTTGTATTTTCACCGTTTTAATTTAAACGATTCCTCCTTTCCAGCACGGCGTCTTGTCCAAGGAGTTTGTGGAGCTGATGGGTTACTGTAACACCATCCAGGCCCAGTACAGAGACCGCAACGTGGAGAGAATACAGCGGCAACTCAAAATCAGTGAGTAACAGGAAGCGGGTTCGTGGTTCGTGGGTTGATCGCTTCCACCTTCGCTGCGGCCGTTCGGTGTGGCGGACTGCAGGTTGCATCATTTGTCTCATGACATTTGTCACATGTCCTCGTTCTTGGTCTCGGTTTCTACTGTACACACTATGTTCCTTTACGTTGGCATGAGTCCATCCAATTTATTTAATTATTGGAAAGTAAAAGAATGTGAATCGATTGATTATCGATGGGTGAACAGACACTGGAGGGTTTAAATTGTCACCCGTGTGTATCACAAGTCACAAAAACTTTAACAAGGAGAAATTAGAAGTTAAATGGTTGTAGAGCTGCAAAGATTAATCAATGAATCAGATAGTTTAAATCATTTTTCAAGCAAAAATACCAAAACATTTGATTGTCCAGGGTGTCAAATGTGAGAATTTGCTTTTCTTTGTTGTGGTAAATTGAGTATTTCTGAGTTTTGGACATTTAATAAATGTTTTTATGAACATAATAATATACAAACATTCAGATCAGCAAAGAAAATAAATAAATAAAGAACATAAAGTGAATAGTAAATTAAAATAAATATATAAAAACAAGCAAATTATTCTAGCCTAAATGTTCAATGGAGAATAGTTTCCAGATAAATCAGAAATGAATATTTTATAATAATAAATAATAATTAACTACAGAGAGAACCACATACTGAAGCTTCAGGGTCTCTCCAGAAACATTTTCTCTAAACATAAGCGTCTCTCTCTCTTTAGCTGGGACCAATGTGACCGACGAAGAGCTGGATACGATGCTCGAGAGCGGGCAGACGGATGTTTTCACCCAAAACGTGAGTACAAACGGCGGGCGGAGATGAAAGGAGGCGCGGCAGCAACGTGACTGTCGGAAACCACAACTCCTGCTGCAGCGAAGCACGTTGACAGCTGCAGGTGTTTCCTCTCGACCTCTGTATGGCAGCAGCAGCAGCAGCTCTGACTTTAAGCTGCATACGTATGAAATGATGACAGCTTTGTTCTGTTGTAGCTTCTCTAATTGCTCAAACTGGACTACAGATTTGGTAAGCATTGGCAAAGAAAGTCACCTGCAGCCCCTAGAGGTGTTAGTGTCTGAGTAGTTCATAGTGTGAAGACTCCTGCTGGCTTTTAATGTGCTTTAACCTACTTTGTACTCCTGCTTGGCTCCATTGAGTGTTTTGGTAACAATTAAATTAATGTTTAATTTACCCCAAAGAGACGTTTCCCACTAAAAAAAAGTTTGTCCAAAGGTAATTTCAAAGTCCAGTGTGTAGCAAGAGTACAGTAGCCCAGAACGGACAAACCAAACACCGGCTCCAGAAAGGGTCTTTCAGGGTTTAACAGCTGTAGTTTGGTCTTTTAAATGAGGCTCAAAGAGGTAAAAGTGTCCAATATTGCACAAAAAACAGCAAAAGTGAGAGAAATGTCCGAAAAATACAAGATAGGAGCATTTATCAGTCATTTACTGTACATTTAACTCTCACTTAAGACTTGTAATTGAGTATTTTTTAACCAAACTTAGATGTTTTGTTGATTATGGCGCCCCCTGTGGACAAAAGCGGTAGTGTCTCCTTTCATTTGCATTACAGACATTAAGAATAACAGTAAAAACAGCCAATCTAGAGGCCTCAGTGTTTAAATTAAGACTCCTTGTAGTTTGTTTACTTGGTAGTTCGTCCACCTCTGGTCTTAGATGAAACCCTGAACCCTCATGTTGGATTTGTTGTCCATATTGAACCTAACACACACATCCGCCCTGCGCTACACAGATCCTGATCGACGCTAAAGCCACGAAGCAGGCCCTGAACGAGATCGAGTCCCGGCACGACGAGATCCTGAAGTTGGAGAGGAGCATCAAAGACCTGCACGACATGTTCCAGTACCTCGCCATGGAGGTGGAGGCTCAGGTAACGCAAAGTTTGAACACTTCTGTCTGATTAATTCAACCGTTACCAACTAATCGCTGCAGCAGCTCCCGGTTCTGTCTGACTGTGTTTGTGCCTCCTGCAGGGGGAAATGGTTAACCAGATCGAAAACAACATCAAACTGTCTACAAACTACGTGGAGAAAGCGAAGGAGAACACAGAGAAAGCCGTCACGTATCAGCAGAAAGCTCGCAAGGTACAACTTCCTGCCTGAACTGCATGTTTTAGAGATTAGATAGAAAATAGACCTTTTTTTTCTGTGGATTTTGCACCAGTATGATTATGTAAAGGTACTCTGAAAGCTGCTTTCTTTAACTAATAACTCTATGAAAGAATATTTAAGTTAAATATTTACCACAGGCCATTTCTTCCCCACATTATTAACCATAAAAACCTTTTCTTATGAGGACATATCCGATAACGTACACAGATACCGATACGTCTGAGTAGATCAGCCGATCCTCTATTAGGATACAGAGTTGTGCTTCTTTTTTGGTGTCTTTAAGGTTTGCACCTGATTAATTTGTGTGTGTTTTTTTTAATTGATTTTTTTATTTATTTATGTTTTGTCTCTTCCAATGCAGAAAAAGATCTGGATCGCGATCTGTTTGGCCATCTTAATTCTCATCCTAGTCATCTCATTGGTCTCCACCTTCAGCACCTAACAGCAGGCAGTGTGAGTTGGCTGTAATTAGTTTGCCAGAAACCACATTCTGGCTTTGGAGAACCCCCCCATTGTTTTTCATGTATATACACCTTCAGCCCACAGGATGTACGGATGAATTAAGTCAGTTATATCATCCCTCTGCATTATTTTGTCTTCCTCTAACACACACACGTCTCTTCTAACTGGCTCTATTTGTTGTTTTAAAAGAAGAGATGTGCTCTCTGTTGTCTTAACTCACAAACAACTACAATCTTGCCTCCATTTCCACTTCCACTCAAGAGGGTAGTGCTGCTGGTTTATGGGAACCCCCCCCAACCTTTATCAGATAGATTCTGGTCTACAACATAAAGACCAGGACCCTTTGTGAACTGTTACGTCACTGCCCCCGCCCCCCCTGCTATATTAAAAAGAGGAAATGAGTGGCCTTGAGCAAAGCACAATGCAGTATTGAAACCCAACACTGGCGCTGATCATTACTGTACTCAGGAAAACTGTGCGTTGACTCTTACGTTGTTGTTTCTGGACGATTTGGAGGCTTCCTTTTTATAGGCATATATAGTAAATAGACTAATATAATTGTACATAACCTCTATTGCTGGTGATTAAGACTATTATGCAGATTTTTTTTTTCTTTTAAACTTGAGAAGTTAAACCTGTCTACATGTAACAATTGTAAATATTGTTTTTGGTGTGAAGCTCCGCCTGCCCCCTTCCTCCTTTTGTATTTCAAGTGTCTCTGCACTGCAGTAAAAAAAGGCCCACTTTTATTTGTCCTACCAGTTTGTATTTATGATTTGAACAGTGTTGTTTAAGCTGCTACGAGAAAAAGTTCTGCAACAACACGTGAAATGAAATTGTTTTCTTTCAAAAAATGGTGCCTTTCTCCTTTTTATGTCCACACGAACAGCTCGAGAACGTGATGTTGTGCACTAACATTGTCAAGAAGGGATGGAGTGAGTTTTTATTGTTTATATAAATGTTTGAATCCACACTGCAGTGTTCCAGCTTTTAGTCTGACACATACACGCTCATTACTTTTTAATTTTTCTTCACCCGTTTGTCACATTGTGCAACGTCTCAGTTTTTGTTTTTTTGCTAGATTTAGTAATTTAATAAAGTTTTAATGCTGCAGGGAAATCCTGGAATCGAGTAGTAGCTGCTGCGCCGCCACAATGTGACAAATCTGTAAAGAAAAATGAACCAAAAACTGTTTGTTAGACGCTGTCCGGGTCCTCGTCTGCTTTTGGAAAAGGCCGACGGAGGACCTCTGCTACTGTTTGATATTACAGCTGTTCGATTTTTTTTGCACCACTCATTTTAATCTAATTTGTTTTTAAAATAAAATACTGTCACGTTCTATTATTGTGTGTTTGTCTTGAGCTTTTTTTGTTTGTTCATTAGAATCTTTAAAACAAATTCGTAATAAAAAACTGACATTTATTTCAACACAAATGGAAGAAGAAAAATAAAGGAAACTAATTTTTGGTCTTTTTATTCAACTGTAATTGTCTTAATTTTTCAAGTAAAACAATGTGGAATTACAAGGGATCAAAAGGAATGCAACAAATGAAAGAGACAAATCAAAGAAAATAAGACCATCACCATAAACTACCCCCCCCCCCGCCCCCGAAATATCACCTTCGCTCAAAGTAGCTTAAGTCCAAAAGTAAATTGACAATTTACAGTCATCTGGAACTGTACCAGTAATTTTATTCACATATTTTTGTCCAAGTATTTTTTTAAATTTTTTATTTTTTCTTACATGAACGAAGAGCAATGAAGTAATGGTGACAAAAATCCAGGTGAAAAATAAAACATTAAATTTGGTTGCACTGATGCACAGGGTGCTTTTCTTAACATTTCCTGGGGAGGGAGAGGGAGGGGGGGTGGGAAGAAGGAGGTGGGGAGGGAGGGAGGGGGAAGGTTATATTTTTATTCATTTTTTCCTGTTTTGTTTGGCTTTTTTTTTTGTTTGTTTTTTGTTTTAAATAACGAGTGAAGCTCAGCACCCCGGCGTTCAGGTGCTTCACAAGGCAATCAGAGGTTCAAACCCATTTTGGCCAGAGAGGCACTCTTTAAATTTTCAATAAACACTTAAACTTTTTGCCCTTTTCGATATAAATACATGACAAAGTGGACCGTAACAATAACTGCCTGTTGGGAAGATTAGGGGGGAAAAAAAACAAAAACAAAAACAAAAAAAGGAGCTCCGGGTCTGTGAGGAGCAAATAACGTCTTCAAAGACAATTTGCAACTTGAATTAATCTGTGGAGATACATCGTGAGGTACCGGGGGAACCAGTTAATTTACCGAAGTTGATGTAAAAACTTATTACTACACCACAATGTACTCAATAAAGCAGAGGGCCACGTTATCAGATGTGCAAATGAGAAATGCGAGGCTGGATTTTCTTTTTAAAAATGAATTGAATCCAAAATGAACAGAAAAAAATTGACATGAAAAATAAAAAGGGGGCCCAAGCAAAAGACAAGCTCCAGCATAGTGCAGCAAAGATCACATTGACAGATCAGTTCCTCTTCCTAATACCCTGGAAGAAATAATAAAATATGCATAACTTATCAACTGACTACAAAGAAACAATAGTCAGGACAGCTGACGAAATTTTTCAAAACCAAACTTTCTAAAACCTCCAACTTACAATACAACTGGTCACTCAAAAAGTTTTTAATGTCACACAAATGACTTTTCATTTATAACCCTAATAAGAGGGTGCTGTATAATCCCATCTTAACACATAAGATCTGAGTGTTCCAGTCTTTAATGATTACAGTACATAATGTGAACTAACAACTTTTCCTTTATTACCTCTTGCACCTTTTTGTCCCCCCCCTTTCAAAGTCCCAGTGGTGAAGTTTAAACCACTGTACCATCTTCTATCTGTGTTACCGACGCACCATGATGGCGCCACATTTTTTATACTCTCAGTCCGGCGTCCCTGAGCCTTCCCCCAGCTGACAATGGCTGAGCTGGTTGAGGGGACCAGCTCCAATTGGAAAGGGAGAGGGCCCAAGAGGCAGGGGAGGTCCCTGGCTTGTGCACTCAGTTCCCCTTGCATTCATTAAGAGTGCAGACAAAGCAGCAACCTTGGAGGTCATGACATTGCTCTCGTGACAACACTCTCACTTCCGTTTTTTTTTTCCCCTTTGGCACTCCGATCATGTCTTGTTGTGACGATGTTGACCAGAAGAGGAGCGGGTGCTTGCGGCCGGTGACCGGGCCTGCACCGCTGCGAGCGCCGCGACGCTCCGCAGCACCCTGTCCGGCGTCCCCTCTGTTCCCGAACTGCTGGTCACCTCCTGCGAGATCTTTTGAGACCTCCTGCTGTCGTGCCGACTCTCCCGTCGCTGCCTCTCTTTTTTGTCTCTACTCCGCTCGGAGCTGCGCTCGCTGCCGGAGGAAGTGGCGCGGGATCCTCTGTGCTCCGTGTTTTGAGAGCTGATGCTGTGGGTGCGTTGGCTGCTGTTGCTGCTGCTGCGGCTTCTGCTGCTGCGGCCGCCGCCGTCGCCCTCGCCGTCGCTGCTCATGCTGCTGCACGCACTGTGGCCCCGGGATGAAGACTGAGCCTCTGCCTCGCCTTCCTTCACCCCTGATGACTTCCTACTCCCTCTGTCCTTCTCCTCTGCTTTAGACCTCTTGTACTCCACCTCCAGGGGGGGAACCAGAGAACCAGGGCACTGTCTGGTGGAGCGGGAAGCAGAGCGGCTCGTCTGATTGGGTGTTGAGGGTTTGCTGCTGCTGCTTTTATTATTAGTTAGATTTACAGAGTTACTCTGAGGGGAGGCTGGTACACTTTTGCTTTTAGGTTTTTGGTTCTTGTCAGAAGAGGAGGCGGGGGAAGTCCCGGCGGCCTTGGCCGCCGAGTCTCTCCGAGTGGTGTGGCCAGGCGTGTCCACCCTGCCTTTCATCGCAAGGAGTTTGGCTGCTGCGTTGAGTGCCGAGCACCTCTTCCCCAGAACCTCGGGCTCAGGAGGCAATGAGGGCGCGCTGTTTGTTTGAGCTTTGTTGTCTTGTGAAGGCTGCGATCCTGCAGACTTCCTGGTGATCCTAACAGAAGACGTATCACTGCCAGACTCTCCACCTGTGGACGCGTTGGTGTTGTTTGATGCGTTTCTGTCAGAGCTGTGTGCAGGTTTCTTTCCTTGTCGGCTGTTGCCCTTTTCCCTCTCTTGATCTTGTAGCCTGTGTTTGGCTGAGCGAGTCAGCCGGTGCTCCTTCCTGCTCCCGCTGTCAGAATCCGAGGAGGAGGAGGAAGACGACCTGGAGCGCCCTCTCCGAGAGGGAGCATTGGCCAGCTCCTTGTTGCTGCCTTCCTCTTTGTTCTCCCCGTCCTCTTCCATTTTCTCCTCCTCCCCTGTTTCTGAGGTGACGTCCATTCGCCTCTTCTTGGTAGGATGTCTGTTTTCGTAAGTCCTCTTGTGGTGAGCGTGACGAGTGAGGGTTGATGTCGAGCACCCAGATGACGGCGAAGAGGAGCGGGTGGACTCCTGGCTACTCTGGCGACTAAGAGATCTTTTCTGGCATGGAGTTCTCTGATCTTCAGTAAGTTGCTCCTCTGCTTGTTGCTTAGGGTCTTCTTCCTGATGATCAGTTGCAGACGGTGTTTCTCCGTCCGTTCCCTCCCTTCCTGACTCCAAGTCTTTGGTCTCCGAGGAACTCTCCACCTTTCTCCTTTTCGGCTGAGGCTTACAGAGGTCTGGCTGTTTGTCGTCATCCTCCTTTCTAGTCCTCGCCTCAGTCTCTACAGCTCCCTCCTCCATTTCTGTCACCCTGTCCGGGTCACTTTTAGGGGCTTTCTGCGTTGGCTCTAAAGATTGCTTCTCTGATGAAACACTAGAAGCAGCAGGTGTGGGTATCTGGGGCAGGGCCTCTGTCTGGGCTGGTGTGGACACCTCTGGGGAAACGTCTGTGGACGAAGAGCTTTCTACTGGCAAGGAAATGACTGCAGAGGTTTGTGTGGTGGACACAGGAGGAACTGTGGCAGCTGTGGTTGTTGCTACTGACACAGGGGTGACTATGGGAGTGGATACATGTGTAGTTGGGACGACGTTTGTGGTCGCAACTGTAAAGGACTTTTCAGGGGATGTAGTTGTGGTGACGGTTGGTAGTGGAGCTGGTGTAGCAGCTGTGGAAGTCGTTATTTGGGGTGGGGTCTTGACAGTGTTTTCTGCAGTTGTGGAAGGGGTAGTTGTATGTTCTTTGGAAGGGGATGCTTCTACTAAAGGGGTTGTTACTTGGACTCCCTCTGTTGCAGGTGATGTAGTTACTGTAACCGTCTTTGCCTCGGCTGTGGTAGAAACACTGGCGGATGTTGTAGTTGGGGAAGAAGTGATTGGGGAAGGTGCAGCAGGAGGTTTTTCTGAGGATTCAGCCACCGAAACAGTTGTTACCGGTGCCTGTGTGGCCACTTGAACCGTTGGTGGTGGTGGTGAGGTTGAGACTGGTTTGGTTGCGACTTTGGTAGTTGTCACATTAGTCCTTGTTTGGGCTGGAGAAGATGTATTTGCAGCAGATGATGAGACTGTTGTTGGTGTTGTAGAAGCGCCGTCAGACACAGTTGGACTTGTAGTGGCAACTGTGCTTGGACTTGAGTTTGAGGGACTCGCTTGTACGGTTGTTACTGTTGTTGCTGTTGTTGCTGCAGTGGGGCTAGGCGTTGAGGTTGGTTTTGAAGCTGTAGCTGAGCTAGTAGCTGTAGCTGAAACATTCTGGGTGGCAGCTGGGGCGGACATTACAGTAGCTGGGGTAGATGTTGTAGACGAAAGGGGCAAGTTCTTTACAGCAGTAGTTCCAGTTGGGACTGGGTTCACTGTGGTGGTGGTGAGTGCTGGTGTAACGCTTACTGTTAGTGATTTTACATTAGAAGCTGTTGCCGTTGTGGCAGGGACTGATGCTGGAACATCCGTAGGAGAAGACAAAGCAGTGGATGGAGTGGTAGCAGCTGATGTGGCAACTGTGGTGGTTTTGGCAGTGTCTGGTCCTGTTGTTTTCACATTTACAGAAACTGAAGGTTTTGGCTCTACGGGAGCTGTAGAAGCTGTGGAAACCACAAGTGTTGATCTTGCCGCTGGAAGAGTTGATGTGATGGTGCTGGCAGGTGTCAGTGGGGTTGTGGTAGTCGGGGTAGCAGTGACTGGGATGGGGGCAGGCGTGGAAAGTGCAACAGAGGATGAAGAGGAAACCTGGGTTGATGCTGTGTCTAGGCTTTGAACTGTAGCTGGAGCTGAACTAATGAAGTGGGCTGAGGCTGATGTGGAGGCAGCGACAGGAAGGGCTGCGGTCTGCTGGGGTGCAGGTGCAGCGGCTGCTTGGACTGAAGCCGAGACGGGTGTGGAAGTTTGATCTGTGGATGTTGTGGAGGTTTGAGGTGGAATTGAAGCAGGGGCTGAAACTGAGGTTGAAACCTCAGTCTTAATGTCTGTTTCCTCAGCTTTGGTAGACACGGAGGCCTGACTTGTAGTGACAGCAGCAGCAATGGGGGTCTCCAACTCACGGGGAGGTGGGACTGTTGGCTCTGTGATAGTATCAGTTTTCAATACACCAGAAACACCAGTAGTGGTGGTCTCGTTTTTAGAGTTCTGTCCTTCACTCACAGTTTCTAGAAAGGTTGTGGAGTCTTTGCGAGGACGACCCCGCTTACGTTTTGGGGAGAGAGGGGGGTGCCCTTCCTCACTTGGCGAGGTGGGCTGTGGAGAAGGGGTTACTGTGTTGTCAGGCTCAGGTAACCTAGGAGAAGTCTTAGGGGGCCGGCCCCTCTTTCTTTTCAAAGGTGTCGCAAGAGAATTCACACTGGACTCTGTAGAGGTTGAAGTGGCGTCCTTGCCTGGTGGTATGTCTGTTTTTCTGGCCTGGTTTCCTCCTCTTCCTCTACCCAGATGCTGCTGTTGCTCTCCCAGCTGAGCAGCCATGCGAGATTCAGTTTCCAACCGGCGCCGTACAGGAAGATTTCTCAGCACGGGCATGTCGGGAGAAAGATGGGGTGGGGAATAAGGAGGATAACCTCTGACAGGCTGCGGGTGCACAGACGGACTAGGAACAGAGTCTTGGTCCTGAGGAGATTTGGTAACGGCCCCTTTACTTTTGCCGTCAGGGGTCGGTGATGCGTTGTCTTTGTTCGGTTCGTCGACGAATCCGGCGGCATTCTCCTCCACAGTTGCCTCCTCTGAAGAAGCTCCACCTCCAGTGCCGCTTCCTCGCCGCCGCCTCCTTCTCGGCTCTTTCTCTTCCACCACCGTGACGAGTCTCCCGGGAAGCTTCCGCAGGACTTTGGCAGACGGAGAGTCTTCAACCAGGCCCCGCCGGACTTCACCATCTGCTGACTGTCGCTTGCGAGGCGATCGGGAGCTGGTGGAGGGGGGAGACATGGCGCTGTGGTCTTTGCTGTCGTCATCATCTTTTGCTTGATGGTCCACCGGGCAGCTGGATTCTAGTGATGACTCAGACATCCTCCTCTCATTCTCCCCCTCTTTCTCCTCTCTGCCTGCTTTGGAGTTCTTGCCGTCAGTCTCCACAACGCACTGTTGTTTCCCTCCAGGTGGAGAGGCTGTAGGAGGGGAAGGCACTGGACTCGGGTGGGAGCGGTTTGGTAAAGTCCTGGTTTTGGTGGTCTGGTGATCTCTGGCAGGAGATGAGGCTTTTGAAGATTTGGAGGAATCTTGCCTGGTTAATGAGGAGGTTTTGTGATGGTCTGTGCGGCATGGGGTGGTAGACACAGTACCGGTGTCTTTGGCAGCTCCTCGGCCTCTCAGACTAAAGCGAGGTCTTTCAGGCACTTCTTTAGGGGTCGTAGGCTCAGGCTCAGTTTCAGGTGAGGCCCCACGTAGCCGACCACTAGTCCTTGTAGAGGTGACGATCTTGTCCTTGTCCTTATCCTTATCCCTGTCCTTGTCCTTGGGTTTACGGCCACGGCGGGCCGGGGCTGGCTGAGCAGGCTCCACGGAGGCTGGTGGTGACAAAAAGTCATCGTCGTCCTCATCGAATGAAGCGTGGAGCTTTAGGCCCTCCTCCTTGGCCTGGTCCAGGCCCTTCCTGGCAGCCTCCACTTGCTCCTAAACAGACAAACAAACAATATCCATTTAATACTTCAGTCATTGTTGTGAGGGTCTTTTTTTTCTATTTATTCAACTTGACTGTCATGGCCCCCACTTCAGTCAAGACCAAAATAATGATTGTCACCAAATCAGTATTTAGTAGTTCTGAAATACATGAGTCAATTAATGTTTTATCCCCAACATTTTTTTATAACTGAATTCAGGTCAATATCAAGAAGAAAATGCTAAATATTTGTGATTATAGTTTCTCACATGAAGATTTGCAGATTCGATCACCTTGAGCTATTTTTATAGAATAATTGATCAATTTCTATTTGAAAAATGATCACCTAATAATGGCGATCATCACTAGTTTCAGCTATAGTATTAACTTTAGGAAGCCAGTATAGTAAATGTGTTTCTCTTACTTTTTACACCCCTGTACCTTTGGGTTGAGGAAAGCTGAGTCTAAAGTCAAAGTTGAATTTATTAAATCAAACTTTTAGAAAGCAAAGCTGATGACACAGACTCTGTTATTTAAATTAAAACAAACAAAGAAACAAAAAGGTGAAGATGTTGTGTTACCTCAGCCTGCTTCAACTCTTCTTTGCATACATCTTCTAAGGAGGCTTCCAGGAAGTTCATGGCGTAGCGTTCAATGGGAGTGAGCTAGGGACAGGCAGAGAATATGGTGAGTTAACTGTGCACAGTCCCCCCCCCCGCCAATCCTCACTCACAACTGGCAGTAAAAGCAACAACACTGTACAGATCATTACCTCTATGGATAATGAATAACCAGTAATAATACAGAACTGCGTGATTATTCACCTGCTCCACCAGAGCAGCTATTTCCTGCTCGGCCTTGGAGAGCTCCTCCACTTCCTCTTGTTCCCCTCCGTCGTCCAGCGGTATGTTCTCGTTGAACTCTGCCAGTTCTGCCACCTGCTCTGCTTTGGCCTGAGAGGCTGCCACTATGTCCTCCTCGTCCTCGGCACGACACAGGGCCTGCAAGAATCATTTCAAGATGATCAGGTTATTGTTATTTTACACCATTCTGATTAGACTGTACCCCACAAAATACAACAGTTACACTAAATTTGGATATATATCTACTTGTTCTACTACTTGTTGAATCTGAAAGACAGATTTTTCAACTTTGTCCTGTGCTGCAAAAGAAATGTGTTTGGTTTTGATCAGAATCAAAAATACTTTATCGATCCTGATGGATACAGTTGCTCAATTGCTAAACAAAGAGTTATAAGAAAATATGTGCATTATACTGGAGTATATAACAATAATATAGACAATAAGACATGTAACAGTTTGAAAAAATAGAATCTACAGTATAACTGCAGTATTAATGACGAATATTGCACGCAAGGGCCAGTTTAATGACCTCCTTTGGCGCTCTGTGGTGCATCTCAGAGCAATGAGTCTACTCCAGATAATAACCAAATGCTGGGTGATACATCCCATCGTGTATATGTCTGTATTTGGGCCATGTGGTGTATCTAACCTGCTCCAGAATGGTGGTGCTCTGCTTGTTGACAGCTTCCTCCTCCTCAGCTTGGGGCACCGATAGCTCCACCGCCGCCTCTCTCTTCTCCCCCTCATTCATATCAAACAACTCTCGGATGGTTTGCTGAGGAACAAAAGTTGGAAAATGAGACACATTCAGTGCAGGAAAACTAAAATAAAGAGGCACTTGAACTTGCTTAATGTCCTTCCATTATCACCACAATACGCTCAAAAAGAGCAGTTATGCTAATGATGTCATTAATTCAATGCATTAATTGGAAAACGTAATGTCGGCATACTTCAGATAGCACAGGTGGCATTACTTCAAAAGTAGATCTGAACAAATTTAATTAAAAAGAGGCGAAGAGGGATGTCTGTGTTGCTGCAATGAAAAAAAAAGATGTTTTTATGTGCAACCGGTGACTGCAGTCAATGAGACATCTCAGTCATCAAAGCACACGCCTACAACATGTTTGTGTTTGGATAAATGATTCATCATCATATGATTAAACAGTCAGAACGAGTGTCAGTTGCGTGAGGGCAGCCGTAAAAACTTGATTAGAAAGAAGAGAGAAAGACTGGAGACAAATTAACATACTTTATCTAATCTTTAACGTTTATATGATGGTAATAAAATAGCTGTAATCTGGTGTCGCGTATGAATTTATATAATTTATGGGAACCCACCAATGTTATTTCCATAACATGGAGTAGAAGGATAAATAAAGACTATTGTTGGTAGAATATATATAAATTAGGCTGCTACCTGTTTGAAGAAGGCGGTGGTAAAGTTTCCTCCTTCAATAGCCATATCTCCCAGCATCCTCTTCTGATTAGCTTTCTTTAAAATATTCTCCTCCACTGTGCGCTCGCTGATCAACCTGAAGAAGAGGAACATTAAAAAAAAACCATTAATGTTGTTGAAATCACATTTCTTTGAATGAACTAAACACCTTGGCTCTAAAATAACACCGATATCTCATTCCCACATTCCTTGTTTTTCCATCATCACCCCCCCCCCATCTAAAGTCTTTAATCCTCACCTGCTATTTTGCTATTTGTGTTATCTATCTATGGTGAGGACACAATCAGAACATTTTCCACAGACATTTAGACTTTTATATAGTTGATATTGGCTTCTATTTAGGTGTAGCTCAGCTATTGTGCAACTACCACCAGTTGTTATCAGTAACACATGTGCTTTTACTGGAAGGGCATCAACATGTCTGCCATGAGAAAACAGGAATTTTTGGGACTTCCCAGTATGGTTTTCTTGAAATGAGATCTGCTGAAGACTCAGCAGTAAATTGTGGCATCCTGGCACCGCCATGCAAATCATGAGCAGCTCTACATCGAAACATAAAAACGTAGCCTGTAAAACCCCCGTACCTTCTACTGACCAAATAATCTGTCTGGTTAAGATCACCAGATACTTCCTGCTTGTTTATGGTCAAAATGAAAGTGCAACTGCAGCCTCAAACAGACCATACTGCATGTGAAGAAGAAGAATTTTAAACAGATCTTTTATACTCTTTCCTGTTTTAAGTCAAGGTAAAGTCAAGTCAAGTAATTTAACTGCTTTTCTTGACCCGGGGGGGGGTCCCTAGCTGCTGTTTATACAGAAACTACATAAATAGCACTGGTTTCTATTTTATGTAGACTTGTAGCTCTTGTAAATAGGCTTTTTACCTGTAGATGTGGACGTCTCTGGTCTGGCCGATTCTGTGGCAACGGTCCTGCGCCTGGGCGTCCATGGTGGGGTTCCAGTCGCTGTCGTAGAATACTACTGTATCGGCCCCAGTCAGGTTCACCCCTACACCCCCGCTGCGAGTTGATAAAATGAAGCAGAAAATACGCCGATCGGCATTGAAACGCTCCATGAGGGCCTGAAGGGGAAGAAAAAAAGATAGAGAATAAGGATTAGAGACAGCGGACTGGCTGCTACGTAACTTTATTTTTCCTTTCTGTATATGCAGGGAAAAGGCAACACTTAAACACTATCAGTACGAACCTGTCTCTGCTCCACGCGGGTGCTGCCGTCCAGACGGAGGTAGATGTGTCCGTGGTAGTTGAGGAACTGCTCCAGCACATCTAACATACGCGTCATCTGAGTGAAGATCAACACTCTGTGGCCTCCTGTCTTCAGCTTTCGCAGCAATGTGTGGAGAGTCTGCAGCTTACCTGCACACAGGGGGACACACAATAAAAAATATTAACTATTTAGGAGAACAAACAGAATCACCAGTAGTAGTAGAGAATAATAAACTCAATAAAACCAGTTAAAGTTTATATTATTGTGGATTCTGCTAAAGAATATCAACGGTATCTTTTGGTTCTTTGTATCAACAAGACACCTTACCACAGTCATACTGTATGAGCCTCAGGTCTGGAAACTGGGTCCTCATGTTACACTGGATACGATGGAGACTGCGAGTTAATGGAGCGACTTGAGTTGACAGCATGGAGGAGAAGGCTGCTTGCTTGTGGCTCAGCGAGGGAGGAGGATGGCAGCAGTGCATGGAGATTGGAGGAGCCTCCACTGGGGGAATCGCAAATGTAAACCTAAAATGGGCACAACAAATAACAGTTAAATCTTTCCTCTTAGTTAAAGCTTCCCAGAAAAGAAAACAATCAGCTGATCTACCTGTCTACAACTTCACGGAGCAGCTCCAGCCTGTCCTCAACGCTGTGGATGGCCTCTCTCACGGCGCGGCTCTGAAACCAGTAGTCGTATTTGTTTTGCCACTGTGCGTACAGACAGCTGCTTTGGCCCGAGCGGCTCCACTCCCCCTGAGAGCTCAGGGCGGCCGGAGAGGGACGGGGACCAGGGAGAAAAGTCAGGAAGTCCAAAACCTCCCGGCCATACATGGGCTTTGCCCCACAGTGGCTCTCGTTGACTCGAATGATGAAGTCCAGTCGGCTGTCACGCTGCTGTTTGTGGCTATCTGCCAGCCACGACTGTTGAGTGAGAGGGTAAACATTAGCAGGGTAAAGAGCTGGAGCACAGGATGCTAAAACAGCACAGCGCTTTTTGTATCTTATATCTGATTCTGTGCTGCTCAAATGTAGGATGAGATAATTTAATTTAACAACTCAGTGATCGGTGTCACGAGGTGCAACTTGCTTATAGAGGTGGGCGATATATATCGTTTGGAAATAATTTTCTTTTTTTTTTTTAGAAAGTGAAAAATTTTCATTACTCGGTATTTAAATTACTCCAAAAAATAACGCCCAACCCCATCCATAAATCAGCCCACATCAACAACTTACCACATTTAGAAGCGAGGAGAGCGAGAAAGGAAGGTCCGGACTTCAATTTTGAGGCACTTTTCTGGGTGGAGGGTAGGAGACTTTTTTTAGGGGCTCTTCAAGTTCTGTTCACTTTTAAACTGGGCCTCGGAAACGTTTGGTGGACCAAGTCCAGCTCAGACAATTTAATCAATTTTAAAGGTGGCGACTGGTTATGCCAAAATCCCAAAAAATATTATTTTTGCCATATCGACCCCTACTTGCTTACCACATAGAAAGGAGAGGGAGGGGGGGGAGGAGGCCTTTTTTGGGGGGGGGGGGGGGTTTCTTCCCCCTGCGCGGCCGCTTTTTTGGGGTTTTTTTTTTTTTCGGTTGCGCGCTGCTGCTGTCACGCGGTGCTGCTGGAGACTTGGACGCAGAGGACGAGGAGGCCACCTGACCTGGAGCTGAGGGAAGGATAGAGGAGAAAGCAGAGCAAAGGCAAACGTGAAACAAAAACAAACATAAAAATGTGTTTTGCTTATTGTTGCTTCTCTTGGATGTTTGAAATTAACCGTGCAGAATCATAAACGGGCCGAGTTTGACACCAAAACGCTGTTTTATGAGCAGGATTTTGTAACATCACAACTAATTTGGAAGCAAATTGTGGTTGAATATGTGAATTTGAAGTGTACAGACACTGAGAACGGACTTCACAGTGAAGTAGTACAAGTGAAGTCGTATCCAGCAGTTTAAAACAATGCATGCATATTCATACAATGTGTTTACATGCACAACATTACTCAGAGAAAGAAGGTAATGTGGGTAGTCGAAGAACACGTTTAGTCCACATATGCATGCAGCAGGTCAGTAATCAGATTTCTCTCCTATCCCGGACCTCATGTTGTAACCATTGCTTACTTAAAGTATTTCTGATTTACTTATTTAAACTGAATTAGTGGAAGAAGACGCTGAAGTGGTCCTGATTTTATTTTGAAGTGAAGTGAAGCACAAATGTTCAGCAGTGAAGACTGACTTATGTAGACTCAGAGACTACTTTTCAGTTTCAGTCTGGCTTTCAATGGAGTCATTATAAAAGGACTCATCGCTCTATGTAATTATCTCTCCTCCGATTATCCTTCCCGTTGTTACTTTTCTTGTCTGCGGTCTTTTGTCATGCTCATGTGAACATATAAAAAGCCGATTAGAAACCCAGTTAACCTGGATACCATTTCTCCAGAAGGGTCATTTTAACTTTTGTGTGGAAAAACCATATCAGACACGTTTGTATTTTTATGTCTTAAAACATAAATCTACTAAACTGGCTTCCAGATACTTTCCTGTGCCTGTCTAAACCAGTGGTTCTCAACCTTTTTTCGGTGTCAAGTACACCCCAAATTGATACACATCAGGCAGCGGACCCATATTTAGTGAGATGTAGTCTCAGGGACCCCCATCTGTCTGATATTTAGTCCACAACCGTCTATACTGTGGATTAGAGTGTGGGCTAACTTTTACTAAATTAAATAACAGTGAAATTAAAATATTTCCCATGTTTCTGGGGACCCCCTGAAACCCCCTCAAGGACCCCTGGGGCCCCCCCAAACCACAGGTTGAGAACCTCTGGTCTAAACTTTCATGCATGTTTCATATTACATGACACACTGCACACATCTGGTACCCAGATTAAGCAGATTAAAAAAAAAAAAAATGGGAGTGGGAAAGAAAAAATAAATACTAAAGATTAGTTGCGATAACAATCTGACCCAGTTCTGCTCGCCATACAGCGTTATGAATTATAGCTCAGAGTGATTAATAGCTCAAGCTCGTCCTCTCACCTGGCTGCTCTGTGCTTGATGGAGGAGGCTGCACTACTTTGAGGACAGGGCGAGGGGGGTGGGGCTGGTTCGGGGTTGAGCTAGGGTTTCCGGGAGGAGCTATGGTGTAGTGGGCAGTAGCGGGGCCAGGCGTGCGCTGGGCAATTTGCAGTGGAGCAGTGTTTCTGACAGGGGTTGTGTTGGCGTGAGGGTGCGGGGAAGGGGATGCCTGAGGAGCAACACGAGGGGAAGGGGCCACTGCCAGTGTGGGCACAGGCCCGCCCTCCTTGCCTGCTGTCTGACGCACAACGATCTTCACGACGCCAGGACTGCTCACCATAGAGGGGGTCACTGAGGAGACATAACATATGAGCTGTTAAAAACAAGGCTAACAGATAACACTGACAATTTTAAACATGATTTAATTGATTTTTAGGTAATCAGAGGATAATTCCAGTAGGTTTTCTTGACAGCACTTGCTCATAAAACAGTCATATAAATATATAAAAGGTTCATTTATGGGAGACTTTATGACAGTTTTGTTTGATATTACAGAAAATTAATCTTTTAGAAAGTGAAAGCATTCGTTACACATACAATATGGCTGTACATGTATTTATCAACCAGACAACAACAATGATCCTTAATAGGCTGTCTATGTAGATAAGATTCCCACTGGGCTTCTCTGAGAATTCCACTCACAGAAAAGTCTGTTCTGCTTTGCATCCGGTAAACCTGCTTTGAATACTGCACTGCTCAGCTTATACTGCCAACAGTCAAGTCTCAAACAAAATACGGACGCTGGTGATCTGAGTAAGGGGCTAAAATACAATACAATATAATTTAAACAACAACATGGATTATTTCCACTATATTGGGTCATTTTAAATCAATATCCTGGTGTCTGACTGGAAAAATAGTCTCTAAATTTCCAGGTATTCTAGTACATGAGGAAAACCCTGATAATGCCCAAAGAAAATACTTTAAGATTAAGCTTTATGAATTTTGAGAGAGATTAAGATGAAAAAGAACAGATAAATAGCTTTGTTTGTTTATTATCTTTGTCTGTTGAGGGGCAGAACATGAGTGAGTAAGAGGAAGAAGAGTTGAAACCTTGCGAGGAGGCATTGTGAGGCAAACGATTCGCAGGGAGGGCAGTGGAGGTGCTTGCAGGATGAGTGTTAGCTGCGCTCTGGACAGCCACCTGGGCAGGCTGGCTGATGAGGTGGTGCTGCACTCCGCTGGACACCAGGTGCATTACATTACCTGCAGCGAGTCAGACAGGTAATCAGCAACTTCTCCCTCAAGTCCACAGTCACACATCATACCCAATCATCTGCAATCACTTCAATAAATCCTTCAGATTTATATATGATACATAAAATGTATTGCTGTACAATTACGTTGTATATCTTGAAGAAGCAGCAACTTTTGTGTTAAAAAAAAAATATTTCACACTGTAGTCCAGCTTTAATAATGTATAACTAACTACTTTAGTGCCAAAACCCAAACCCTATAATCTGTAACTACATGTTTAATTCTTATCCAGTGATGGTCTGTTAAAAGTTGGGCAGTAATTGCATTATGATTCACCTGATAGACGACGCTGCAATCTTATTGAAGGTTTAAAAAGGTATTTTGTTTAAAGCTTTAACATAAATACAGAATTATTGATACAGAAAATATACAAACTAATTAAAATGGTCTAACCATTAAATCTTGTAGATGCATAGCTAATTTTAAACGCTAACCTTGAACTGGGCGTGCAGGACCTGCTGGGACTTGGTGGATCTGGGCTCCAGACAGAGTGAGCTTGTTGCCCTGAAGCTGGAAGGTGACGGGTTTACTGCCCTGACATGAGGACACGGGTCGCCCTGCCAGGGAGGCCAGCTGGGCTATGCTCACTACCTCACCAGCTTAGGAAGAAAACAGAAAGAAGGAGCAATATTAGAACAATGACCTGTGTGTGTGTTTGTTTAAAAAGGGTGTGTTGATTCACTAGCTGCTGAACTTACTATAAAGCTGACAGCTATCATTCAGGGTGGAGTTTAAAGGAGATAACGTTAGTAAGCGTTATCCGTTTTGAGGATCAAACAGGCTAAAAAACACTGAACATTAATCAGTTTCTACTTACAAGGCAACCGAGCCTGCATATCTGGACTGAGCAGAACCCTCTGGGGCATGATGTTGCCAGCGTTTGGACTCGGGTGAGTTGGGATGCTGGCTGTGCAGGAGGCAGTGGGAGGCCGTACGGTCAGCACCGGCTTTGGAGCGTTGGATCTCACTGCAGTTTGAGCAGTGAGATGCATGGACGGGCGAGGAGGTGGCGTGGTTGCCACTGAACACACCACTACAGTGAAAAGGAGAAATAAGCAAAAGTTAAAATAAAAAGGATCTGCAAGCACCGCCGTTTTCTGAAATCATCGTTCAAACTTTTTGCTTCACGTGCCTTGTTGGACTACAGGAGCAGGTGCAGGAGTCGAGGTGACTTCAGTGACTGCAGGAGGTTTGGGGGTCTGTGCTGCAGGGGGAACGGAGCAGGTGGGTTTGTTCATCAGTAGGACCGGTCGGTTATCACCTTTAGGTGGTGGCTGGAACATCCTAAAACAAAAAGACAAACAAAAGATTAAACCTTGTAATAATAGATTTGTTTAATACAAATTTTACACATCACCTGGTTTTGTTAGCCACTGACTATGCATTAATGTCCACCTATGTCTCCAACTTGTTCTCATACGGCTCTTTACTTTTAATATCTGAGAAAGAGGTTTAACTCCTTCCCATTGAAAAAGAGGGCTGGTAGTCCTTCGATATGTTTAGTTTCAGTATTGATATCAAAACTGATGCTTTTATACTTTACTTTGCTTAGAAAAAAACATGTTTTTCTACAAAGTTCTTACTTTTTTCTGCAAATAAACAAAAGCAAGGCTTCTGAAAATACATCAGATTGGCCACTTTTAATTCATTTATGGGCAGAGCTGGAGCAAAACAACAACTTAACATTTACACACTTACATTTAAAAAGATGGTGGGCTGTCCACTAATTTCTATGCATCTTCAATACTTTCATACTGTTCATTCTTAAGTGTTTTATTGCTCAGATAAAGCTCAGATCACAGTCTACATTTCTTTGAGTAAAGTTAGGGAACTGATGTCATTTTAGTTGGAAAAAAAACAAATAATATCAATGCTGGTCAGCTTTTCTTGCCCGACACAGTGAGCTTTTAATCGAGCTGATGGCGGTCTGAACACACTGAGAAGTGACCTTTGGCGAAGCACTTAACCCGAGTTGCTCCCACAGTACACTAACACAGCAGTTACCATGGCGTATAGATGCAGGCTCAGCTGTACTGTTCTGAGGGGTTTTCCTGCATAACTTGTGGTTATAAAAGTATTTTAAGTATTAGTGGGTGTACTGTGTACCTGTTGACCTTCATGCGGACTGGTTTGGGCCTCGGAGGGGGTTCAGGGGACTCCACAATCTCCTGGATCAGTTGGCGGCTGACCTTGTAGCGCTGCAGGAATACATCTGCCTGGTACCGGGACACACGGCTTTCCAAACCAACAAGGTCAAACATAGAAAGGTCGCAGCGCTGAGGACGGAGAAACATACAGGTATTTTAGGGTTTCGTCCATCAGAATTCACAATACTGTAACGTGACTGACCAAATTAAAGCTTTTTTTTTTTTTTGTGTTTCTTTAATGCTAACCTTCAAAGGAGAGACCTCCAGGGCGTCCTGCACCAGGGAGGCTGTATGGAAAACAATGGGCTGCGTGATGAAGGGAGACTGGATGGGTCGAGGGTCAAACAGGTTGGGGTGGTTGCACACTTTGCGGAGCTGCATTAGGATGTTAATCACAGACATGAAGTGACCACTGGCCAGTGTTTCCCGGGTCCTGTCGACCAGAAACAAAAAAGGTGATGAATGGAGAGACCACACAATACATAGTAGTGATCATATAGAAGGAAAGGTGATTAGTTTTTAAATTTTACTCAAAAAAAAGGTATGATTTTGCTGTATTTCTTGCCGTCAGATTTTGGACATTTGTACTTGGCTTTATTTGATAACTACACTCAGTTGTCAGTTTATTAGATACATCTAGCTAAAACTAAGTAACAACAGTCAGCAATAAATCCAATATTTATGATTTAAAAAAGGTTTTAATTCCACTGCATGTATAATTTGAAGGATATATTTTTTTTGGTGCTGTTTAACTGAGAAATACTTCTGAGGACGTGCACACCCAACATTTCACGGCAGCGGCTGTTAAATGCAAATATATCTTTGGTCTTATACTGACAGGTGTTTACAGACTTGTTGAAGCAACACCTCTCTAGAACTGTTTAAACAAAAACTGAACCTTCATAACCTTCATACACATAAGACTTATTGTAGGACTGCTGTATTGGACTGCATTCGTTTTAACTAGATGTTCCTAATAAACTGACATGTCAGAACAAAATAACAGTAATTACAAATGTCCTTTTTACAAAAATGTGGAACTCTTAGTGAGGCATTTGTAGTGCAGTAACTCACGAGGCCTGGGCCATGAAGTCATCGTAGAGAAACCGTTGTCTCTTGGAGAGGCGACAGCGCACCACATGCTCGTATTTCTTGGGCATCTGCTTCTCCACATCAATCTTGATCCTCCGGAGCAGGAATGGTCTCAGAACCTTGTGGAGCCTTTTGACCAGGCCTTCGTTGTACTCCTGACTGCCCTCGATCATTCCCGTCAGCGGGTTGGAGAACCATTCTTTGAACTCGCGGTGGGACTGGAATACGTGGGGCATGAGGAAGTGCATCAGAGACCACAGCTCCATCAGGCTGTTCTGGAGAGGGGTTCCCGTCAGCAGCAGTCGCCGGTGGCTGTAATTGGGAGAGGTCGGAGTTTACGTAATGTGCCGCAATTTAGGTAATTTAGGATTATAGATGACGAGGGAGAAGAAGTAGAGTTCAGATAAACAGGCAATCTCAGTCAAATTGATTCAAAGCTGCTGCTTAAGACTCATTAAATCTACACTGATTGATTTTCTGGACACTTGGGCACAACAAGCTGTATAAACAACACTGACATGTCTTCACCTTATAAAGCTTATGTGGCAAAGGGTTAGCAAACAGCTGATACAGAGCAGCAGCCTCTCCTTCTACTCCTGAAGGAAATATCTGTCTCTTTAGGAGCTAAACTCTCCACTTTGATACCAGCTAGTTGCTAACTCTCTCTGCCTGCTGTTTGGTGCTAAGCAGGGAGAGTACAATACTGAAAATTACTGCCTGCTGCTGCTGCTGCTGCTGAAAGCTGTGGGACTGCAACTAAACAGTAAAGTTATAGACCGGAGAAAAACAAAACAATGAGCTGAAAGAAAGCAGCAACCTCTGTGACTGGCAAACAAAGCCAACACAGAAGTATAATGATGATAGCAACTTTGATGTGACACACAATAATTGATAGTTGAATAATTTCCCACAGCACTTTGTGTATTTCTGTTTGTTATTTACAAATAAGTTCTTATCTATACACAGGACTACAATATCCTATTATTTTCATTTGTTTTGCATCAGGACTCATCAATAACTGCCCACATACACTGAAGTGCTCTCGCATTCTCCAGCCACCCTTGTATGCCTGCAGAAAATCCTTCACTAAAAGCTTGTATGCAATAAAACTGTGTGTGCAGAAGCCACTCTTTGAAGCTCTGTGTAACAGTGAGACATTACCACCAGCTGGAACAGGCCACCAGCCAAATGACGGGAAGTTATTCTAATTACAGCCAGTTTGATAGCAAAAAAAACAACATTTCAAATTGGAAGATTAGCTGGTTAAACCTTCACATCCACACACACCACTGTCGCCTGTTGATAAACTTATGTGGTCTGGTGTATTTTGGGAATGCATTCAAAGTCAAACTGGCTAATACTCAATGACGGCTCGTCTTCTACAGTTGAATGCACTCTGACTTTTTGTGACAAGCAACTGCTTACCCATGAGAGAGAAAGGAATCCTTGAATGTGTTTGGAAACACGACAGAGACAGGAGACTTTCTAGTTTGTATTAAAACGACTTCTTACTTATGACACCTATTCAGATTTTCCGCCTTCAGGCCTCATTTCCTAAAAGAACGCTGGAGCTATGATCGTCTCAGTCTAGTAGGTTATTAGATCATACAGAAATGGACACATGGGTGTCTGCCAGACTAACCAGGGCAAAGAAAATAAACATTATCTGATCTGGAAATTACATGAATATTTGTGCCAAAAGCAGTTTCTTCACATAAAAAAAGTGCTTCAGTCTTCTTTCTTGCTTCAATCACAGCAAACCATTTTGTGTTTGACAAAACCTGTCTGTTACGAAAACAAAAGTGAAACGTTGCTCCCATGCTGTGTGGATTACTTCAACATACACACAGGAGCTGCCGGGGATCAAACCAGCAACCATACCAACTCGCACTACCACCTGAGCTACTGCCACGTGAGGTTGAGACTGAAATCTTTGTTAAAATGGATCTCTTTCAGCCTTTTTTAAACAAATTTAATGAGTTACAGCATCTTTTAAAACCACACATATTAAAACCTCCTAAGAGACTGTTTGGATTGTAAGAATGTTTACTTGTCTCTGGAAAAGTAAAATCTTTATTCCAGCATGTGTCAGCATTTCTTTTAAGTGGCGGGACAAAGTACAAAGCAAAATATGTATGCTACAATGGTTTTTGGACAGCTCATTCATGTCTGCAGAGGGTGCATGTGGTGAAGCACGTTAAGCACGTTAAGCAACAACCCTTGGACACAAGACAGGGACTCATTATTCCTGGCTGGTCCAACGGGGTGTGCATATATAATGTTCAAAGAGCAGATGTGTCATGTGTCCACGTTTGTAGATCCACAGATGTTTCTGTTAAGAACGGCAGTAAAAATAGTGCCAACTTTCTGGTGGTGCGTTTTGATTTTGGAGGTTTGATGAAACGGTACCACATTAAAGAACCAGTGCGAAGGATTCAGTGGCATCTAGGGTGAAGGAGCAGATTAAAGGCCGCCCTATCTAGAGCCAGTGTGTGGTTTGTACTCTCAAGATGACGGCCTTCATGGAAGAGGACTCGTTCTTTTTACAGATAACAGCTCATTCTACGGTGACGAAAACACAACATTTACAAAAAAATAATTAAAACAGACCTATGACTATCATATTCCATAAATGTTACACACTGGACCCTTAATTACACATTTAGAGCCCTATAGTTTGTACATTTCTCCTTCTGAGAATACAAAAACACCCAGGCTCGACTGACCTGTTGAAGTTCAGGAGGCTCTGCCAGCGCTGGGACTTGAAGTTCTTGATGTTTTGCGCCTCATCTAGGATCAGGTACCGCCAAGACTTGCGTCGGAAGGCCTGGTGATCCTGCAGCACCAACTTGTACGAAGTGATGCACACGTGGAAAGCATTCGGCTTTGTCCAGCCCTAAGAAAACCAAAACAATAGGAAATCAATAAGTGTTTTTATATCCATCACAGACACTTGGAGGACTGGAAATAAAAGGCTGCATCAGGGTTGTTATTAGGTACTTTGGGAACATAAAGCAGGAAAACCACAATTTCACACAATACTGCCAATTGTAGAAACACCTTGAAAGCATAATATATGAAATCCCACCCGTGCTAAATATAATAAAAAGGTTTTCCATTCCAAACGAATTAACTAATTACCTGTCTCTTCAGCTTTCTCTCCTTTTGGCTGCCAAAGTAGGTGAGGATTTTAAACCCGGGACACCAGCGTTTCAGCTCCATCTCCCAGTTCAACATCACACTGGTGGGGACGATGATAAGGTGAGGGCCCCAGTTACCTAAAAACAACGGGTCACATGACAAAATATCAGCAGTTGAAGATGAAAGAAAGAACATGTGAGTTAAATTACTGTATAAAAACATGAGTAGCACTCCAAAGAAGACTTTTATACCCTTTTCACAGGCGAGGTGAGCGAGCAGAGCGATGGTCTGGATGGTCTTTCCCAGACCCATCTCATCAGCCAGAATGCCATTTAGCTTTTTCTCGTACATGGTGACCAGCCAGTCGAGTCCAATGTGCTGGTATTCTCGTAATGTGCCATGAAGCAGGAATGGGATGGGGGTCTTGACCTTTTTATTGGAAGAAAAAGATGAGAAAATTATGGTTCAGAACTGAGTATGACTAGATTTTTGCACTTCAACCCACAAAAAGTATCCTTTATCCTATTTCCTAAACTATTCTGGAGGGTCTCCTCTTAAAAGAAGAGCTCTAAAATGATCTTTTGTCAGTAAAAAAACTCAAAAGACATTTGAGGTTAGAACAAAAACATTATTCTAAATATTAAAGACTGACCTTTGTAGTAGCCAGAGTGTAACCTTTAGGCTGCAGGCTCTCTGCAGTAGCAGCAATGTGGCTGATCTCTTTCTTCGGCCGTGAGCTAGAGGATGGCGGGCTGTTGTCTCCCTCCTTCAGCAAGAGCTCCATCCCTTCCTCTCCACAGTCATCATCCCCATCTTCTTCCCCGCTCTCCTCTTCGTCTTTCTCACTGTCGTCCTCTTCCCCACTGTCCCCTGGTGAAGCTGAGAAAAGCACATTTGAAAACAAGAAATAACTTAATAATAAATTCATGAAGCGTGTAACAATCACAATCTTTAAAAAGCAGGGAGGAAATATTTCCCCTTCCGAAAAGATGTTACACCTTTAGATAAACAGTTTAGAAGAGATTATTTAGATTTCCTGTAAGTTTGTTAATACCTGAGGAGGAAGTGTTGCTTTCAGCATCGCTCTCATCTTCTTCAGTCTCCTCCTCCTCGTCCCCAGACACCTCAGAATCAGAGCTCACTTTAGAGCCAGATGCAGAAGGAGCCTCAAAGTCTGAAGCATATGCTCCTTTGTACTTCTCCAGCAGCTCCTCAACACTCATATCGCCTACAAGGAGAACAGAGAAGATGTCAGGGTAGATGTTTACTGTTTTTAAAACAGGACGCTGCTTAAAATTAATGAAATGTGTATTGGCATGCAGCTAAGTGGCACACACACAATACACGGCTATATTAAAATCAGAAAAGCAGCAATCAGCATTAAAAAAAAAGCACTAAAAAAGGATCAGTTATTCTACATACACCAAACTTGCGTCTTACAGTGCATGCATTTCCCCAATATTGAACTGTGCTTCAGGGATATGGGGCTTAAAATAATCTAGAAAATGCAGCTGACTCTATAAATAATAGAGCTGTGGGGGTTAATGGATTAGCTCTCATTCTAGCAATACAGGAAGACACAGGCTGGGTAAAAGGGTACAACAAAAATGTGAAATGATCCAACTGCAGATGGTCTCACCAAAATGGCTGAGGATATAATAGATAAACACAGGCATATATTGCATATATAGAGAATTAAATTGTGTCAGCTTTACTAAAAAAAGTAAGATTTTACTGATGTTTGAAGAAAAATAGTTTGAAAATATATCGTCTCAGCCAAAATTTAAAGGACATATATTCATATCAAACATGAGCTTGGCCTTGAATCATACGTTATTATGTTGTTTATGTAGACACCAAAAGATCTTTAGTTGCACAGTTGAGCTGGTATTCATCCTCTGCCCATTGAGGTTGGAAGATTCAAAGATATTCGTGAGGAAACCAGATTTTTTTCCACATGGATTGGGGTCGCCTAAAGCCCTGGAATAGTCTGGTGTTCAGATCAGGCCTGCAAACTCCAACGGGATGAAAAAGGGTGACAGTTCTGAGAATAAACGCACGGCTTTCAGTGTGTCCCTACTGCTGCTGGGCCAAACAAAGCTTTAAGTAGTAGCAGTTTTTAATCCCTGTACCTGTAAAAGTACATACCTTCCTGCTGGTATTTGATGGTAAGACGTGAGTTTTCTAAACAAAAACACATTTGAGTATAAAAAGCAGCACACTAGCTAACTTTAGCCACAGTTTGTGCCTCTCACACATAGCTGCTGGTAGCGTTAGCATTAGTGAGACTCCAAGTAAGTCTAACCCCTCTGTAAACACAACACACCTATGAAGCCTAATGTACTGACACTAGCTTAACTACCCACACAGTAACTCTCTGAAAGGGACATAAACGTGTTTCTAGAGACCATCAAAGCTCAGATCTTTCCAGCAGAGACAGAGTCTGACAGTAGCTTCTCATGGCTGGTTAGCTCTGACTACCAGATCTACCCTTTGTTTGCTGACCCTCTGCATTACAAACTATGCAACCACAAGGCCTCCTACAGTCCCTCACTCTTCTGTAATATGCTGAGACCGAAATAGGGCTGCACAATTAATACAATATTAACCGCGATCATGATTTTGGCTTCCCACAATTAAATGAACGTAAATCGTCTAACATCTTGACGTTTAAAGCGTGTGCTCGGCTCATTGAAAACTCTGCAGCATATCAAATCAAGCGCTCCCTGAACTAACAGCCAGCCACCACAGGTGATGTTGTGGTTTCCCTTTTTGGCCAGCTGTCATTGTCGCTGCACAGACACCCTGCAGCTGCAGCCTGGATACTTTTATTCACTGAGAAAAAATGCTGTGTTAAGTTACTCACACAGCACATTAACCGACCGCTGCACCTTCACGTTAAAGAAACCTTGTGTAATAATCTGTAATCGTGACATAATCATGATCTCAGTATTGATCTGAATGATAATTTTGGCCATAATCGTGCACCCTAAGACGACTGCATTACCTCTGCATATGAATGTATGAATGACACTTGAGGCAGTTTTTTAAAGTAAACATTTAAGTTGACAGTGAGTGGATTCCTCTTCACAAATAATCAGTAATAACAGAAGCTCTTAAAATACCTTTAAAAAAAGCAGCAACACAAAAAGTGACAGCAGCATGAGCGATTACACTTTACATTTTAAAGTAAAGCGCCTACCTTCTCTGGCTAAGTCATCCAATTCCTCTGCGTGGTCTACATTTCCTTCTACCTTCTCCTGGGCATCTATGGTGTCCTCCTCATCCTCAGCTGAAAACGGGAGAAAGGAGAAAACAAATATAAACACATTTAATTTTAAGTAATTAAAAAAAAATCTGTTTCTACCCATTTTTCCAAGATATGTAGAAGTATTATTCTTTATTCTAAAAGATCTTACCATCCTCTTCATTGGCAGTGAATTCGCCATCTTCCTCCACCGATGAAGAGGTTTCATCAGAGCATTCCTCGTCTGAGCCCGACTCCTATGCAATCCAACGAGTCAGTGATTGATTCAATTCACCCAGTCATGTACTTTCAAATGTAGCAACACATAGTTTATTCATGGTCTATTTTGAGTTGTGATGTTAATTAACATTATTTAAAATAATTATGTGGAAGTGAATCGTATACAATCCTGCATGTGTTAAAAGGAATGGGTGTACAGTATAGTACCATGTTTAATGGACAATGATGATACAGTATAAAAAGGTTTTTACTGTATAACGCAGTGAAACATTCAGACGGTCACGTTTTTACTAAGTTTTTAGGGAGGAATCGTTAACGCAGCACAGTATTATTTGGATTAACCACACAGAAGCAGATTTTTACTGGTCACTAAAATTAAATGAATCAATTTTCCTTTATGGATTTAAGGACTGAAACACCGTTAATAAAAAGAGTCCAAGAGATTGTCAGTATGCTTGATATTTTTGGTTCAATTATTAACTAATTAGTAATTAAACTTGAAACAACCAACCTGCTTTTGTTTGATGTTTTTAGTGTATTTGATGTTCTTTTGCAGAAAACAACAAAGCTGCAATATACAGTTCACTGTTCAGTTTGTTGGGATCCAATGCAACGACATAGTGAGGTAATTTCACTACATATATTAGCAATAATAGTAATATTACAGGAAAGCTTGATGATCATGATAAACCAGGATATTTGTAGCATGGACATATAATCCTTAAACATTTACAAAAGGACAGTTTGAATGATAATTTCAACGTATAAATTAGTTTTCACGCAAATATGTGGCTTATAAAATGGTTTAAACTAAGGAGTTTTAATGTCTGTGTGACATATATCAAATCTGCCAATTTAAGATCCATTCTTTTAAGAACACCTGATCTGATGGTTTAATTCAGATTATTAGCAGTTGTAAGTGTTTCAATGCACGGACAAACGCTGTAGTTATATTTAAGAGTTTGAATAGGAGCTTTTAAACAACAGTACAACTTAAAACTGAGTTCAGCAGTCTACTTTTAGACAACAATCCCAGTTCCATGGGGTTTGTGGAGGTACCTGTGGCAGTTTGAGGGTGCTGAGTAATTGGTCCAGGGGCAGCATGCCCTCCTCCTTCAGCAGTTCAATCTCCCTCCTATGGCTCTCGGCGTCATTGCCCTCCTGTTGCTCCTCCACCTCTATGGTCTCCTCATCATCCTCCTCCTCACAGGGAGGCTCAAAGTCTCTGTCTGCGCAAAGAAAATATAGTTTTGTACGGATGGACTTGTTTCCTGACTACAAACAAATACAAAAAAAAAACCTTTTTGTATCTCAAAGATACACGATGCATCCAGATCAACAGGGTTCATAAAAAAGGCACAACACAAAGACTCAAAAGGACTTTTTAACTTATGAGTTTGGGTTTCATTGACAGAGTCTTGATAACTAAGCAGCCGCTGCACTTTAGCACCACAAAACATTGTCAAATAATAAAATTAAATAGGGACTGGACTACGACCCATATAAATGAACCGATGCCAAGTGTGCCCGTCCTCACTGAGAAAACCTTCCACTGTAGTCACTGTTCACCTCCATGCTTTGATAATGGGCAGCAGACAAGTCTGACAGGTCTGACAAGTCTCAACCGTGAGTGTTGCTGAGCAGTATCAGGTACAGCGTCGAGGAAATGTTTTACTGCACTGACTTTTTATATTAGACTTAATGTCATCTTGGTGAAGACAAGATGTCTGTGAGCTCAGGAAATCAGGTGGGATTTGTGCAGAAATGTGAGAACATGGCTGATTCTCTCAAAAGATGTGATAACCTTGACAATGAAAAGGAAACAGCTTTTTGCTTCCATGAAACATTTTACCTCTGTGCTTATGAAAATGCAGTCATTGGTGTGTAGCTATGACAACGTCCTTTTCTAAACCAATGATTCATCTCTGAAAGCAGTCTCAGTACTATCACATGGGCACAGTGAGCTCCATTTACAGAATAAGTTGCAGGTACTGTTTAAAAAAAATAAACACTTCTTTACCATCCTCATCAACGGGAGGTGGCGGAGATTTTTTGGGAGTCAGAGGGACAGTTTCAGCCGGCCTGGTGGGTGCAAGGGACTTGCTGAGGAGGTCCGAGTATTTCTCTGTCTGGCCAACAATGAAGTCCAGCTGAAGATCCAAAGCCTTCTTCCTCTTCTCCTCCAGTCTAGACTGCTGCTTGTACTGCACCACCTTTAAAAAAAATATGAGACACAGCTACTCTTAACACTGCCTAAATGAAAAAAGATTAGACAAAATGATCCTCCTTTAACTGTTTATAAATCCTGTAACGGTTGATAGTTTCCCTTGTTGAGTCAGTATTTGTTTTTTATTGTCTGAAAAGTAAAGGGCTTTTTATTTCTATCACAAAAAAACAATCAGATACAAACGATCCTGTCAAAATCCACATCTGAACACTGAAGCAGAGTGTTTTGTTTGCTTGGTGTCTGTGAATCATCTGTACCTTCTCAACACTGGTCCAGAAAGCCCGGACTTCCTTTGCAATAGAAGAGGCAACTCTTCTGATCTTGGCGTGTTCATCTCTCTTGGCTTTTTCTTCTTTTTGCCTCAGGTCCTCGTGGTGTCGCATCACCATTCGTACCACCTAATAACACATCAACAGAACACATCTAGAACACATATACGGTATGCATCATGAGAAATACAATACAATACAATACAAATGTACCTAATCTTTTAAACAAGCTAGTTAAATTATTCACAATTACACATTTCTAGGTGTAAAATCCCTCTCTGATAACTCACCTTTCTCGCCACTCCTCTCTTCCATCGCCTCTCTTGAGCGAAGTCGCCGGAGAGCCACTGCATCTCCTCACACAAGTAGTCCCAGTGAACTTTAGGTCGTGGCGGTTCTGTCAGGCGGGTGAGACGCTTCATCGACCAGAAGCCCTCTCGCTTCAGCGCCTGGGTTCGATGTTCGATGTCTGCTTCCTACAGGACACAATGACCAAACCGCTCAGTAAATCCTGCCAGCAAACAATGTTTTAGAAACTGTGAGCGAGGGGTGGGAGACAAATCTCTTACGATGGAAACAATGGCTTTCCCCAGTACTGATGCTGCAGCAGGGAAACTGTTTACTACTGGAGATATAACATTAATAACATCACAGCAGAGAACTCCCCTCCTTACCTTCACATTTAACCAGTGAATAGTCTAGACTATTTACCTTAACTGCAACTTATGTTTTCATATTGCACACAAGATAAAGACACAAGCGAATTGTTTTGAACACAGTGAGCCTAAAAATAGTGCCACCCTTTTGTATTTATTGAATCAAGAATCAATTCCAAATCAAATTGTAAGATTTCAAGAATTCCCACTCAGAGTTAGGACTCTGCTGGGTAACTACAGTTGTTATGCAGGTAAATAGTGAGAGTAGCAGCGTCTTCAAAAATACAGTTTTGTTGATTATTGACTGCTACATAGCTCTCAGTTTGCTCTCCAGTGTAATCCGACTGGGCAGAGGTAAATAAAAGTCAAAACACTATCAGGAGTTAAATCAAGGATTACAATAAAGGGAGAGGCTTCAAAATTGCAGGTGTGTGGCTCAAAGTGTTTTTAATGGAAGGGACTTATTGAATTTAAGGGTCTGATCAGCACACTAAGTAACGGTGCTCCAGGAGGGTTCAAGGATACGGTCACACATGCATGAATTCATATATTTTCTTCACGTGGAGTTTAGTCACTGGAGAAGTCGCAGGCTCAACCAACAACAAGACGTGTGTTCACTCCCCTGCAGTCGTGCATTTGTGACCCTTAATCCTCTGTTGCAAACCAGGAATTTCTGTCGATTTAAAAGCAATTTGTTTAGGTATTTTAAATTTTGGACTACTAGAGAAGCCTATTCAAGGCATCAGGGCATGAAGCAAATTGTCTCTAAACGCACAATTATGGCGATGTAGTGAAAGGCCAAAAGGCACTAAGAGGTTGACATGCGTCATATCCAAATACACACACAGCTTTCAACAGCCGGTCACACACTGGAAGCCTTTTGTGGCTCCTCAAACCACCTGTAGAATATTAAAACTATTATTTAGACTTTCTGATTTACTAAAGCTGCCTTGCTTCTACATGAGAAATGTCAAATTTATGCATCTATTTATGCATCACTCACGTGTTTAGCCAGCTCTGCCATGTCTGTGTGACGCTCGCCACGCGGTCGCTGAGGAGCGGCCTGATCGGGTGGGGAAGAGGAGGAACTGTAGCCACCAACAGAGGAAGGAGAAACGAACTTCCCGTGAGGACCCCGGAGAGGTGAGGACCTCTCCCGTCGTAGAGTGGACCAATCGCTGGTGGACAAGGGGCCGGGGTAAGAAGAGGAGGTGCAAGGTGAGACAGGAGATGAATTCGCCGTGACCCTGTCTGCTATCCACTGGCGTACCTAAAGGCCAAAAGGGAGGAAGATGAAGAGGAAATCAATTAAAAAAACGTTATCTTAGTGAGGTAAAAGCGGTAAGACTCAATGAAGACAGAAGCCACATGCATGAGTTAGAGCAAGCGCTTATAAGAAGCAAATCCGGACATGCTCCGACTTATAAACTGGCCATTAGTGAATTTCCGTCAGGTTTCATCTCATGCAGAATTACAATCATAAAAATAGCGGAAGTCAAACGAATGCCTTCTTAAAGTTAAAATGCTTCAACAGTGGCAGCGCCTCGCTAGTAAGTGCTCGTGAATATCCTGTTGAAAGGGAGCCTGTCTGGGTGTCTGACAACCACCTCTTACCTTAAGGAACAGTGCCTGTCTGTCTGTCCTGCTCTGTCCATGCTGGAAAACACACATGGCTTAGCATGCGGCCAACTTAAAAGAAATAAATCACTACATAATAACATGAATAATGATAATAACACTATTTACATATGTGACATATCAATATGGACTACATGCAGGAGGATGGGTAAAATGATGCCATATTTAGACAGTAAAAAAACATGCCAGCATGTTTGATATGACTCACAGAAGCATAATGACGTGAGGGTGTAATAAATATTGCTTTTGTTTCCAGCTGGGGTAAATCTTAAATTCTTTTCTTTTTGGGTTTAGTGCCCATTTACAGCTCATAAAATATTTCATAAAACTGTCACACACTTAAAGGTAGACCTACAGAGTGTGGCACATCACAACAGCCTAACAATGCTTTTTGTCCTCGGTTTAATTAAATAAAAATGTGTGTTCACAGAGGACGCTCAGTGTGACTGCGTACTGCGAAGAGATGCTTTACTGTGGCAATTTATCATTCAGATTATAAAGTAAAATCAGCTCTCTGAAACAGGAAGATGCACTACTAGCTAATAAACACATACTAGTATCACCATAATCACAGTGTAACAATCCACAAGATGCTCTTGATAGAAATTCCACATTTATCAACACTGTTTTCACTTCAGATGCGCCCTTGTTTAGCGGAGTCGGATACATCTGTGTTATCTCTGCATTCAAGGACAAACTCTTCGGTATTATGAGGCCCAATGCTTCAATGTGTCACACTTGGTCGTACTTCCTACTTCTGCCTCTGGCCTCACAGCTCTGCCAAAACTCCACCCTAGCCTGCAAATTTCGACATATAAGCGGATATCCCATTCGTCGTGAAGTTACCTTATGCGGTGAGCTGGGGTTGGTCATCTCGCCTTCTGTTTTGTCGTCGTCGGGGTCCTCGTCGCTGCCTTCCTCCGGACTGCTAACCTGTCCCGAAGTGGCCTCCTGGGCCTCGGTTTCTCCCGTCGGTTCGTCCTGCTCCATGTCCTCGCTCTCGTCCTCCGCGTAGAGGGAGTCGTGTTGGCTGACGGGGTCGTTGAGACTGGCGGATGTCATGACCGTACCTTCACTATCCACTGATGCTGTGAGCATGTAAAGGGTGTTAGGCGTAGTAGGTGGGGTGGCAGCGGCGGCTGCAGGGGTGAGGACATCTTGGGATGCAGGATCTGTTTCACTTGTTGAAGTTTTAGTTACAGTTAAGGCCTCTTTGTCAGATTTGCTTGTTGAGGTTGTGGGGGTGACAGTCTGGTCAAGTTGAAGTGAGATGTTACCGCTCATGGTAGGCTGCAGTACCTTTACAGGCGGAGCTGTTGTCTCTGAAGTTTTATGGACAGAGCACTGCGTCTGATCTTTCTGGCTGCTAAGCGCCACAGACGCACATAAAGAGTCTGCTGCTGAGACAGTTTGGGGAAGGCACTCCTCAGACACCGTGCCAGAGCAAGAGCTGTGGGCATTGGCCAGCTTGCCGGCCGCATTCTGTTGCTTGGACACCTGTGCCAAAAGGGAGGGTGGGTGTTTCAGGATGGGAGTTTCTCCCGGTTTAAGAAGGAGCAGCTTTGGATTTATAAAACCAGAGGAGTGAGTGGTGCAGAAAGCCTCTGGTTTGGTTTCTGTGGGCACATTCTGAATACTCTGTGATGGAGTCTCCGTCAAAGCGGGCTTTGTGGCACTTACAACAGTGACTCCTGGGGTCTGATTTAGAGAGGGCTGATTTTCTACATGAGAAACGTGCACTGAAACAGCAACGGATGATTCCATCCCCATGTCCTCACCAGTACCCACTGGGGACACGAGCGATAATGCACCAGCTGTTGCTTCTGCTTCCTGTTTTTGGGGAACTGCCTGACTTACAGGAGACTCATTCACCTCCGTTTGGTTTTGGACAGCCGCACTGACCTGTGAGCAAGGTGTCACAATTTGTAGACTGGTGTCTGTCTGTTTAACAGTGAATGATTCAGATGTAACAGCAGCTACTTCAACTAAACAAACCGCACTTGTGTTAGCCACTTCAACAGCTTGGTTAGCATCTAATACCAAATGCTGTCCGACAGCAGCCACCCTTGCGTTTTGCACGGGCAAATTATGGGATTTACCGTTAGAGCAAGCCTGTGATGAAAGCAGGGGCTGCTGGGAAATAATAACCGTGTCACCTTCATTAAGTGTGTGAATAGATGGTTCAAGATGCGACTCTAGATCCTGTTTGCCAGCGTATTCCTCAGAGTGTTCTAGTAACGCGTTGAATAAGTTCACCTCGTATCCTGGAGAGTGAGCTATCTGCACACTGCTGCTGGCGCAGACCGTTTCCTCGGCAACCTCCTCAACCAGGCCACAAAACTCATACACTTCCACGGGCTGCGAGTGCAAGTCCATATCTGCCTGAACACTTTCCTCGTAGAGCTTCGGTTCTCCAGCAGAGAGCTCAGCACTCAGCTCGTTAACAATGGCAGCTTCACAGACGCTGCCGTCTTCTCGTTGTAGGAGGTAACTCTGATTCAGGTGCATGTTCGACCAGTCCCCACTGATGTGAGCCTCCTCTCTGACTACCACAATTTCTTGAGCATCGGCGGTCAGCGGAGTCTCTGGGGTGAGGACTTGGTCTGAGGGTTGAGATGTTTCTGCTTCAACAACCTGCTCCGCCTGCAGTGAGTCAACTAGGCCCGTGTCAAACAGAGGGGTTGCAGCAGAAGGTTTTGAGGAACTCTCCCGTGTGGAAGAGCACTCTGGCAGCATTTTGAAGTCAGATGAGGAGGTGGTGGTGTCAGTTTGTTCTTCCCTCGTGCTGCTCTCCCCTTGCTCTCCTTCAAGGGGATTGCAGCTCCTCTGGACGTCGCCGTCTTCTCTGCCGACTGTGCTGCCGGACACCGAGCCTCCATTTCCAGGAAGAGTGTATAATCCAGGAAGCAATTCTCTTGCTTTTGTGGTCTCAAGTATTTCAGCTGAAGGAGGTTGTGTTTCTTTGTGAGAAGTGTCAACAAGCTCTTTAACATGTTCAAACATCTCAATTGATTCCAAAGAATTAGCTTTCTGTGTTTCTCTGGCGTCATTTGAGAGCTCTTTGATGACTTTAGGTTGTGTTTTTGACACGTCAGTTTGTTTAATCTCACTGCTGTCAGATGAGGGTAAAGGGAGCGGGAACGATTTTGAGTCCTGGTGAACACCTGCCTGCTCCGCAGCACTTGGCGGAGGTATATGGCTGCCTTGATTTGCGTGGGCAAGTGCGTCCCTGTCAGACTGCTCCATAGTCCCATGTTCTGTGGTGTCTTGGACTTTGAAACCAACACTTGATTGTGAGACAGATGGAGCTGAGGCTGTGAAACAGATTTGAGATTGGGGTTGAGGGAGAATACTTCCGCCTGTGTGCTCTTTTCCACCAAGTTCCACGTTTGTTCCATTCTCTGGTTTATATTCCAATGTGACGGACTGTTTCTCCTTTGTTCCCGCAATGTCCACAAGTCCAGCACCCTCTGTGGGTGGCGGAATCTGGTTTGTCTGACTATTTGAGTGGCTTTTCTCTTTATCAGTTTGTGACCCGTATTGCAACTCTTGCACTGTGCTGTCAATCTGTGAACCTGGGGCGAGGGGAGGACAAAAGGGGGCTGGAAGCCTTTGCGTCTCAGCAGAGGAACTACAGTCCTCATCGAGGGATGTTGGCAAGGATGTCGAAACTCCGACAACGCTCTCCTCAGCGGGAGCTTCTTCTGAGACGCTGTCCTTAGAGTCGCCGCTGATCGGGAGAGTCTCAGGCAAGCTGGTCGGAGGGGCGTTCTCCATGCCGAGGAACGCAGAGTCGCTGCTCTCCGGCAATGGCACAGTGGACGGATTGGTGAACGGAGGGACTGGGCGGGGGGCAGCGGCGACCGGCTGCGGGGCATGCCGAGGTGACTCCCCAGCCACATTCTGTGCAGCCTGGGGGTTGCCACCCAGCACATCCACAGCCGGAGGGGCACGCTGCCGCACCGCCTCCTCCCCAGAGCTTCCTTCCTCTGTGCTGCCCCGGCTACACACTGCACCTGTGGGCGATACAGGTTGTTAACAAAGTGTCTGGACCAAGTGGGTAATTTATTGAGTGGCTAAAAACGAACATAAAAAATAAAACACTCAGCACAAATAAAAAAAAAAAAAAAACCTTTTGTAGATAAGGTAGGCAGTCACTGTACTGTGGCTGTGTGTGAACACAGGACACTGTATTCTCCTCACCGCCTACTAACCATCCGACTCACTACCTTACAAAAGGCACGGCACAGAACTACTTTTACCTCAAAACAATCTGACGTTTTTGTAGAAAAATAACTTAACATCTAACACAAGCGAGCCATCATCGAACACTGGACACGATGTTACATTCAGAACTGACTGGATGGTGTGCAAAGCAACAACTTCTCACCTGTCTGTGGTGTGAGACACAGATCTTCTGTGCTTTCTACTTCCAGGATGCTGAAATTAGGGTCCCCTCCACATATTCTGAGGAAGCGAGAAAACAGAAAACGGACGGTAACTTTATTATTAAATAAAAAAATTTAAAAAAGGACCAACTGCATATCAAACTCTGATGTTGCAATCTATTGTGTTTGCCACACTACACAACTACACAATAATGAGTTTAATCATTGTGAAAACAACAAGCAGCAGCTACAACACATTGCATTAGATGAGATACTAGTAAAAAAAAAAAATACCACGATGTGTCGGGGACGAAGTGTAACCTGTCACACCGAGAGCAGCAGGATAGCTAGGTTAGCAAACAACTGCTAGGACTACAGTGGGGGGGGTATCTGCAGGGGCAATAAAGGCGGAAAATACCCCGTGAAGCTCCGTTAGCTACCTCCAAGTTGCATCTCTTTTTTTTTGTTTTGCTGCAGTCGCCCACAGGAAGATGCAGCACGCGCTCTCTCTCAGCTAGAAGCCGGTGGCGACCGGAGGCGCGCGGGGCCTCCACTTCCATTCATTGTAACGCTCTCGCGACTGTAAACCGTGAATCCACCGGGGCTACGGGAACCGGTCGGTAGTCTCTACGGTGGGGGGGGGGTTACATCTTTATTCAAGCAAGTGCACTGGGGGGGGCTTTACGTGCACGAGATGGAAATATGAATCGACTTCTATGTGTGTGTGTGTGTGCGCGTGCGGGGGGGGCAGCGACAGCACAAGTTAACGCCTAAAAACGGTTTACCGGTTTGGTTTAACACACACACACACACACACACACACACACACACACACACACACACACACACGGTTGGGTGGCACTTAGAAAAAATAAAAAAATAAAAACGGGGGAGGGAGGAGGAGGGGAGGGAGGGGGAGGAGGGGGGAGAAAAGCCTCGCTAACTAGCAAGGTAGAAAGAGTTGGTTAGGGTGCGTTCGTTTTGATGCGCAGGCGCCCCCCTCCTCCCCTCCCCTCCCCGCCCGCCCGCCGTTATGTAATGATCCGGCTCCCAGAAAGAAAGAAAGCCCCGGTAACGCCGACATATTGATAAGTTATTGGAGCACACACACACACACACACACACACACACACACAGAGAGAATAACACCTGAAAAGTCGCATTAAAACCCGCTTCTGCATGCACTACAGGGAGGGGGGGGGAGGGAGGGAGGAGGGAGGGGGGGAGACAATCACTCGTGACGTCATTGCGTGGGGTCAAATCTGTTTTTTTTTTTTTTTTTTTTTTAAAAAGGAAAAATAAAAACGATTTATAATTATTCGGTTTCGAGCAGTAACGCGGATTACGGTCCGGATGAAGACACAGAAGGACGAGAAAAACAATGTTTTAAAAAGTTGCATATACATTTTGCAGTGATCAGACGGGGGGGGTTAGGGGGACCCGCACCGGCCCACGGCTGGCCGTTTGGAAGCGACCGGGAAGAAAGTGATGGTTGGCGGGTAATTTATGTCCTTTAAAGACGGTTTTAAAACCGGAGTTCAACCGGCGCTGCTGCTTCTACCGCGGTTCAACTTGGTGTCAATACATTTCCGGCGCCGTCCGTTAAAGCAAATACCACCAAGTAAAAATGCAGTCGGATTGTGTCCTTTCGTTAGTCTGAGCCCCCCCCTCAATTCCCCCATTACTTCCTCCTTTCCCCCCTCCTCCTCCCTCTCAAGGCCGCCATCTTAAGTTCCCACCTACCTGAAATTTCCGACCGATTTTCTTTTACTAAATTCTCGTTGAAGGAGTCGTCATCCGCGTAAAATCGCACTCAATCCGTAAAGCCAGTAATCCAAACCGCCTCCCGGTACCCAACGAGGTACCACTAGGTCTGTGGGAAGAAGTTAAAATCCGGACCGGGAGAGACTGGGTTTCGGCGCAGAATGTAGCGGTCGCGGGGAGGAGACTTTACGCAGCGAAATGGTGGAGGACCGCTGCTGCTGCTGCACAGCTCGCTGAAATCTCGCGAGATTTCCGTCAAGCGCGCCACTTAAATTTTAGATTTTTTTTTTTTTATCTCCGTAGTTCGCTTCATGAAAATATTTTAGTTTAATCGTTTTATTTTTTACTTTAAAACCGTCGTTTGGATAATTATATTAATATTGACTGTGAAAGTAAAACGATGTATATTTATTTATTTATATATTTATATTTATATGCCAACCTGTGGTCAGATTTTATATAACAATAGGTTTTGTAATTATTCTTGTGATAAATATGATAATGAAGATATATATTATAATAAGTTTATTACATGTATGACCAGAATACCCCTGGACTTTTGGAGCATACATTTCTTTTAACTTTAATAATACATAATGTACTTTCCTTCTTATTCCCTTTAAATGTAACATTAAAATAACAGTTGCTTTTGGTCTGTTTAGATAATATATATATTGATATTAATCCAGGTGTCAATAATAATCTTTCTGTGTGTGAAGTAATTTAGCTGAGATATTAAATATAAATAAATTAATGAAGCTGAAACAATCAGTTGATTAACAGAAAAATTAATCACCACTTCTTTTAATTAGAAAGGACAAAAAAAATGACTGGAAACTGCAAATATGTGCTGTTTTTCTTTGTCTTCTCAGGTAGTAAACTAAATATGCTCGGGCTTTGGACTGTCTGTCAGACAAAGCACTTGTTTTTGATACGTCAGCTCCGGCTCTGACACATTGTGATCCATATTTTTTCCAGTTTTATGATTTTTATATCAAGAAAATAATGAATAATTAAAATGAAAGTTGCTATCCTTATATTAAAAAGAGTCAGAACAAAAGACCCACACAACAGAGTAAACAACAATTCATTTAATAATTAATCTTTGTGGTCTCTAGGGGAGGGGTTTGAAAGGTATAAAATGGTCATATTAAAATAATCGACCCAGTCTTTTCCCTCTCAGGATACCCACTGTCTAGCTGTCTTTTTGACACAAGTACATATATTTTTTTTTCAGTTCTTCAGCAGATGTCCCACTTATCCATGTATATAACTTATTCTCGTTGATGAAACAACTCGACAGTTCAATGTACAAGGCTCCCATAGTCCCAAATGGATATAACACACAACCAATGACACACAAGGCAAACCTCCCTCTGAGCATAATAAAGTCCTAGATGAGATCCTTGAAGAGGCCAGAGGTTGCAATGGATACGGCTTAATGTTCACGAGCATTAAAAAGTTTTGTGAAGCAAGCCTTTTGCTTTGTCTTTTGCATGATTTGAAACAGATTACTACCTGGGGAGAGAGTACTGGTTGATACCCGAAACAAAGACAAATAACATAACAGTGAATATATTTATTATTATAGAAGATAATTAATGTTAAGAATAATAATTACAAAGGCAATTTCTCTAGACTACTATAATCTGGTCCTGCACATATAGTCAAGAGGAGACTGGGGGAAACAGTTACAGGAAGCTCTAAAATACTGTGTTCACTCACACAGTGTAGCACAGTTCATTTCGCCATTCATCCTTTGAAAACAAAAACAAAAACAAACCAAAAAAAAAACAAGCCAAAAAAGGTTGAATCTCATTATCAGTGAAGCTGAGGGGTTTTGGGTTTAGATTTTTTTTTTTGGGTAAAGCAGGAAACTGAGGTGCGATGCTTACCGATCTTCATTAAAATGGTCTCATCAGTAATTTTGTCTTCTCACAATGACAAAAAGACACAAAGACAGAAACAGAAAGCACCACTTTTACCACTGTATTTCTAAAGACCCTCATCCACAATACCTAATCAGGGGTGACTTATGTAGAGGAGGGCTTTATAATATCCCATGAGTATTTAACCAAGCTGAGGATGAACCCTTGACATGTTTTTTTTTTTTTTTTTTTTTTTTCACAGTGTACATCCCTCTGGAAGTCATTTCCAATCCACCCGGAAAAAAGGCTTGCTAAGTAGCATGGATCATAATTCACCTGACAAATGAAAAAAAGCTGTCCTCTGCCTCTTCGTACAGCTTCTGAAATCGACTACTGTAATAACCAACAGCCAGTATAAAATAAAAAATACACCAAGGATGCACAGAAACCATGTACCTTTAAATTGCACTGATAGAACCATTGCGCATATTCCAAGTCTTGCATTCCCTCCCTACCATCACCTCCAGCCAGTCATGGTTACCCCTTTTTTTGCAGGGGGACTGGAACTGGTTTGGTTGTGTTACTGGAAGGGGAGGGGTTAGTAGTCTGCAAGAGGAAAAAGGGGGCAGGTTGAGAGCAGCACAGTGATCCTGACATTTCCCTTAATCTCCTCCAGTGTTGTCCCTGTACTATCTGGACTCTCCGTCTTTGTGGGCGCTGTACAGTGCCAGCTCACCTGGCCCAAGTCTAGAACCGCGGGGAGGTGTGGACGACCGGCTGGTGATGGACGGAATGAGCGGAGGCGGTGCCCCCACTGCCAGCGCTCCCACCAAGCCTGCAGGGGTTTTTGCCAGGATGCCGTTGGGCACGTGGTGCGCGTTCAGTGAGCCTAGACGGGCGTAGAGGCCAGCGTGGTGCTGGGCAGCAGGAGAGGCTCCGTGGGCGAGCGAGTGGGCGAGAAGGCCGGGGTGGAGCTGCTCCAGGTGAGCGGCAGTAGCAGCATGAGAGGGGCCCGAGAGGTGAGCGCCAGGAGGGAGGTGTGGGTGCATCCCAAAGTAGCGAGCCCGCTCAAAGTCTTCCCTCAGGATCTGGGCGCGCTGCTCCTCATCGATCAGTCCTCCGCCTGGGTGTCCGAGGTGAGAGCGGTCAAAGTGATGGGCCATTAGGCCAAACTCCTGGCGGACAGCAGAGCCGGAGGCAGCGGAGGTAGAAGTCGGAGGGTGGTGAGGGGGGGCTGCCTCCATAAGGCGTTGATGGAACAGTCGGGCCAGGTGAGGGTCTGACCGAAGTGCCAAAGCCTCCCTGCGATGCTGATGATGCTGATGATGCTGCTGAGCTGCAAGCTCCCTCCAGGGGTCCCAGGTGAAGCTATGTGGACCCTGCGGAGGTCCTTGAACTGGACCATGGGCAAAACGTTCTCCTGGACCCATTACCAACCCTGCACCTGCTGTGCTCCCCAGATACGCTTCAATGGCCCTGGAGCGGTCCAGCAGGGAAAGGTGTTGGTGGGAAGGAGCGTGGTTTGAAGTATGTTGCATTAGGGGAACACCAGGAGTGGGAGTCAGTGATAAAGAGGAAGAAGAAGGGGTACCAGAACTATGGTGGTGTGGATGGCTGTTGGGCCGGTCAAAGCTGTGGTTCTGCACCGGGGGAGGCAGGGAGATGGGGATATGCTCCGGCTCCTCTTTCCGCTCCTCTTTGACTTTAACTGGTGGGAGAAGCAGTGGAGGTTTGGAGACGGGCGTTGTGGTCCGGTCAGACTTCTTGGCCTGAGACAAAGAAGTGACAGAGGCAGAAGCTGCGGAGGAAGAGGGGAGGTTGCCGTCTCTTTGGGAGTGTGAGGGTTCATTGTGGAGGCTGTGTGTTGTTGGGGCCAGTGCACGGGGGTAAAGGTCCAAAGGAGATGGGGCTGAGCGGTTGGAGGGTGGGGGAGTAGTGAGCACAGAAGATGAGGAAGACCGTGGTCTGTCCCTGTCTGCTACTAAAGATGAAGAGCCAACAGGCAGCCCACGTGAAGACACCGTTGGCAGCGGCCTCTTATCTCCATCTCTGTCTCGCTCGCGCTCTCTTAAGCTGCGTGTCAGGTCCTCAATGGGGCCACTGCTCCCACCCAGGGCACTGCTGTGACCATTAATGTGGGAAACTGGGGTGCTACTGCGGGGCTTGAAGGAAGAGGCAACTGGAGACATTCTCACAGGTTGTCGGCCATACAGCATATTGTCTCTGCAAAACATAATGTGCACAACGGTTACATAATGGAAATCATTCATAATAATCCTTATGTGTATCACTTAAACTACAGTTTTTGAGGGCTTTTTTTTTGCCTTTATTTGACAGGACAGCTTAAGACAGACAGGAAAGGGAGAGAGAGAGAGGGGGTGACATGCAGCAAAGGTCCACAGGTCGGACTCAAACCCATGGCCACTGCTGCAAGGGCTCAGCCATGGGGCACCAGCTCTACCAGGTGAGCCACTAGGGTGCCCTTAAATAAGTTTTTACTAGTAAATTGTTGATGTAAACAAGCTGCAATGCACAGTATCACACTTGAATTAATAGTAACTTGGGTACTGATTGCTAACGAATACTGCCTCATGTCAAAAAATCGAAGCCATTTCTTTAAACCGGTATTAAAATCAACTGAATGTCATACCTGTCCTTTTCATCCTTGATGTGGGGGATGTCTCTCCTCTCTCCTTCCTTCCCCCGATCCCTATCGTCCCGCTTATCTGCTCCTTTAGCCCAGCTGGGGCCTGGGGGGAACACAGATGGGCCACCGTGTAGACGGTTCCATGGGTCATGATGGTTGGGGTTGGGTAAGCCTCCAACCACACCAGCTGGTGTGCTCGCTGCGGACCAAAAAACACGTAATTTTTGTTAGAAAACAAACCAAAAAAACAGCGTCGTGGTTAAAAAGGTAGACAAACCTTAAAGCTTTTGAATTAAATATTTTACAAACCCGCTATTGCCATCTTGTGGAAATAAAATCCACATGCATTACACACAAGGTTTGGTTCTTAGCATCTAGTGTGATCCCAGTGAGTATCAAGTCACAGTTCTTAGAAGTTAAGAGTAACAGTAAAAACTCTTAAGGAAACACACCTAAGTAACACAAAGTGCATTTTATAACTTATGCTGCTTGAACAACTTCTGTTACAGGACGTACAAAGAATATTTGGCCCTTGCTAAATCATCAAACCTCTTGTGACCCTGTAAGTGATGTGGTTAAGCACTGGGCACTTTGATTAATGAGCTCTCCCATCTTAGCCTAGTTGTAGCAACACAACTAAACAATGGGACAACTTCCTAATAAATCTTTTTCTCCCTTAAGATTTGACAGAAATGTTTAATCCATGTTTTCATGTTGGACTGCTTGCAGTCTTCACAGATACTCAAGTTAATGCATCCAACCTTGTACTTGTATATCAATGACAAAGCCCAGCACAGCCAATCACAGCATGTCTCTGACAGTGACAGCTGAGCTGTAGCTGTGCTATAAGACAGGAGAGAAAAGCATTAAGAGAGGAGAAAAGCAGTAAGTGATGACAAACAAACGCCTCGGCCAAACGTCAAGACAAGATTAGTAGTCGCTGGATATTTTATCTCAGGTAACAAGGTACTACACCGAGCATGTGGTAAGATTATGAGTCTTGTTTACTAACTAATTAATCAAATAATTTGATTTATTTGACTATTGTCTTACACTACACATATTTAGGTGTTCGTGTATGGCTGTTTGTGTTAGAAAAATACACCTGATGCCTTTAAGAAACTATTTGGAAAGAAAAAAATGTGTTTATACTCAGTAATGTAACCATTAAAAAAAAGTATTGTTTTGATAATTGGAGCTAAACCTCAAGAGTATATTCTGGCCCCAGGATTGTGAAGAGAAAATCAAACAATACCCAGGCCTAGATCAAAGCTGCACTGGTAGAAGAAAAGGCAGGAAGAGGGGTTCATCAGAGGCTGTGTTAATCTCCAACGTGCATTTATGCCTGTAAACTTATCAGAAGCAGATCTCAGTTCCTCACAAAATATCCGCTGTACTTATTTGTGCCGTTAGTAACTTCTGAGACTGAAATGTCAACAGTTATTTCTGAGAAAAAAAAAGAGAAACTGTGTTGTTAATAGTTTTGTTTTGAGCCTGCTCATGTCCTACAATTAAACCGTGCACTGCTGCAATGTCACAGAAAAAACACCCCTCACAATACAAAATCTATTCCATTCTCTTTTTATTGCTCACTGTGAATTATCGGTTCATAATGGCATGAAAGGAATATAATCAGCTACAATCATGAATCTCTCTTGTGGGAATAACAGGCTAGAAGGAAGGTTTATCCGTTTTTTGGAAGCCGCCACGTCCCCAGTTCCTGCTTCAATACAGTAAAGCTTTACAACCCACACCACGGAGCAGATTAGCTGCTTAATGTAAATATACAGATGTAGCTAAAATCTGGATTCATCCCTTACCTTTACCAGTGCTTACAAATAACACAACAATAATAATTTTAAGTGTTAATTTGACTTCTTTGCTAAATTCAATAATTCAAGAAGTTTACACTGTTCTTCGTGGTATTAATGTATAATCCTAGTCTATGGAGGTCACTCCAAAATTTGTATATATCCATTAATTAATATGTATTAACAAGTAAGTGTGACACTAGTGAGCTTAAGTTTATTAAAATACAGTTGTGGCGTAAAATGCATTGCTCTCCGTGCACCGTCTTGTTCTGAACAGGTGCGACTCGACAAGCCACAACAAGCTCATCATCATTTTTAATTAGCAGAGTATGGTGAGGAAAACATAACATTTTGCACTTAATGTGGGTGAGAGGCGGACAAATTATTTTCCACCCACCCACACACACACAGACACAGACACACACACACACACACACACTGCATCCTCAGACTCAATCGAAAGCAACCAGTCAACTTTTCACAGGTTCCAAGTATTTCACTTATATCCTATTCACAAACCCTCAATATTCTTTAAAGGTGTGTTTATACTGTACCTTACAGCATCTAACCTAGAAAAAGAGAGAGCTCAGACACGAGTTGGGACTTAAAAGTAGAGGTTATGATTTTTCAAGTCTGTCTTGATGCAATAATCATATTTACTGGGTGCTGTAATTATTCCTCATGTCCATACTGGGGTGTGACCTGATCCCCTCTTTGTGCGACTATACTGCAATAGATGGGGGACAAAATCCACAGTATTCTGTGTAAAAATGTATTTTTAAGTTGAGCTGAAGGTAATATGAGTCTTCGGCAGTCTGATATCGTCAAAGAGAGGAAGAATCCTCAGAAGTTTCATACAAAATTCCCTCGCCGTGCTTCCCCAGAGATACTTCTTAGTGGTTGCATCTAGGTTTGTACCCAATGCCGGCAATAAATCTACATAAAAAAATACTCGCTTGATCTGTCTGACTCAAACTGCTCATATTAGTCTCAGCTGAACTTTATAAGACATTTTTGAACAGAGGGAGGACTGTGGATTTTTGTCCCACATTTCTTAAGTGGAGTCACATTATAAAAAGGAATCACATTATGGCCATTATGGAAAGGAGGGATGATTACAATGACCAGTAAGTCGGTATGTGTTTAGCCTAACATGAAAATGTATTTGAATGGAGGCCAGATCGGTGACGCAGCAGGTAATGCAGAGGGTGTCAACTGGCTCAACTTTTACCGCAACATGTAATATGTGCTGTTTACTTTATGATCGTCGCACAAAAAAGATAAAACAACCGCTGCCATGCAACCAGAGTTGTTAAATCCTGTCTCACAGCATTATAAACCGCTGTCCAGTGTTTTGCCGTCTGATAAGCCACCGCCAACAGAGCCCCAGGTGTTAACGCAGGGCTGTTTTCAGTCAGAACACCCATTTACCCTTTCAACATTCATATAACATGTGAAGATTGTATTAAGACAGACTTGATAAGATCTGAACCGATCCTTTAAGCCTCGTGTTTTGAGAGTACAGGTACTGTAAGACTGACCCATTGTTGGGCTGCCAAGTCCTCCAAAGGCACCAGAACCAAGCGCTCCCAGTGGGGTGAAGGGTGGGGATCGGCCATACGGATCTAAAACACAAACGCAGACAAACATCAGAGATACTGCGTTGATCCAAACATTCATGGAATTATATGTCTATACAGGCGTTAAATACTGCTGACACTTCTGAAATACTTCCAAATAGATGTGAGAACCTTGACACAAAGATCAAAAATACTTTGAGATCACAGTTTTACTGAATCACAGCTGAAGAGAATTTGTTATATTTAACATAACAGTTACGGAAACTATACCGACAATAAATATGCAACTGACCTTGACCATTCATAAATTAATCAAAATGAAAGTGAAATCTGGAGTGGATTCAAAGTGACAGACATTGTGGCATACAGATGTGCCTTTTTAAGCTGCTCTTACCCAAGTGTGCAGCTGGTGCGAGGAAAGAGGAGTGGGGCGTTGATGGAGAGATGAAAGGAGCCGAGGACGGATTGACTGGCCCTGTGGGAACAAAGTTGTAGTAAAAGGAAAAAAAGAAAATGTCACGAGCAATCAAGTCAAACGCGTCGAGCTACTCATACACTTCATGCTGTGATTCAAGCAACGCTGTGAAACCTCAGGGATGTGAAGACTGGATGGATCGAAAAACAAATAATGACAGGCGGTAGGAGAAAGCATTGGTGAGATCTTTAAGAAATTAGTCAGAATTATGTGTACTAATAGTCATCTTATAGTCATGTAACACATTACACAACTTCTTGAAGTTGTCAAATCAACAATAAATTCACATTCTCTCAACTGGTCCTCAGAGACAATAAATGTTTAGACACGCACCTGTCGCTGAGAACAGACTGGGAGGCCTGGTCAGATCATGAGTGGGAGGCAGGGCTCCTCCTATGGGCCCCAGGGGTCCCAGTCCCCCAGCTCCAGGAAGACGGGCCAGCAGGTCAGTACGGAAGTCCAACTTGTGAGGATCAGCCTGCATCAGCTGAAACAGTTCTCATTTTGTTACGACGACTTTATGATTTTAATCTCTCAATGAGGCATTTCACTTGAATTAAATTTTTTAAAAATCGGGGAATCACTTAGAAACACATACCTTTACTTTTTTCTGATGGCTTAGAATCATCCAGGCCACGTATACATGCATAGCACACCATTTTCCTGGTTTCTGCACAGCATAAAAGAAATCACAGGGGTTTACTATGTATGTATGTATGTATGTATGTATGTATGTACTATGTACAACTTAAAGCCTTTGCACACAGAGTCAGATGTTCTTCCGGTTGTTTCCGAAATATCTCGTCTAGCCTCAACACAAGGTTGGGGTTTTCCAGCTGGAGATAATGTTACTCCCTAAAGCTCAGTATGAGTTTGGGAAAATAAAAAGTCAGTGAAAAATGCATAAGCAGGGATACAAGAAAATCACGGGGGTAGAACAACCACATACATTATACACGGGGTAATTTCTGGGTCTGAAATATCTAACTGGGTGTGCAAGGGCAGAGAATAGACCGGTAGCAGTCAAGATTACAAGTGAGATTAATGCAAAGAGTGAGTGAAGCAGTGAGGAAGTAACAGGCTGAAGATTTTAAGGAGCCAAGGGATTCAAAAACATCTGTTTTTGCTTACATTACTGATTTTCAACGATGTCCCAAATGGATCAGTTAGCTACAAGAGAACAGAAGTGTGAGACCACTTTTAATCAACATATCTCACTCTTTATGAGGAATAGTGTTGCACTCTTTACTGCACTGACTAGGCCCATGTTGCAGCACATCCTAACCTAACCTGGCTGTCCACATCTGTACAGTTCAATGCTATCAAAAAAAAGGAGGCAAACTTTATGTTTTAAGTAAGCATGTTGTCCTTACCCTGGGGTCTTTGGGCTGCAGGTGGTGAGGCACAACCCCAAGTCGTGCGCTTATATCAGGACCCGTTCCCTGAGGGACAAGAGGCTGTCACACACAGTACAACACATCAGCAACAACCTACTAATCTACTGATTGACATGTTATTTTCTGTCTTTTTCAGTGACTTTTGTCATGTGTTCTCACTGTGACAGATTCTGAAATCACTTTGTCAGAAGTAAGGAGTTTACAGTCTTGTAGTACCTTGAAGCAAACATGCGAGGGAGGGTCAGTGCTCCTCAATAAATTACCCTCCAGCGTTTATTGTCTGGAATGTCACAATTGTTAATAAACACGCTTCATATTTTCATCAGTGCAATCCCAGTGTGGGTGATTAAATGACTCTGGCTAATGACACCAGGTAATGTGAGATGTCTCCTGACAAAATGACGTCTACTTGGATGCCCAGGAATAAGTAATATAAAGATGTGAAGAGTTTTTGTTCTCACCTTTGGCTGAAATGCTCCTTGCAAGGAGCTGAAAGGCCCAGTGGGAGGAATCACAGGCTGGATACTCGGCACTGAGGGCGGTGGGTATTGTGGGAAGAACTACCAGGACACAGACACACATACATATCTTAGTGACCACTGAACAGCTGAACAAGTTAATCAAATCAATGTCGTTTTGTGCGCATAAAATCTTATTTTCTCGTTGTATATTGTTTAATCTGCTATTTATCAACACCTAAATAATCAGTAAGATTATACAAAGTACTCACAGTGTGTCTGTACAGCCCGTCCATTTTTCCAGGATACTTATCAAACTAAAAAAAAAAAACAGAAGCAGTGCGTGGGTTAAAACATCGCAAAAAACACATTCCAGCCACACTGGAATTTCAAGTACGACACAGATGTTCAGCATAACAGCAGAGAGCATCTCACCAGAGGCGGTGCGGTAGCTGTGGGGTGCAGGAAGGGCGTGAAGTGTTGGTGTGTGTGCGTGTGTTGGTGCTGGTGGTTGTGCTGATGAAACTGGAAGGCCATGGGTTGGATGTTCGACTGGTTCTGCGACGTCCGGCCCGACGAACCCGGGGCGGAGCTCGATGCTGATGGACCACCGGGAGTGGAGCGGCCCGCAGCAGCTGCGTTATTTTCAGCCCCTGGGACGCTGCGTCTGCCCTCGCGATCTTGTGAATTCAAGTAGTGCGAGTTTAAGTTGTGACGCATTATTTCCTGATCTAGAGTGGAAGGTGTCAAAGTGAAGGAGAGAAAAGAAATTATGTTAATTGTTGAAAATAAAACATTCACATCAAAATCATACACAGATTAGCTCATAAAGGGGAGTATAGAAGTATAAAATACGACAAATGTTGATATTATAATACATCATATCAGTATCTATAGTGAGTATTAGTACTATAGTGTTCACTAGAACTGCTAGAACTCGTTTGACAGACACAAGAGTAACACATTCAGGATTTTTATGTTGCTACTTATCTAGTCTCCAAATACAACACAGTACATCATGTAGCTTCTGCTTTATACAAGTACTGCAATACTCGCAGTGATCAGGCCTCACTTCATCAATAAATAACTTCCTCAACACCCGAGACAACTGCCAGAGGAAGTCTGGGTTTGGTTTATTTTAGTAACATATTAGTCATCGTGTTCCCATGAACAGCTGAAACAAACCAACAGGCTGTAGCAGCAGTGAAAAGTAGCTTTCCTGTTGACTGTACCTGCTGCAGTTGAGTGGGCAGGACCTTGGAGCAGAGGGGGAGGAGGAGGCAGGCCAGGTGAGGACGTAAATAGGGCCCCAGAGCTGGCTCGGGATGGGGGTCGGAGGGGCCCTGAGACTCCTGAACCCCTGCTGTAGGGCAGCGACACACTGGTGGAGGGAGTCGGGGGGCGCATGGAGGATGAGGAAGACCCAACAGATGAAGCAGAGGAGGGAGGTTTGACTGGGGTGCTGCTCCTGAGAAGAAAGAAGTATAAATAATGAATCAACTTTTCCATTCTTAAACACTGAGCCAGCAGGGATTCATTGTAAAAAAAAAAAAAAAAAGGTACTCATACCTGTTGTAGATGGAGTGAGAGCGGCCAGGCAAAGTGAGGAAGGGTTTGGGTTTGGAGAGTGGGGGACTACCGTTGTGGCGGCTGCCGTTGGGCCGGGGGACGGTGCCTGAGGATTTGACCGGGGAAGGCAGGAAAGAGAAGGAGGTAGAAGAACAAACAGGCTCTGGGAAATGCTGCTCCAAGCTTTTCTCCTGGCTTCGCTCCAGGCCAGAGACTCTCGGGGTCACCATCAACCGCGAGACACAAGGGGCCGGTAGAGGCGGGCAGCTTTTGCCCATCGATGTGCCCATGTTTGAGGGGGCAGGCTCCACAGCTGAAGAACAGAACATCAGTCAGTATTTTGCACGTTATAGTACCAACATATACAGGAGAGGGACCACAAACCCAAAAGGTGAAATAGTGCTCAGGTTTAGAGGTAAAAGGAGAACAAATCCAAATTCCAAGGATAGTCAGAGCTGGTTCAAATTAGACCCGAGGAAAACTGGAAAATTCTGATTCACGTCCAGCCCTAAGATGTACCCTGAGGCATAGAGGTTCATGCCTCAGGGTACAAGTCATTACTGACTTAGCCTCACATAGCCAGACTATCACCACACTGCGTTTCAGCGCTGTGCCAGTTAGGGCTGTACGTTATGGTAAAAAAATCCTATTGTGCTTATTTTGACAGATTTTGTATCACAATTTTACTGGAAAACAAAACTATGAAAATCATGATTGTGTGTTTATCAGCCAGGGCGACTCTGCAGCACTACAGTACTTCATTACAATAGTGTTTTGTCACACATTTGACATTTTATTAAAACACTGCAGCTTCTGCAATTTGGTTATTGCACTTAAGATAATATTTCAATTAATTGTGCAGCTCTAGTGCCAGTGCAGAGGGGGGCTGGCTGAACCCATTATCATTCTGGTATAGAGGAAAGAAAAAAACCTCTCTGGATTGTTTGTATTTCTTTAAACCAATCACAATCGTCTTGGGCAGCGTTAAGCCCGAGGATACAGTGGCGTTTCCCTTGCAAAGCACTCACACGCAGAAAGCAGATCGGGAGGAAAGGAAGCCAATGGCAGCCATAAACCCACATCTTACTTCCTGTGAGTCAGACTATTATTGACTAAACCCACATCATGGAATACCAAACAACCAATCTTTCATGTCATAATCACATCAATGTACAGCACAGGGTATGCTGTGTATTCTGATCTTTCATACTTTGGTATAATTGACTTAAAATCAGCACCAGTCTCCCATTGACTTAAAATGTAATGACACAGGAAAGAAAGCAGTCACAGCTACTTTAATCATTTTCTGTTAAGATCTAAATATAGACAGTTTACTGACACATCATTTCCCTGTTTCATTGAATGTGAAGCAGCAGAAATAAAGCAAACTGAATTTCTCATACCTTTCCTAGTACTGACTGTGAAGACTGGGTCCATGTCATTGTCGGAGGCCTAGACGGGGGAAACAAAGATTTAAATTAATATACAGAATTTGTCGTACCATATCAAGACTGAATCATGTGTGACAATCTATTAGGCGAACCAACAAATGAATAACATCGTCTCATCGTAAAGAGAATGAGTTTATCTTGTTCCCATACAAGAATACTGTTTAATAGCAACAAAGTTCCTACAAAACAGGGCAAAAAGTGTCAAACATTCATTATCTAATGAAAAGAAAAGCCTGGAATTAAGATTGATAACAATGAAGCTGTACACACCTTATCTCCTGTATCACTCTCAGTGTCACACTGAAAGAAGACAGGGAAAAAAAAGACAATTCACTACTGGAATATTTCAAACAACGTACAGTTTTTAAAGCAGTTTGCAGAGAGGCTGCACACTGATACACCAGAACATCATGTTCACTTCATTATCAGGAAGAAAACTTACAATGTAGCCCGTCTCCAAAGGGTGTCGCTAGAAAAAAAGAACAGATAAAATTGGCTCTAATGGGTTTTCAAATATGTTTTAAATAATGCTAAATGGAAAACTGTATATCAGTGATTAAAAAAGGATATAAGAGGTTTACATAAGACTATATTTCCTGGTTGTACAGAATCACCCGCTTCATTAACAACACAACCTCGAATGATGTGTGTTGAAAACCAGTTTTACTAGATCACAATCGGTGGCAGGATATACAGGTCAGCAGCAGCACCACAGAAACGTACACATAGCTATTTGATTAAGAATTAGCTCAACAGCTCACATGACGAGACGAAGGTAGGTCCAACCACCCCATTAAAGCTCAGTAGTCATAACGCAATTGTTCACCTCTATTCTTCTCCTCTTGTTTCGGCTCTTGTTCCAACAACTGCTGGAGTAGCTGTGCGGGGCTCCTTCCTCCGGCTCGGACAGCGGCCCCCCGCCGTTCTCCTCTGGCCCTCTCTTCCCCTTGTTCCTCCTTCCCAGCATATCAGTGCGCTGACTGGGCTTCAGAGAGCAGTCCATCTGATAAGGAGAGGAGAGAAAAATAACCAGTGTTTACATGTCTACAAATAAAACATGAATGTGTACGCCGGAGGGAAAAGACCATAGGCTAGCTACACGCTGATTAATTTCCTGACAGACCTAATTTCTGCACAGCTTCGACTCTTTGAGTGATCGCAAAAATAGAAACACCAGAATGATGTAATGCAATACAGCAGCCTGCAGGAGACTATTACTTCAGCTGTTTGTGTGTTGACTCGATTGTCTGGTGTTTTGAGACTGTGTTTTGTGGTTGTGTCGTGTTGAACTTGTTATATTTTGTCCATATTTAAAACAACAGCATTTAAAAAAAAGCTCCTGTAGAGTTTAATCAATACTTTGCTGGCAAATGTTCACAATGGGGGGGGGGAAGAGAAAATCACAAAGGGACAGTATTAGTATATTGTATTAAAGTACAATGTAGTGTGTAGAAGTTACGATCTTTTGGATCTATTATCATCCAAACTATCTACACCGGGGGGTCAGAAGGTAAAAATTAGGAGTGAACAAGTTAGAAAAGAAGAAGCAACTCCGCTAAACAAAATCATTATTATTTCTTTCACCCATTTCTGGTGAAATGCTTGAAGTATTGCCTCTTCAGGCCCTTTTTAAAAAGGATATTTTGTAAGCGTGGTTTGGCTACAAAAGGGTTACAAGCAGCAGCTGAAAAATTTTGGGAACCAGTGACTTATATGCAAAGACAGTTTGCATAAAGGCGCTCTTCAAACCTCAAGAGAAAAAAGGCGTCAAAATAAGTGAATGAGATCCAAATAAAGTCGTTTACAATGCAAGAAACAAGTGCATAAACAGCTGGAAATGACAAGGTGTTGATGTTGCATGTATTGTTCAACTACTGTTGGTAGCTAGATGTCTAAATAAAGACTGTGAGCTTAAAAAAGGCCACGTATTGTCATTATTCTGTTTGCTTGGATCCCTCAAAGTTATCAAGTTTCTGCTGTTTATTGTAGAAAAAATACAGCAGATTATTATATTGGAATGAGGAATAAATAAATAAATGATGTCTTAAAGAATAACTGCGGGCAGTTACTGTTGTTAAATTCGAGCAGGAAATTCAAAATTCAGAAAAAGGAAATTGTCACATTCCAGTAAACATTGGTACTTTTTTTTTTTTCTTATTAGCAGTTTCAGATGGTAACCAACCATCAATCTTTGCCTTCACCGGTTTATTTGACTGTAAAATAAAGTTACCCAAGAGAATAGTGGAACTGTACACGTGTGCAGTTTTATGACGTAAGCTTACTGACAAATTAATTTGGTTTCCTGTCCTGATGCAGGGGTCAAAGCAAATGTCACAAGACCCACCCTGAAGGCAGATGAACCGATATTAAAGATTATTTCTCTTCATGTGAATGACAACTGTGCCACTTGTAAACAACATGTAAATATTTATATACATGTAAGATGTGTGTATGATGTATTAAAGCGTTAATTTCCTGTCTGTCTTAATGGATATACACAAACCTGAGCAAGTCGGGAATGAAAAGTATTATTATTAGTGAGGAGTACTTAACGTAATCTCCGTGGTGAGTGACACACAATTATACTTTTTTCTTTCTTTTTCTGAAAAGCCATTTGGCAGCTCATCAACACCTCAAAGAATTAGGACATGAATAATTTAAGGTCTCTCCAGAACCCATCAGAGCGATGCCTTGGGGTTTGGGGTTGGGACTGAGTGGACTGCTTTCTCCCAAACAAGGAGTGATGTCAGAGTAGAGAGGGCGTATAATCTCACAGGATGGTATAGTACAGAGAATAAGGATATTTATATATATTTCGGGATAAAAAAAAACACTAATTTATCGTGTTGAATTCGCATTTTTGTGGTATATTCTCACATGACTTGACTTGAAAAAGCTGTCTAGCTCACCAGCACATGGTCCTATATTTGTTTCCTGATTTATTTTGAGGGGGTGTGCGCATTTTAATATTTAGGTTTAAAATCCTAAACCTGTCAACCCACAAAAAAAAGTTATACCTGGATGTGTGGGTAAGATCAGGGAGATGATATGTCCTATATGTAACTCAATAAATAAGCGTTCATTAAGAAAAATGTAAGGTAAAGTGATTCCAGTATGTTTAAGTGCCATTTTATATTTTAGGGCTTCAAGATATTATAAAAACATCACATTAAGATTATTTTAACCGATATTGCAGCTTTAGGGCTCAAATTATCATTTTAGCCTCACAAATGTATTTTTCTGTCAACAAATAAAAATGTTTTCTTTTATCTGGAGAACAAGATTAGTGGAGTTACAGCTACAGTACATCATTATACACGTTTATTATTGCACTTGGCTCATATTGTGATGAACTGTGGAGCCCTAAATATCGCGATAACACGGTGCATCTCTAATATTTAAGATATTTAAGATAATTGTGACATGAATATTTCACTTCTTTCCTCAGAGAGAGAGAGAGAGAAGAACTCATTTAAGTTTCAGTCTTACTGTTTCTGCCAATCAATTCAAATAAAAGAGAGGAAATGACCAGCCGCCTGCCACGCTGCATTATAAACCCTTATCCATCACTTTGTTTATTCTAATGTGGAAAATAAATTACACTTGATGAACGACAGCTGCTTTCACTGGGTGTAAACACACACATTTACCTCCAGTGCCTCCAAGCTGATAAAGCTCGCAATAGCGAAGCCATCGATGATGTCTTCCTCGCAGGACACCGACTCCCTCTTCCTCCGGCGTGGAGGCCTGTGTCTCCCAAAACCGGGCCGACACTCCCTCCCACCGGGACCCAGGACACTGTTGGTCCCACACGCCTCCGGATCGGAGCCTGAGGACAGGGATGTGGCCCTCTCCTCGGCCAGGTTCACCCTCCTCCGCCGCCGCTCCCTGTCGCGCTGTGAACGGGACCGGCGGCTCTGTCTGAACCCAGTGCTTCGGCTCGGGCCCTCCATGTTCAAACGGTTCTTTTGTAACTCCAGTGAGACCCGAAAGGAAAAAAAAAAAAAAAAAAAAAAGGCACTTCTTTACTCAAGTCACCAGAACCGCTAACTGAAACCAGCAGCACACAGGCCCTGTGTTAAAATGGCGTTAATGGGAACCAGTGGCTATTATTCACCGTCCTCTGACAACAGTCCAGTGGCATCAGAGCGGAACCTCAGAGTCATTTCAGTCAATGTGAACGCAAACTTTACCCCCACATGGGCATTTAACACATTTAACACACGCACACACACACACACACACACACACACACACACGCGCGCGCAAACGTCAGGACATAGCCGGACTGTGTCTGTAAGCTATAACGTTAAACGCATGTAAACAAAAACAAAACCTGTCAGGAGTCCTAAACAATATAAACAGAGTAACCCCCCCTCTTCTTCTTCTTCTTCTTCTTCTTCTGGTTGATGCTAACGCGAGCTAACGCTACAGTCTCCAGCCGATTAGCTCATTCTTCCGCGGCTCGCTAATATTTGTAATTTAAACTATATATTGTTAAAACAACGTCGGTGAAGTCAGCAGGGCTCTCTAACAGTCCGCGGCCACGGTCCGCGCGGTGTTCTCGTGCTCCCGACGGCGCTGATCGATAGTTTTATCGGTTCAATTCACATCGAAAGAAAAGACGTAACGTTAGCTTCCCGCTGCTAGCTGAGCGTTAGCCGATCCAGCTGTTAGCCACCAGCGAGATTTATTTATTTATTTATTTTTAAAAAAAAGAAAGAAAGGAAGCAGGGAGAATGTGTGTTTGTTTTAAGCCTTAATAATAATAATAATAATATTTAAACACAACTCTTATTTCGGTCCGCGTCCATCACGAAGAAGAAAAATAAAAATAAATGAAGGCCCAAATATGAAAGCCTCGGGGTCGATTTCCATAAACGTGGGTGTGGGCCGAGCCCCTGGCGGGCTGCGCCGCTCCGTCATGCAGCCTCCTCCGGTTGTAATCCAACTGTTTTTAGGATTAGTTGGAGCCGTTTCCGGTCAACGAGCTCTGATTCTCACTGAATCCACTCTGTTTGTGGACGAATGGCCGCTCCGCTGCCCGGTTCAAGAGTTTCCGACTGGATTTGAGATTAATGTTGAAAATGAGAGAAAGAGAGAGAGAGGGAGAGAAAGAGAGAGAGAGGGGGAGAGAGAGAGAGAGAGCCGTTGTCAGCCCGAGCGGTGCATTGTGTGCGCCCTTCTTCTTCCTCGGTCAACAGACTGTCTGCTGGGTCGCTCTGCTGGTGCACAGCGCCCCCAGCTGGAGACTGTTGGTCGCTGTCTGTTGTCAGGTTCCCGACATATCCGATGTGTTGTTGTTGTTTTTTTATTTATTTATTTATTTATGCGTATTGCATTCGCTTTTGAACTTTTCTGACTCATTTTTTCTGTTTTTCTAACTCATTTTTCCTGTTTTTCTGACTTTTTTTCTGTTTTTCTAACAATTATTTTCTGTTTTTCTAACAATTATTTTCTGTTTTTCTAACAATTATTTTCTGTTTTTCTAACAATTATTTCTGTTTTTCTGACAAATTTTTCTGTTTTTCTAACAATTATTTTCTGTTTTTCTGACTATTTTTTTCTGTTTTTCTGACTAATTTTTCCTGTTTTTCTAAAAAATTCTGCTTTTCTAAAGAATGTCTGTTTTTCTGACAAATTTTTTCTGTTTTTCTGACTAATTTTTTCCTTTTTTAAAACAATTTTTTCTGTTTTTCTGACTAATTTTTTCCTGTTTTTCTAACAATTTTTTCTGTTTTTCTGACAAATTTTTTCAGTTTTTCTAACAATTATTTTCTGTTTTTCTAACAATTATTTTTTGTTTTTCTGACTAATTTTTTCCTTTTTTCTAACAATTATTTTCTGTTTTTCTGACTATTTTTTCTGTTTTCTGACTAATTTTTCCTGTTTTTCTAAAAAATTCTGCTTTTCTAAAGAATGTCTGTTTTTCTGACAAATTTTTCTGTTTTTCTGACTAATTTTTTCCTTTTTTAAACATTTTTCCTGTTTTTCTGACTAATTTTTTCCTGTTTTTCTAACAATTTTTCTGTTTTTCTGACAAATTTTTCTGTTTTTCTGACAAATTTTTTCTGTTTTTCTAACAATTATTTTCTGTTTTTCTGACTAATTTTTCCTTTTTTCTAACAATTTTTTCTGTTTTTCTGACTAATTTTTCCTGTTTTTCTGACTAATTTTTCCTGTTTTTCTAACAATTTTTTCTGTTTTTCTGACAAATTTTTCTGTTTTTCTGACAAATTTTTTCTGTTTTTCTGACTAATTTTTCCTGTTTTTCTAAAAAATTCTGCTTTTCTAAAAGAATGTCTGTTTTTCTGACAAATTTTTCTGTTTTTCTGACTAATTTTTCCTTTTTTTATAACAATTTTTCCTGTTTTTCTGACTAATTTTTTCCTGTTTTTCTAACAATTTTTTCTGTTTTTCTGACAAATTTTTCTGTTTTTCTAACAATTATTTTCTGTTTTTCTGACTAATTTTTTCCTTTTTTATAACAATTTTTTCTGTTTTTCTGACTAATTCTTTCTGTTTTTCTGACTAATTTTTCCTGTTTTTCTGACTAATTTTTTCTGTTTTCTAAATTTTTCTGTTTTTCTGACAAATTTTTCTGTTTTTCTGACTAATTTTTCCTGTTTTTCTGAGTAATTTCTTCTGTTTTTCTGACTAATTTTTCCTGTTTTTCTGACTAATTTTTCCTGTTTTTCTGAGTAATTTCTTCTGTTTTTCTGACTAATTTCTTCTGTTTTTCTGACTAATTCTTTCTGTTTTTCTGACTAATTTTTCCTGTTTTTCTAAAAAAAATTCTGCTTTTCTAAAAGAATTTCTGTTTTTCTGACTAATTTTTTCCTGTTTTTCTAAATTTTTTCTGTTTTTCTAACAATTTCTTTTTCTGTTTTTCTGTCTCTTTTTCTAACTAATTTTTTTCCTGAATTATCAAGATTATCGAACCTCCAACGTGCAAGTGACTCCCTGACTACAAAGTCCTCAGGTGCCTGCGTAGAGTCCACAAACTAATAGATATCAAACCATCTATAAAACTTAAAGACAGGACTATCTCCTAGTGTCTTAAACCAAGAGAAAAGTAAATCTTGATTGAACTAAACAAGCTGGTCTGTTAAATCCAGCTCTCAATAAAGGAATTAATGTGTCTATTGTTTCTAAGGCCTTCTAAACTCAGAAAATAAATTACTCTGAAAAACAAACCAAAAAATAAAATTTCAAGTGAATGCAATACACTTACGTAATTTTATTTTATAGGCTGTCATAAAAAATAAAATTACAGAAATGTATTGAGGTATTATCAGAATCACTTTTATTGGCCCAGGTTAGTAACATTGTTCACTCACCATATTCCACTTTATTGCATAGAGTATATTTATTTTCATTATGGTTTTATTATATTTTACTCTTTGCACTACATTCCCCCGGTTCCACCACAGGCGATCAATAAAGGAGCATCTTATCTTATTTTATTTTATATGCACACATACAAGGAATCTGACTCTCAGTGTGCAAACGCAGAATAAGCATGAAGAAACAGGACAACAAGATACACATAAACTGCTATGTACAGTTCTACACATACAGTATATTTATATATAAGCAAAATAAATAATTGTAGAGAGGATGCTGAAATAAATGTTTACGTGCAGGTATTTTTATGTACATGAGGCAAGTGATTATAATAATATATTCTGTATGCCTTACTGTATATAATTATTGGAACTTATTATTGGGAATTATTATTACTGTTAGTCTAACTCAGTGGATAAACTAGCTTTTTTCCATAAAATATGTCACTTAGTTTACTTAACTTAAGTGAACTAAGTGAAATATTTTATGGATATTTCATATTATATTCAAAGAATAAACAATAACAGTGCCAAACAACTGATAAATTCTATAATGAACCTAAATAGTGAATCTAATAACTGCAGGAAGTTTGTGTAAAGGAAAATCTGTGAATTTTGCATCACAGATGAGTGTTCCTAATAATTCTGGGACATTTTTATACAATTATTTGTCTGTATTATGTTATTTTAACAATCATAGATACTTAATACCTTTCTTCTTTTGACAAATTCTGTGTTTTCTCCTCATTGTTCTATCAGCTCTTTGATTGTTTTAACTTTTCTAATGCAGGACGAGGCTGTAAAATAGTAATCTAAAGCTTAGAAATAACAATTTAATGTAGTTTTCCTTCACAGAAATGAATGCTGAGAGAAAGGCGTGCTGTGTAAATGTTCTGTGTGTTTTTTTAAAGTTTTCTTACACCCCTTAAAATCAAGAGGGCCTTACGACCCCCCCGGTGGCCAAAAGTATGTGGACACCTCATTCCACATGCATCCTTTTAGACTGAGATTGTTTTAATGCTACAGCATACCATGATATTCAAACTTTGTGACAACTGGCCACAAGGCCGCTGTGCACCAAGCCAGGTGTATAAAGAAAGCCTTGGAAGAGTCTGACTGACCTGCACAGACTGCTGACCTCGACCTCTTCCAGCAGCTTTGGGGTGAGCTGAAGCACCAACTGTCGGGAGCCAGACCTTAACACCAGCTCTCGGGGCTGAACGGGAGCAAATCCCTGTAAAATCTGGTGGACAGCTTTCCCAGAAGAGTGGAGGCTGTTCTTAGCAGCAGATTAATGACCATGGTGTTGAAATGAGATGATGTTTTTAGGAGTATAGGTAAGGGTATAGTAGGGTACTTGAAGGGATAGGGTCAGTAATTTTTTGACAGGCCACCCAAAAGTATGTAAATATATATCTTTAAAATTATAATTAACTTTTTTTCTCCCTACACTTTAACACCTATGCTGTTTAAAACCCTTCTACACAATACCAATGTCAGTAATTCTAGTGGGGAAATACTGAATTCTTGTTTTTTAACTTGTTTTTTCTGCCTAAAAAACTGTCGAATCAGCCTTAAAAACCCAACCGTGAGCAATTCACGTGTAATTAAATAATGTAAACTCTTCAAATTCCCAGAAACAACACTCAGAACTTAGAGACTTAAACACAGAAACAACACTCGACAAATATACAAGAATTAATATAATCAAGTATTACTTTATTCAAAATAAAAGCCAGAACAGTTTAAACCTCTTCATTAAATTCATGTCACTTTTGTAGCCACGAAGCAACACTTAGCACAATATACAGGCAGACATATAACATAACTATATTATTAGCTACTTCAAGTGAGCAACAGATCAGTGTTTTAAAGGACAAACCTGATGTTATTCTATATTTTTCTTACTGTCAACAAATTAAATTAGAAGATCAAATGTCGAGTTCATGTAACAAAACTTTCAAACTTTTCTTCCAGCCTCAAGTTCGCTGGTTTCTACTGAAGATGTAAATCTTTCACATCACAAACATGTAGTTTCATCATTAACAATGGCTTAATAATAACCTTAAACAGCTGGGCAGTTTTTAGCAAACTTTACTCAAACACACAATTCATTGTTGTTGTTGACAATAAAAGAAATACAGAATAACTTCATCATTTAACACCACCTCCAAAGTTTGCAAATCAGTTTAATAAATGTGATTCTGTTGTCAGTTCTCTTGCATCTTTGGTTGAAGTACAGACAGTTCTTATTATTAATCATTTTAGTTTCCTGGAGGTAGCAAGAAGGACAACCTTGTGAATGACAATAAAACATCCCCTGAATCCTTGAACATTCATCATCTGGAGCCGAGCAGAGAGTGCAGCAGGATGGCTGTAGCTACAGACACGTTGAGAGACTCGACCCCGGGGTGCAGCTCTCTGCCGGCTGGGATGGTGAGAAGAGTTTGGCACAGCGAGAGCAGCTCCCGGGACAACCCTTCCCCTTCACCGCCCATCAACAACAACGTGGGTTTAGTCATCTGAAAGTCTGAACACTGGGTGACAGGAATCTGGATCTCCTCCGCTTCGGCTCCCACGGTGCCGACCACCTGCCAGCCCTGTGCCGCCTTCAGCCTCAGCATTTCTTCCAGGTTTTGGTACCCGTACACGCCCATCACCTCCATGACGCCTGAGCTGGCCTTGCTGACCACTGGGGACAACGGACAGCTGTTGGAAAGACTGCTGGCGACTCTGTCCACGCCGAGGAAGTAGGCAGTGCGCAGGATGGCGCCGAGGTTCATGGGGTCCTGAATTGCCTCCAGGACAAGCCAGAGAGGGGTGCGGTGGTCTTCTCTGCTGGGTGCTGAGTCCCTGCCTTCAGTGAGGTAGCTCAGAGGACTGGCCTGCAGACACACTCCCTGATGTAGTCGCCCAGAAGACATCTTGTCCAGATCTTTCCTACTGACCCGATGGATTTGGACTCCTCGCTGATGAGCCACCTCACACACCTGCAGCACAGAAGCCCTGTGAGAGGCCTCGCCATCTTTTACAAACAGCTTACGGGCCGTCCTTCTACCCTGAGACAGAGCAAAGAGACAGGGAGAGACGCCAAACACAACCTCGTAGCTCTCTGCTTTGGAGTCCAGTGTCGACTGCTGTTGCATCTGTTTCTCCTTCTCCTCAGGGAAATCATCCAGACACAGTTTCCTGAGTTCAGACGACACCCTGCTGTTGTCTCCCTTCCTCTGATTGTGCTGCACTGGCTTCTCACTTTTCCACGCTTTGCTCTGACCTGACCTCTCACGATCCCACCGTCCATCAGATGCATTAGGTTTGGGTTGGCCCCCGGGGGTACTGAGCACTGTGCGTTGTCTCTTTGGCAGAGGGTTGAAGCTCCTGTCCTCTGGGTGCAGGAGAGCAGCTGTGACATGATAGGAGGCAGACTGAGAGCTCACTCTGGAGATTAAAACAGGAGTCTGCAATCTTCTGGTCCAGACAAGCAGCATCTTCTGCTGATGCACAATTCTTAATACCCACATATTGACAGAGTTGGAAATGTGTCCAGAGGCACTAAGAAGGTCAGAGAAACGTGGTTCAAATGCCTGAGAAGTCCTTTAATCCACATGTGTGTCCGCAGATTTCTTGTCGATTATCTTTAATCTTGATTATTAAAGGCAGAAATGTTAAAGAGTTACCTTTGTTCAACCATCAACACCAACTCTCTCCCTCCATAGCTGCTGTGTTTGAGGCCTTTCTATGAAATACGCACATGTGCAACGCAGCTGCGGAAAGTACGCGACATTATGACCGGATGTCGAGCGCGTTTACCTATAAAATAAAAGCCCAACAAAATGTAATTCATGGCATTCAGAAGTTTTCCCAATAAAATAAGAAAATTAACGGCATAAACCGGAGACTTTGATTTAATCTTGAATATATTATTAAAGTTATATATATTTAAGTATATTTGGTCTAAATATCCTGAACATAAACACCATGTGTAAAAGAAAAACACTGAAAATACACCTTCAGTGTCCTCAATAGTAGCTATGGCTGTAAAGGTGCTGCTTATGAATTATGATGATAATTTAATGTAATAGAATATCTCAATATAAAATAACAATACATATCTGAGTACTTTTACTTTTGATAGTTTATATTTTGCTGATAAAATTGACCCTTATACTTTTTTAAATCGTGGTATTACGATGTGAGCTTAATTAAAATATCTACTATTTCCACCACTGTATTAAATGTTTTAATTTTAATAAAAAGTATTTTTTTTTTTTTATTATTTTTTTTACAAATAAAGGCTTTATTTTGAAAGTTGTTTCTCTCACTTCCTCTGGTGTTGACGCTTGTGACGTCGGTGATTATAAAAAAAAAAAAAAAAAAAAAAAAAAAATCTGACGTTTGTTGTCAGGCGTGCGCGATTACGTCATTTCCCGGAAGTGAAACTATCGCAACACGGAAGTGTCGGAAAGAAAACAAATAATCGCTTCTAACTGTGTCGAGTTGAAGTCGGAGAAAAACGCCCTGAACACCGTCTACCTTCTGGATCACCGTCTTCTCACGTCGAGCCCGGCAGACGGTGAGTACTGGCTATAGTCTGCGCCGGTGGGGGCTATCAGCTGTGGGGGGGGTAAAAACAGGAGAGAGAGTTCAGCGCTGGTTTAAAGGCCTCAAGTCACACAACTAACTGCTGAGGAACATCCCATAACTCTTTATTCTCCACTGCAACCTGAACACTGAGGAAAAGTTCCATTTAAAAGTCTGTAGGTAATGTTTTACATTACATTAAAGGACTGTGTGTGTGTGTGTGTGTGTGTGTGTGTGTGTGTGTGTGTGTGTGTGTGTGTGTGTGTGTCAGGTGATATGAGTCAATCAGTCCATCAATAAGTTCTCATATTAACTGGTTAATCGTTAAGCTATGAACAGCCCAAAGAACCCCAAATATATCCAAGTTATGATGAAGGACAGAAAAAAAGCAGCAAATCTTTACATTAAAAGAGAAGATCGATTGTTCTGATCGATTGTTCTGATCGATTGTTCTGATCGATTGTTCTGATCGATGTTTAAATACGAAGCTGCAACCAGCAGCTGGTTCATTTATCTTCGTTAACAGACAGAACTCGCCTACCAGCGCCTCAAAAGTTCACTAATTAACTCAGTAAATTCTGTTTATTCATTCAGAAAATGTGTCAGGTGACATGGGGGTGAATCAGTCAGTCAATCAATATGTTTTTATATTAATTGATTTATCATTAAGCCATGAAAATTACAATAAACAATCCAAAAACCAAAATATATTCTCAAATCTTCACATTTGAGAAGCTTCCACTTGAGATTTTGCTTCAAATTGAATTCCTGTCCGTCCTAATTGATTAATTGATTAATAATTTAACCACTTTTTAACAGCATCTATCTAGTATTGACTTTCTGCTTGTGCTATTTTCAAACAGATGGATTTCCTGTTTGGGAGAAGGAAGTCTCCGGAGGAGCTGCTGAAGCAGAATCAGAGGGCGCTCAACCGAGCCATGAGAGAACTGGACCGAGAGCGAATGAAACTGGAGCAACAGGAGAAGAAGATCATCGCTGACATAAAGAAAATGGCCAAGCAGGGACAAATGGTGAGCTGAAGGAAACTTTCTGTGAGATATTAAAGAATAATCCTAACTGCCACGTGTGCTTGTTTTTTTTTTTTTAAATCCTCGCAGGACGCTCGTCAAAATCATGGCCAAGGATTTGGTTCGCACGCGGCGCTACGTGAAGAAGTTCATCATGATGAAAGCCAACATTCAGGCCGTCAGTCTAAAGATACAGACGCTCAAGTCCAACAACAGCATGGCACAGGCGATGAAAGGCGTCACCAAAGCCATGGCAACCATGAACAGACAGGTCGGTGACACACCTGAATCTTCAGTGGACATCAACAACAACAATAACAATAATAATAATAATAATAATAATAATAATAAGCCTCTTGTGTTGACAATCGTATTTAATTTCCACAGCTGAAACTGCCTCAGATTCAGAAGATCATGATGGAGTTTGAGCGACAGAGTGAAATCATGGACATGAAAGAGGAGATGATGAACGACGCTATCGACGATGCCATGGGGGATGAGGATGATGAGGATGAGAGGTGAGGGACAGTGCTGACAAATCTTTTCTTCTACTCTTTATTTAGTTGTTTCATTATAATAATTACTGACCAAAGAAATGAAAGAAAATCACATTATCTTTATGTTATTCCCCCAGAACCTCCTCCATCCCTCAAACACACATAATACCTATAATACATAACATAATGAAAGAAATTAGACATCTTGTACCTCTTATTTTCCTTTACATTCTTTATAATCATCAGATTTTATTCAATTTTTAACCAGTGAAATGGGTTTCATTAAAGGAGTAGTTCAATAAACTCGCTGGCGTTTTTACTGAGAAATAAATGAAGAAGATGCCACTTTTATGTCTCCTCAAAACACACACATATAATACATCATACATAAAATAGATCAATAAATACGTAAGTTATCAAATTCAAATGAACACGCATTATACATTATACTGTAGTTATATATATTTAAAGGGACACTCCTTCAGTTTATCGCCTAAAGATCAGTTCACCTGTCACGAGGAGTGTGACTCAGCCTGTGAGCAGGTTGTGTAATTCGTTCTGTGGCTCTGGAGGAGCTTTCTAAAATCTGACTCAGCTGACGTCATAGGCAGGGAGGGGAAGCTTTCACCTCACTGATTTCAATCTTCACATATTTGTATCGCAAAGAACTATTGAGTTGCATTATGGGAAGTGTAGGATCCAGTGTCCAGTTCTTTCTTGATTCATAGCCTCCACAATCTTATATAATTCACCCAATATATGAATTCACTTGAACACGTTTGTAACTGTGCCTCTGCTTCATGTACAGCGACGCCATCGTGTCCCAAGTGCTGGACGAGCTGGGTCTCAGTCTGTCCGACGAACTGTCAAGTAAGAAAAATCCCAACACTTCCTCGTCTGTTGTCCGGTTTTTACATTTATTATACTGCTCATCGTGTGTGTGTGTGTCCATCTCAGATCTGCCCACCGCCGGAGGAAGCTTGGCGGTGAGCGGAGGAAAGAAGGCCGAGCCCCAAGCCGCCCTGGCTGACGCAGACGCCGACCTGGAGGAGCGACTGAACAACCTCCGGAGAGACTGAACGCGGCCGGAAGGCGCGCTGTTGTTTGCGAGGTTGTTAATACAGATACAAACATACTCGAATCTCTCGTGTTTAGATTCTTTTTGAAGGTATAACTGGCAGAAACGCCGGCTGTTTCAGAAAAAAAACGGTCTGTGTTATAAAAGGTGTATGGCTTTCTGTTTTGAGGTGTTTTTTTTTTTTTTCATTTTTAAGCGTGAATTGTGTATTTTATCAACAACAACAAAGAAAGAAACCCTATAAGGATCATTCATAGGTCTAGCAAATTCTTGTCTCATGTAAGACATTGCCAAAACACACAAAAATATCTAAAAGTGACAATTTATTTCACTGTCTGTGTAGATACTAACTCCTTGAAGGCATGACGTTTTCACAATTTAAATTAACACTAAAGACGTTTTAAAAGAACCCAAATGAAAGTTGGTAACGTGACAGAAGTGGCTATTTTATATGGGTGTCTGCACTTTTTGTACATCAGGCTGGTTTTGGCGTTCTTTGTATCCACATCATCGTATAAAATACAGTTTTAGCTCCGATTTGGGCTTTTCAATGACTTTTGATTGTGTTTATTTGTGGGAGTTGATGGTCGTCAGGCTCCAGCTGAAGACGGTGTACAAAAAGTCTCATTTATCTCGACATCTTTTCTGTCTAAATTCACTAACAGGACGGTTTATTTTACAAAAACACACACATATATATATATATATATATATATATAGGGATAAAGGATAAAGGACAAAGAAAGAAAGAAAGAAAGAAAGAAAGGAAGGTATGTTCAGGTGAATCTTCACCGGTGGAAAAGCACTCCTGTGTACTTCCGTTTGTCTGTGGTGTTTTTTTTTAAGACGAGCAGGATTTTCACCAAAAATAATTAATTAATACGAAGTCGGTGGTGTTTTGAGAAACTGTCCTGTTGTTTTCCTTTTTTTTCTTTGTTCAATAAACATTTTTTTCCAGATTTAACATAACTGGTTGTTTGATTAGAGGAATATCACACATGGAATTCAGTTTATGAGTTATAGAAAGCACTACACTAGTGTTTAAGAGCTTTACTGAGCCCTAGGAAATCACCCAGATGATGCAATCTGGGTTAGTCCAGCTCGGGTTTGGAGGCTACATACTGTTAAAGGCATTACAAACTGAAGGAGTGGAGTTTAAAAGACGTGGGCAGGGAGTGTCAAATGAAAGATGTTATCTTGTTGCATTATGGGAAGTGTAGTATTCAATGTTTTTTTTTTGGGTGGTTCACTTTCTAAGTATATCTTAATACTCGCATATAAAATATTGGTCACTCTATAGTTTGAAGGAATTTTATACTAAAAAGATTAACTTTTAAAGATCACTTGATGTTACTAAGTACAGTACTTGAGTTAATGTATTTAAGTAGTTGACATTTTAGAGGGAAATATATATATATATACTTTTAATGGGAGTATTCTCAAAATGTGGTTTCACTGCTTTTTCTTAAGTACAGGATCTGAACACTCAGACTGGTGAAGCCTCATATTTAGCTTCAGCTGAACTTAAACGCAACAAAACCTGTGGATTTTATTATATATATATATATATATATAAATATTATAATCTGAGTTATTTGAATCTTGAGATATGTTTAAGAAATGTTTAAGATAAGGTTTCTGTAGCAGTTTGTTTAAATCTAAAAATGTCCTCATCCAAAATGTTTGTTTAAAACCAAAAACAAATTTCATAGACATGTTAATTTTATTCCAAAAAAATTTAACTTTCAAAACTGTCAATTTGTCAACATACAATCATAGAACAATATTGAATGTACTCAACACTTCCAACATTAAATAATAAAAAAATAACAGCCATGTTTTATGTACATTTGTTTCTGAAAGCTATGTACAGAAAAAAAAAAAAATAGAAGAAAATAAAAGAAACTCAAACTTTGTATTTCCAAACTCTGCCTACAACATACGCCCGGCAGTCGAAGTATTGAAGCTTGCAGAAAGCCATTGCATCATAAAAACAGGTTGAGCAAACGCAGCGAGGGAAGAAGAAAGAACGCGGGCAGAAATCAAACACTGCGATTGTGACTGAGATTAACTCAGAGAGGGAGAGATTAACTGGCAGCATGTTAAAGAGCATACTCGTGAACATCATAGAACTACAGCTAGAAAGCTTATTTATCGTCTAAAAATGGTTTCCCGTGAACGTCAGATAGCTGCGTCCTTTAAGACACCAATGCATACACGTAACTTGCCTAGTATTTACTGGATGTAAGCGCATTGTAAAGATTGGAAACACAAAAATTAAGATCGTAAACTGTACTTTTGTTGTTATCGGATCGCCTTACGATGAGGCAGCAGGTTCTCACTGAACAGAGCAGCCAAAAGTCATGCTATCAAGAACAAGAGTTTGTAGTTTTTGTTGCCCAATGAGCAGAGATTATTCTCCATTCTGGGGTTTAAGCCATGCTACCATCTTTTTTATTTTTATTTTTTAAAACAGCTAGAGTCCATGCAACTCACATAAAATAAAAAAAGTAATAGAAACAAAACAGGGAACAGAACACTGGGTATCACGCCAAGTTTTACCACCCCTCTAATTTTCTGTGCTTTAGTTTTCATAAAGAAAACCAGGAACACGTAACAATCATTTGCTTTTCTTATTCTTTTTCTTTCTTACATTGGATTGGCAAGAACTGATATATTCTCTTTTTTTTAAAATATGAAATCATGCTGTGTGGCTCAAAACTCCCGATATCACACTGAACATTGATAAATCTTTAGTTGTGTGCGAACAATATAGGCAATACACAGCACGATACAGTCAGATTTGGACATGTTTTTTTTCCACAGAACGAGTGGTAGGACGACCCAGAACCAAAAAAAAAAAAAAAAAGTTGTAGCCGTATTGCTCATCATGACACACAATTCAAGCTCTACTTTTCAGTCAAAATGGCAAATAATGTTTCTTCAAACCCCCCCCACCCACCCGCCCGCCCCTGAACATGAATGCACTCCAATATAGAGTCCAAATTATCAGCTGACTATGCATAAAAAGTGATTAACGCCACTTTTTGTGTGATAAAACCAATTTTTCAGGATGGAACAGCTGCTACAAAATGTATTTTTAACATGTTACAGAACATGCACATAACATTTTTCTTTTTTTTTTTAAGAATACAAACTGATGTGTAATCTTCAACAGCCGCTAACATGGGAACTGTAAATATTGTGGCGTCAGGCATTTAATCTCCCCTTTCAGAAGTGTAAATGAGACCAGAATATCGACATCCACTGGCGCAGCTACGTCCCATCCTATCACAATATTCTGCAGGAGATCAGCTGGTCTGAGGCGACACGTTGAGACTTGAGAGCCGTGAACTCTGCCACAGACTGAAAGCAACAGCAGTTATACATAGCGACTGGTGACGCGCCTCCCCCACCCCGTCCCTCCCCAGACAAGACAAATGTGTAGCATTCTCTAAATCTGCAGCACGGAGCGGCATCTCTCCGCCGTTTAACGCCACGTGGGTTTCACTTCCGACAGGTCCGGTGAGGCGTGTGTTTTTTGGGCACCTCGATGCGACATCGGCTTCGGTCATCCAGCCAAGGCAGCTCGAAGTTCCTGGAGGAAAAAAATTATTTAAAAAAGAATAAATAATAAATCAACATTTTACTTTTGTTTAAAAATAAAAACAAGTGTAGAGACTTATTGTGCTCGTCTTCAACTTGAATTAGACAGGGGAGTGAGTGGATAAACAGAATACAGATTCTTCTATACAGGGCACAAGGGCTCGCTGAAAGGTTTGATGAAGCAAGGTGATCACGTGCTATTTGGGCTGCACAATAAAGGTAAAAAAAAGATCATATTGCAGATTATTTTAACAGATATTGTGGCTGCAATATGATTCACAGTAGTGGGAAAGAGCATTTTTGCATCACTGTTTTCATTTTCACTGAAAAAAACAACCAAAATCATGATAATTGTGACATGTAATGTTGTTTTGTCACCTGTTTTACATTTATCCCAGTTGAACATACCTGGGATACTTTGGTGTGATGTGCTTAGACATAGGGAGTTTCTTTAGGAAGAGTTCAACAGACTATAAAAAGAAGCCCTGACGCTGTTCTGGAGGCTTACTAAGACACTTAATGTTCTTCCTATCCTGTAAGCACCAGGTCCAACAGTGCCAGCCTGAGCTGAACACAGTTAATGTGACATGAAGCTGAATTAAAAAAAGGAAAAACAACAAACGCAGCTCAAACTTACTGTTGTGAGAGTTTGGGCAGCGGCCGGCCAAATGCAACCACAGGCAAGAAGGGAGTGATCACTATAGTTTCAACTGGAAGAAACAAAAAAATTATAATTTTAAATCTCTTGAATCCGTTTTAAAAAAAAAAAAATCCCGTTAGTGTTGCTGATTGCAGTTTAATTGGACGGGATGTTATGCAGATGTACCGTCTTCAGTGTCGGGATAGAAGGACGACAGCTCTGGCTCGGTCTCCGGGACGACTTTCTTCCGGTTCATGCGCTGCTGCAGACGCTGGAACATGCGCTGCTCTCTGATTCGCTGGATGTCCCATCTGAAAAACACAGAAAATTAATTTTAAAAAAATGTCAGGAAGAGTAGACAGACAGAAATCATAATAACCTCAGAGTGCTTTAGAGCTGGTAAGTGATACGTCTTACTGCTGGAATTATTTGAAGCTTAAACTCTTCAGACGGCATTTAAAACTTCAAATTCAATCAGAGCTTCTCTAAGCACTAAATCTCCACCTTCCTCTACTCAGATGTGCATGTTTTAGTGCGAGGAAAATCAATTATTTATGATTGTTTTCTGATTAGTTTTTACACTGTAAGCCTTTAAAAATCTAATATTTTACCATTTCTAATCTACCCACAGTCAAATCTTTATGCTAAAAATAGTCGAATCTACAGTCTGACGATACATCGACCACCTATTAGTGATTTATCAGTATTTGGTGCATGTTTTGGCCAAAAGTTGACACTGACACTGTGAAAATATCTGTTATCTTATCAGCAAAGAAATAAGAAAATCCACCTTGTGCATCCTTTTGACTGGCATCTGTTGACTATTAATATTTTAGTTCTCAGCTCTCTTGATCTCAATAAAACTATATTGATTACACAAAGCCTTCCTGTAACTTGTGCAGACAGAAATAAAGTAGAAAAGCACTTAATCGAATGTTTATTACAAGTTTAGAATAATGTTTGTTGTATTTGTGTTATTTAAAAGTTATTAACAACATTGTGATTTATTTTCCAATCCTGTTACAGCCGTTCATCTCTTGGTCACCACTCTTTAATAAAAAAATGTTTAATTATGCTCCATGTTTACCTTAACAAACATATAATACATATTATATATTTTAACTCCAGTATTCAGTATCAGGACAACATATCTAACAATAACTTCAGTTACTGATTTGTACCTTTTCCTCCTCTTCTCATCCAACTCCAGCTTCAAGTGGCGTTTCAAAAACACATTGTCATCCAGCGGCTGGACGGGAAGATAAAATTCACACATGTAAATTCAAACAGTTTCGAGGATTTAAAGTGAGATAAACTCCAGAGGTAGAATTATTTAAGATGAGTCTCACCTCCGGGGGGGTGAAGGAAGGGTCCTCGTCCAGGGGCTCTATAGGATTTTCCCTCCAAGACGGAACTACAAGGCCAAAAAGAGGGAGAGGAAATTATTCATAGGTAGTGTTATGAGTACATTTGATGGATATAGTGATTAAAGATGGGATATAGGTTAGGCTTACAAACAATCAGCATATCATGTACTACATGAGGAGTCCACTCACTGGCCACCTCTTCCTCCTTTTTAGGGGAAGTCTCACGCAGAGGGGACAGAGGAGGTTGGTTCCAGCAACAGAGGTACATCTCTGTAGTAGACATGAAGGGCAGATCTTCAATCTGACAGCTCAGCTCGGGCTCCTCTTTGCACGGGAGCATAATGTCCCTTTCTGCCCCTGACCTCATGGGAACGGTCTTCTCTGGGGTTTCCTTACTGCGCAGCTCTCTGTGATTGGGAGAGCCGGGCTGAGTTTCGGGCTTCTGCGGGCTAAGCTTGGCACTTTTGCCCCGTGATTTCTGGACTTTTGCATCCCCAAAGCAAGATTTCCTGTGTGCAGAGACGATAATAAGAATAAGAATTGAAGTTGAAGACATTTTAAGTCATGAATTATACCTCTAAAAATCTGAACAGAGCAAATTAAGACTACATTTTAATGACTTGTCCTCCTTTTCCCAGTGCTGTCTGGTGTAATTTTACCTCTTTTGACCTTTGCCACCCCGACTAAAGGGATGCTGAGCGGCTGTGTTTGGCTGCGGACTCTCTTCCGCGTCCAGATCCCACATGTCCTCCTTGTCAGGGGTCCATGGCTCCAGGGGCTGGAAAAGGCGCTTGTCACGCGGCGGGTCTTTCCTCGTGAGCTGCAGGCGACGCTCCATGCGCTCAATACGTGCAAGCAGCTGCAAAAAGAGGAACGTGGAAACCAAAAACTTAACTTTAAAAGCAAACACATGATATCAACCCACCAATATTTGCTAAAAAAAAAAGTTTTCCTTACTGTCTCTTTGTCTGCTTTGAGCTCATCTATCTCCTTGTCCTTGGACTGCAGCTGTTGTTGCTGTTGTTCGATGAGGTCCAGTTGGAGGAGGAGGATCTGCCTGAGGCAGTTGGCCTGCGTGTGGGGATTTGCAGGGGTCTTCCTGATGTTCCTCCACTTGCCCTCGGACGAGAGTTCAATGGATGCGGTGCCGAGGACTCCGGGGACGACCCCCTTCACGCTGTCGTCGGCGCCGGCATCCTTGGGGTTGTTGTTCACAGCCATCTGAGGGTTATCCATAGTGTCAGCAGAGAGGGGTTTACCTTTCACTGGGGTTCCCTCACCCCCCATTTGTCTGACAGGGGACAATATCCCCACAGTTTTACTGTCTCCTTGAACTAGATCTGCAACTGTGGCAGCGAGGGGGACTTTACTGGTCATGTAAATCTGGTCTAAGTCCTTAGATCTGCTCTCGCCCCTGTGTACGTCTTGCACATCTATAACAAAGTCACAGGACTCCCTCTTGAGGCTCACAGGACCCCCGAAGTGCGTTGGGTCAAAGTCGATGGCGTCAGCGTCCTGCTTGATCCCTGTGTTTGGAAACAGTGTGGATCTCAGAGTCATGGCGAACACAGCGGCTTCTCATCCTGCAACGCCTCGGCGATGCAACTCCCAGCAGCCTCCCATGAGAACTCGAGCAGCTGCTGCCCTACAAAGAGAAACAAACAGCAGACAGCAGACACAGTCAAAAGACATTTATCGTGTTGTTACAGATTAAAGTGGAGGCGTGCTGTCTGTGAACGGAGGCTAATACTCGGACACACCGTAGAGAAACTACAACATGATCCCGGGGCATCCTTCTCCTGGGAAGAAGAAAAAAAAAAAAAACCGGCTCGAAACCCAAGCTAAGCTACGTTAGCACCGCAGTACAACCGTACAGGCGCTAATTTCAGAGACTAACTAATCACATCAGGAGACATTAAACACACCGAGCCTCGGGGTTACACGTTACAGCAGGAGGGCTTCACACAACGACTCGGGAGTGGCTGTGTAGGACACTGGCAGCGGCCGTCTCCTCCATTTTGGTTCTCGCGAAATCATGAAAAACAATAACAGCTAGCCGAGCTAGCACGCTAACGCTAGCCGGCTAGTTCAACCAGCACGGGGTTCCTGAAGGCGGCGCGTGCGTGTGCGTGTGTGTGTGTGTGTGTGTGTGTGTGTGAGGGGGTGCACAACAACCACATTAATAGTTGGGACACACCTGTGGTTACCTGTGTGTGTGAGCTCACCTCGGTTATAATCCGCGTCCACCTGCGACTCTCTTCTTCTTCATGTTCCCTCCTCAAGACTTGTTTTAAAGCGCCCTCTGCTGCGCATGCGTAATGTGTTGGTTGTTTCTTGTGTTTGAGAGGGAACCAGCAGGGGGCGCCACTGGGCCTCTCTCTGCACTGTGGTTATGTAAGGTTAAAAACAGAGGGTGGGTGGGTGGGGGGGGTTAAAGGCGAGTTTAGAGGTTTTATTTTGTGTTTTATTTTTCTGCTGCTTTATATATATATATTTTTTTAATCTGTACAGCTCTTTTTCATTTTAAAAACACTTATTTTACATATTTTTTCCATTTTTTTTTATTGTTATTTTCTATTTTGGGTATGTTGATTCATATATATGATGTTTATTGTTGTGCACCAAAACACTAAAGCTAATTCCTACTATAAGAACACCTACTTAACCTTTATTTACTACATGTGTTTTATAACATTAATAGTTATATTGGACATAAAACCTATTTGCACTTTGAATTTAGTCATTTTGCATAATCAGTACTTTTACTTTTTAAGTATCCTACATTTGAGTGCTGATACTTTTGTACTTGTGCCTCTAAACTACATTATTTGTTATACGATTGTATGTACACTGTATTCTTTTTATTTCACTATATTCCCGAATGCTGCTGTGTTGATTTGATTTTCTCCTGCAGGGGGATTAAGAAAGGTATATCTTATCTTATTATCTTTAAAAAAAAAAACAGACTAGTGGCATCTGTAGATAAAAACGTCTCATTCTAAAGTAACAAAAACACACTAAATCCTTTATTCAGGTGATTATTAATATTATATTCCATTTCTGACAATAGATCCACCTAAATGTTCAACACTGGACCTTTAAGAAAGCAGTCATACTCAGTCTACTTTCATTCTCAGCCACTGTATTGATAATCTGTGGATATCAATATTAAGAGCATGTATTCAGAGCAAGATTTAGCCTTGTGAGACTAACCCCATCTCTTCAGGTTGAGCGTTTGCATGCAGCACTCCGAGCAGACAGACAACCAAAACTTCAGACAGCACCTTCATGATGAACCCTGAAGCAAAACACACAGAAATGTACTACATGTGTTTTATAATATTAATAGTTATATTGGACATAAAACCTATTTGCACTTTGAATTTAGTCATTTTGCATAATCAGTACTTTTACTTTTTAAGTATCCTACATTTGAGTGCTGATACTTTTGTACTCGTGCCTCTAAACTTTGAATGCATGACTTCTACTTGTGATGTAATATTTTATTCTGTGGCATTGCTGCTGATATTTATTTTATTTTAATACTTTAAAACATGTCAGGGGGATGTTTAGGCTACTTTTTCGGCAGCATATTTATTTGACAGCTGTAGCTACTGGTTACTTTGCAATTTAATATTTTCCATATAAAACACATAGGATAATAATTTAGGATTTAACAGCAGTATCTGCTAAAACCTAACAGACATAATGTGTATTAAAGTGTATTTTAAGACTTCCAGGGCATTAGTGTAATACATAAATAACATTCGTTGGACATATAACAGAATATAGTATTATAAGAATGATAAATGCTCTATAAAATGAGAATACAATGTGCCGTCTAGAAGCTGGTGTTTATGATCATCTTATAAAATATGACGTAGGTATTTAATTGCTGCTTTATTCCACATTAATAATAATAATCCAAAAATGTAAATTATAACCTGATAGAAGAAATAATGTCATCCCACCACTGATTTTACATTATAGTGCTACTTACTTACTAGTAAAAGATCAAAATACGACTGCACATAACTGGATAATGATCTAAAAGCAATTATTAAAAAGTATTTTATTACTATTAAAGGTTGAGAATAAACACCAAGCTGTTCTATAAAAGTATAAGCAGGTGTTGCTCCTTTAGAATTACTCATAGAATTACGTTTTCTGTAGGAAATATCTGCGATAACCTTCAGTCAAACATCCTGACACAGAACATTTCGGCCTACATTTTACATCTTTATCCTCGTGTATTATCAACAAACCATTACTTTTTTCATACGCTGCCACATTTTCATTAGTTTAATGGGCCTTGAATCATTTCCTTTGGGTTGTTAACTCAACGCCAACTCTTTAGGAAAAAAGTAAAACTCAATTCACCCTCCACATTTATTACAGTGCTGCTTATCAGTAGTCACCTGTGTATGTGTGTTTCATAAATGCTTTAATGTGCTGGAACTAAAATGTTTTTCTTGCTCACTTTCCTGCTATGACATGTATTAATATTGTGCAAACTCCATAAAAGCCCATTTTCTGAAGGCACCACGTCAGGGTAAGTAGCTTAAGAGCGTCTCGTTTTAAAGATATATCTCCATTTAAAGGTAAGAAAATACTCTCAAAAAATGAATTCATGCAGTTGCTCACACATTTGGTTTAAGCTTTTATATGTTTACTCTTCCTCTTGGGCTTTTAGACTTTAGATTAGGGAATTATAAAGACGTTATTTTTTGATCAGCTCTCGTTTAATTAAAACATTTCTGTGTGTTTTGCTTCAGGGTTCATCATGAAGGTGCTGTCTGAAGTTTTGGTTGTCTGTCTGCTCGGAGTGCTGCATGCAAACGCTCAACCTGAAGAGATGGGGTTAGTCTCACAAGGCTAAATCTTGCTCTGAATACATGCTCTTAATGTTGATATCCACAGATTATCAATACAGTGGCTGAGAATGAAAGTAGACTGAGTATGACTGCTTTCTTAAAGGTCCAGTGTTGAACAATTAGGTGGATCTATTGTCAGAAATGGAATATAATATTAATAATCACCTGAATAAAGGATTTAGTGTGTTTTTGTTACTTTAGAATGAGACGTTTTTATCTACAGATGCCACTAGTCTTGTTTTTTTTTTAAAGATAATAAGATAAGATATACCTTTCTTAATCCCCCTGCAGGAGAAAATCAAATCAACACAGCAGCATTCGGGAATATAGTGAAATAAAAAGAATACAGTGTACATACAATCGTATAACAAATAAGGATATTACAAAACATAATAGAAAATATAAAACTATAAATCAAAATATATACACTATATGCAAATTGCAATGGTGTGCAACTGACTAAATATCTAAACTGTACATGTGCAATTTAAGATAAAAGATTTGTGAGTTTTGCTTCCACTGTATGTTAAATAATTGAACATAAAGGCTCCTGTCAACTAATTCTAAATTAACACAGAAAAAATAAAGAGTAAATTAAAATAAAATAAACATCAGGGCTGTAAAAGGCCATTTTTTTCATTATATACCAGAAAAGAACCTTTTGATATCGGCATATATTGTCTGTGATAGGCCAGTATCGGTGGATAATATCGGTTAGGCTCTACTTAATACACTAAAGGATTAGTTAATTTTAAGATAAGATAAGTCTTTATTGATCTCCAGAGGGGAAATTCAGGCGTTGCAGCAGAACAAAGACAGAAGTAAGTACAGATAAATAGAGAAAAGTTTAAAATAAGCTCATGTCAGTGAAGTATATTAGATATAAGAGTTATATGATACCCTCTACTGTACACCAGAATAATAACCACAACCAAACAGTGAATCTAGATAATAATAAACAGTTCATTAGCTGCAGCTCATGTGATTTTACATCTGTGTCTTTTGTCAAGTCTCAGTGAAGACGAGCAGCATGTGGGGAGAAGATACGCCGAGTCGACGGTTGGCAGCGAAATCAGCAAAATCATGGATTCACTGGTGCAGAAGAACTTTGTCGACTTCTTGCTCAACCAAAGGGAGAAAAGAAGCAAGTAAGTGACTCAAAGAGTGCAACAGATTTCAAAGCAAACGCAGGAGATAACAGCAGATTTATGGTAAGTGATTACTGCCCCTCCTTCACAGGCCTGCTGCCCCTGCAGAGGAAGAGCCAGAGGAACGTCTGTACAACGAGCTGCTGAAGCTCAGTCACCAGAAGAGAAACATCTAGGTGTGTTTTCCTCATTTTATACTGTATTAACTGATCTGTCTTGCTGTGTTTTAACATCATGTCTCACATCTTGTTCTCAGGCTCCAGTAAGCTGCTGTGATGCTGCTAAAAACCCCACAATTCTTCTGATGTTTCCTTCTGATGTTTTTAAAAGCTTGGCTGATGTGAAATCTTGTGTGTAATGAATGTTTGTCCTGTGGTAAATTAAATAAAGTGACTTAAAGCCGAGTAAGTGGCATTGTGTCTTTATTCTCTAAGAAACATTTAATAGGATATAAAAGCTGAAATGCTCCAGTTAAGCTGTGTAAAGTGTGTTTAAGGCTTCATATATGTTTATTTACCTAATTATGTAAAAGTTATTTACATTTAACAGCTATAATGAGACGTTATTGTCAGATTAGGAGAAAACCTATAATCAGTTTATAAAATATGCAGTGGTGGAAGAAGTATTCAGATATTTTACTCAAATAAAAGTGTATAAAAATACTCAAAATGTTAATTTAAAAAGTATAAAAGTATGCACAACGGTTCATTTTATAATCATATACAGTATATATTATTGTATTATAATTATGTGAGGTTACTGATACAGATGCAGCTTATTGTAATGACTTTATATAATGCAGGGTAGCTTAATCTGTAATAATATATCATCATTTATTAGTTGATTTATATATTGTGTTAATCTGAAAAGTCACTAGTAACTAATAGAAAGTATATTTGTCTCCAAAATTTAGTGGAGTGGAAGTAAAAATAACAGAAATACTGCAGATTAAACTATGCAGCAACATATAAGAAGTTCAATTGACAACATTAAAATGCTGCTGATAGGTAATAAAAGGAAAACAGCATAAATTACACAATAATAAATACAATAAAAATACCGTAATGAACTTAATACACTACAAATACCCCAAAAATAATGATTAGGTGAATGAAAACCACTAAAACTTTAATCTTGACTTTAAAACTAAGTGGATAGAAATCATAAAAGATAAAGTTCTGTCTCCACACACAAACACACCCAGGAATTTATGTTTTGATGGATTATTTGACCATTTAACTCATTGTTTTATGTTGCTAAGATCCTATTTTTTCAGGAATGTTTCAACTATAAACATTATGGATGCATTTGTAAGTTTTTCTGACTCATGTAAAGAGAAAGAAATCATGCATTAGTCTTAACTTTCATGCTAATAAAGGGCTGTAACTGCTTTGGATTCCTGTGTTAAAATGTGCACAGGGAAATCATAAATTAAACACAAAAAGAAGAGACTCTCACTTGTTGTTATTTTGACGTAAACTAGTGACTTTATCTGTATTTTATACCCTTAAACAGACATTTTTTTCTACTTTAAAGCCTCTTGACTCTTCAGCTCTATTAAGAGATTTTTTTTAAATTCTGTTTTTGTATTTTCTAGCTTGAATTTTACATGTTTTCTTGTATACAAAGCAGTTTTTAAACAATAAAACAAAATCAGTACTGCAATATTCTCCGAGACACCAGGGGGCGCTCTACGATAACACGTTGACGTCATTGACCGGGAAGGGCTATACTTCCTTGCTGTCAAACTGGAAACACTTAGTAGCTTCACTTTATATATTAATATAAAAACGCACAAATACAAGCTTAAATTTATATAATCTGACATTAATCTGCGATAAAGAGTCGCGTAGTTTCTATTCTTTGTTTAAAGTTTTCGGTAAACGTCACTAAAATGCACCGGAGAGGCGTCGGCGCGGGAGCTATCGCGAAGAAGAAGCTAGCAGAGGTAAACAACAACAAATAAACATTTTATATAAAGTTTATAAAACACTTTCATGTCTTTACCTGCAGTTTTATTCCTTTCTTTTTTCTTTAAGGCGAAATATAAAGAGAGAGGAAATGTTCTCGCAGAGGATCAAATTGTTCAAGTGAGTCAGAATTTAGTTTTTTATTTTTAAAAATACTTTAAAATATTCCTGTAAACAATAAAGTTAATGCAAATGTGTTTATTTCTTTATTCTGCGTTTGTAAATCTGTAATAAAATCTGGATTTAACTGGTTGTATTGTGATAAAAGTAAAATAATAATTCTGTCTTCTGCACAGTTTCTTTATTTATCTATATATTTTTTAAAAGTATTTTATTCTTGTGTGTTTTTTCTTTGATTGTTTATTTTAAGCACCAAGACAAATTCCTCCTGTGTGTAAAAACCTACCTGGCAATAATAATAATAATAACTTTATTTGTGTAGCACTTTTAAAAAAAACAAGGTTTAAATTACAGAACACAGTGAAATAATAAATAATAAATAATAAATAAAATAAGTAGAACAGAACTGAAAGACGGTTGGAGTAAAAAATAAACATAAAAAGACCACATCACGTAAAAACAAGTCTATAAAAATGGGTTTTAAGAAGTGAGATAAAAGATTAAATCATCTGTTATTGGAATAAAAACAAAACACCAATAATCCTAACGTAACATTTTATTTACAGTCCTCACTTCCACTTACAAATATAAACATGGATCTGTATTTATTCAGTGTTGCAGACACAACTTCTGCGTTGTTGATTTGAAAATAATTCCCTCTCCTGATTCGGTTTTCCTGCCAGATGTCGAAGCAGTTGGAGACCTTCAAGTCCAACCTGGAGGAGTTCGCCAGCAAACATAAACAGGAGATCCGAAAGAGCTCCCAGTTCAGGGTTCAGTTTCAGGAAATGTGTGCCACCATCGGAGTTGACCCGCTTGCCTGTGAGAAACACCTTCTGGAATATAATAATGTGTTTTTTAAAGTAGAAAATAACCTTTTAACCTCTCTTAACTTATTTTTTTTTCCTCCCACAGCCGGGAAAGGTTTTTGGTCTGAGATGCTCGGCGTTGGTGACTTCTATTATGAGCTCGGTGTACAGATTATTGAAGTGTGCTTGGCCCTGAAACACAGAAATGGAGGTTTGTAACTTGTCTGGAAACTGAAAACTAAGTGATAATCAGTGTGTTGGACCCTGATATTATTCATGTCAACACAGTAACTATATAATTAACATCTGCAGGATGTAGATTCCCTGATTACTGGACTTTAGAGGTTAACATGTGTCTCCTCTTTAGGGCTCATTACTTTGGATGAACTCCATCAGAGAGTGCTGAAGGGAAGAGGAAAGTACGCTCAGGATGTGAGCCAGTAAGTGTCACTTACTGAATATTTAATGTGTCATTTCTGTGTCAAATGTTCTGTTTTGTATTAACACAGCTGCTCATATCCATTATAATCAGAGTTGATATTGCCCCATGTGTTTGTTGTATGTCTATTAAAGTCATTTACGTGCTCCCCAGAGACGACTTGGTGAGAGCCATAAAGAAACTGAAGGTGATGGGTAGCGGCTTTGGGATGATTCCTGTTGGTGGTTCTTACCTGGTCCAGTCAGTCCCAGCAGAGCTCAACATGGATCACACTGTAGTTTTACAGCTGGCCGAGGTAAGACGGGTTTATTAAAGCAGGTCTCACGTGTTTGTTTTTACCACAAATTGAGACATGCTTTGTTCTGTTAACTATGAATTGTTCACCCAGATTTATTCTTGCTGTTGTTTTTTTAATCACTGACATTGTCTTGAGATACTGAACTTTGGTCATGGAGTCTTAATCAGTATAAAGATCTTTTTAAGAGACACAGTTCATCATTTAAATGTGTCTTCAGCTTTATATGTTGGTCTCACGTTTGTCCCAAAGTCTCTTTGTTTCCAACACAACACTCAAATCTGAATCAAATGCCATCAAGGCTGCGACTTTACATGGTTAAATAATCACCGTGTCTTATGGTCAAAGAAAATCAAATCAGTTTAATAAACCACAAAGCACTCTGAATGTCAGATCAGTCTATAAAAACATGTATTTGTAGCACCAAATTCCCTCTTTGTGTTTCCTTCCTGAGCTGCAGTGAAGAGGAAACAAAGACAAAGTATTAATTTGGTATTAAAAAGACTAAAACTTTGATTTGTTTCTTCTGACTGCTGAAGCCTCATATGAACTTATATGTTTACACCAAACTGAGACTGTTGGTTTCCCCCAATCACTTAACATTGAAATCACAATAAAAAGATGTTTATTTACTTTATTTATTTATAGCCAGTGTGGACAGGAGGAACTATGACTAAAAACCAATGTACATATGGAGATGTGAGTTTGAGACGTGAAAAAATTTTAACTTTTCCTTAAATTTGTTACTATATATGATTTATGAAGGAGAAGGTTTTTGCTTCCAAAGTTGGGGAATGAATTAATAAAAAAATAATCCACCTGCAGGTTTTAAAGTCTAACACTTGATGTCACTATTCTCCAACTCACCACTGTCCTCAGTTTATGTGGTTACAGTGGTGAGAAGGAAAACAGGTTGTTCTCTCTATTGTTCCTGTCAAGGGTTTTATTATTCCAAGAAAGAGAGAGAGAGAGAGAGAGATCATGTCTGTTTGTTTCTTTGTTCATTTGTAGAAGAAGGGCTACGTCACAGTGAGTGAGATCAAGGACAGTCTAAAATGGGAGAAAGAGCGGGCGTGTCACGTCCTGGTAAGTTCACATCAGCTTATTTCTTTAAAACTTTATTATTATTATAATAATTATTTCACAAAGTACTGAGGTGACGAAATGCAGCAACTCTCACTGCTTCTGCTGAGTCAGTCTCTAACACTGAATTCATTTTCCTCTATAGACAATAATGTTATATAAAAAATTAACAATAATTATTGTTGTTATATAATAAGTGTTTTTGTATCTCTTACACCTATTAAGTGGAACTAAAAGTGGGATTGTTGTCTGTTCAATCCTTTCCTCTCTCATTAAATCAGTTAATCATTTTTAATTATACATACATATATAGTGTTATTAGTTAATTCATTGAGCCATTTTCTGCTGCTTATCTTGCTCAAGGTTTCATTAACATAATTATATCAATAGGAATTATTTAGTGCTGCAACCATTAGTTAATTTTCAGAAAGTTAATTGACAAATATTCTCATTTAGATTCTTGAATGGGAGGATTTGCTACTTTTCATTGTCATAAATGGTAGAAAATGTTTTATCTTTTGGACTGTTGCCTGGAGAAAACAAGCACATTGAGGACATTATAATGTACAAATTTCAATTATTTTTTTTACATTTTATAACCTAAATAGTTAATAGATGAATCAGTAATGAAAATAATCATTAGTTGCAGTCCTAGAAGTGGTTATACACGGTTGTCAAACTGAGAAAGGTATTAAACTGCATTGTAAGTCTGTGAACTCTCCTGTTTCCAGGATCACCTGCTGAAAGAAGGCCTGGCTTGGTTGGATTCTCAGGCAGCTGGAGAATCACAGTACTGGCTGCCCGCTCTCTTCTCTGAGCTGACTTCCCGCGACGTCACACCAGAGGAGGCCAATCAGATGACCCCTTAAGGAACGACGTCGGCTTTTAGAGGCCATGTTGGTAAACAATATGTGCCTGGTGGGTGGTGGGAGGAGGGGGGAGGGGGAGGAGAGGACTCATGTGATGGAGCTGGCTGGTTCACTGGGCTTGGCAGGCTCGGCAAACTCCCTCCTGAGATCATTCTTTGGACACGAGGAGGGAAAACTTTCCTCAGCTGCTCTTCAGTTACATCCAAGTGAGCAATAAGTGCAAGAAAGAAGTTTGATTTCCACTAAAACTGCGTATGAATTTCAGTGTGAAGTCTCTGTTGTCTTGCTGGTGTCACGGTTTATGGGTGGGTATGTATAATTCTCAATGTACAGAACATGTAAGTTTTCATGTATAAACAACAACTTTTAAAGAAAAGACTACATCTGCATTTAATTTTTTTTTATTGTCAGCATTAAACACACTTACATTCATTCGTTTGAACTGATTATTGACATAAATTCGCTTGTTTACGTTTGCTTAACCTCACCAACAATTCGTTCTGTCATACATTTTAAATTCAACAGAAATAAATCCATACATCGGTACGATCCCAGTTACTTTCGCCCTTGAGAGATGATTAAGTTCAAAGCTATACTGTAGAAGGAGAACTGGGGTTAATATGTGAAGTTTTAAATGTGCCATGCTTCATTAATATTTAAAGTTTCATCTCTTTAAAAAGGAACTATTTCAAGCATGTTTCAGCCTATTTACTACAAATATATATTTACCTTCCTGCTGTTTTATTTTCCAAAGCATACCAAAGGTTGTTTTTTAACATGTTTTTCCTCTAATTTTAGGTAATTCCTAACTATTAAGATCATGCCTACTTTTATTCAAGTGTTCTGTAGGGCTGGGTGACCCTGGGGACCAAAATGTGTCCAAAAGATCTTCCCAAAAAGCTGATATCAAACATCTGGTCGGATCTATTATCTTGTTTATTATCTTACGTATTTCTTTAAACAGGTAATTCCTGATTTAAAATCATTAAAATACAAGTTTTCCATATTTTTATTAAATCGTTGGCTGCACAGACGTTTTATTTCCTAACATGAGGCCAATTTTACTATTTTGTTCAGGCAAAACACGTCTGCTTGTGTTCAGACGACAATTTTATCTTCTATTGTTGAATCACAATAAAGGGGTTTTGTATTTTTGGGTATCAGCACAGGCACTCTGGAGGTATCTTACTGGCAAACGATACCCAGACCCACCTGTGTGGTAATCCACCGCAGACCTTTCCAATCCATCCCCACTTTTAAATGCATCACTGCGCAATCATTAGACAACATTTGACCTAAAATAAATGAGGACATGATGTTCACTGCGATGGATTACGTAGCTCAGGCAGGTTTCAAGTCTCTGCCAGCTGATTCTCACTGCATACTGGACACATGATGGACACTAATGGCTGTGGTGAAGAACCAAACTTCAGTGTGCTTCGGAAAATAATCAAGAATAAAGTAAATTTGTCATTTGGAGTAAATTAGTAAAAAATGTGCATAAAGAAAAAGAAAACAGCACGTCCTTTTACATACAACCCAACCTGTAAGACCTTTTTTTTTTTTTTTTACCCCCCCCAACACATGAGTGATACCCAACGGGACCTTTGGACCCGGCGCCCATTCTCACACCTCGTGGCTGTAGACGTGATCTTCAAACACAGACTGCTCCATGTTGTCACAGATCATCGTGCAGAAGGGACAGACTCTGTGACTCTGCTCGTGCTGCTCCAGTTCCTGCTGGGTTATGAGAGGGAACCTCTCCTGGCAGTGACGGCACACCAGCGACTGCGAAGGGAACAGAAATAGAGGCCGGGCATTAGAGGCGGTAACAGAATAGGGAGCGGATTATGTTTTAAGGTCCGCTTCGAAAATAAACTGTAAACAGTTGAGTCACTCTCAGGCCCGTGTGTGAATATCCAGAGAGGGAGTCGAGGGATGTGTTGTGGAGTTCAGCTGCCCTGTGTCCTGCTTTTAAATACTAGTTCTTTCAGTTTTCCTTTTTCTACCACTTTTAGTTCATTTTGTGATTCGTGATTGGAAAGATTATAGTAAGAAAATACAGATAAATAACCCGCTACGGCTCACCGACAGCACGTTCTGGAGAGGAATCATATGAGTGTTCGGGTCATTTGACTTACCTCTTCCTCTTGGTCGGCAACGCTCCCTGCAAGGAAAGAAAAACAGGCCAAATTATTTTAAAAATGACCGTTAATTGTTTATTTGAGGCCTGCAGCTATGATGATTAAGCTGTTAGGTGGTGATAGGCATGAAATCTTTGGTGTGGACGGCCCTTAATTCACCCAGAGATGTTAAAGTTAATAGCTACTTCTTAAACACATAAAATCTGTATATAATCTTCTGTATAGAAAGTCTCACAATATATAATAATAGTATTAATATCGCCCAATCCTAAACCCGTCACTCACCTATGGTCTCATACAGGTTCTCAGTCTGTTCAGGTGACTCCAGCTGCTGCCAGTCTTGGCCGGCGGGCGCAGTGCCAGCTGGCGAGGTGACGTCAGGCTGCATGTATGACGACTCGGCGGGGGGAGACGCCTGGATGTCAGCGTAGGCTCTCCGTAGCGCCTCAATATCATTGGTGAGACTCTGGCAGAAGAAATACAGTTGAACAAACTCTCAGAACACACAGCGACCCTCTGAATCGAGACGATTGTGTAAAACGTACCTGGTTGTCTCTCACGAGGTCCTCTCTCTCTTTTTGCACCAGCGTGATCAAGTGATCCTTGTCTTCAATTTCGCTTTCTTTCTCTGCAATCTTTTCGTGGGCCTCTCTGAGTTGTAGCTGAAAAATAACGAAAGGAAAGAAGAAGGAGTTATACACTACATGGCCAAAAGTATGTGGACATCATGTGTTCCTCTCTTTTGATTTCAGGCTTTGATCTACTCAACATTGTCTGAGGTTGAGGTCAGAGCTGGCGTTGGTCACAGCTCTAGGACAGCCTCTCTCAAAGTCTCAGAGAAGCCAAATATTTAAAAAGCCTTTAGAAATCTAAAGTTTTCTTTAGCTTTTTCTTTATTTTACACCTTTTATTTTGTGGGTTGTCCACTTCAGTCTGCTTTGGGGGTTGCGGTGACATCTCGCTGACCACGTCCAACCCGTGACAACCCCCCTTCCTCCCTCAAACAACCGTACATGCAGCTGAGACTCATGAGCTGATGTCGGTTCCCGAGACCAGAAAAACAGAGTGTTCAGCTCTCACTTCTTCTGTAGCGTTTCTAAAAATACAGCCTCATTGCATGCAGCAGCATTAAGATTTCCCTTCATTAGAACTAAAAGGTTTAGCTCAAACTAACATAAACAACTTGTCCACAAACTTTTGGCCACATAAATAAACCTGAACCGAGGTTTTTGTCTTCACTTTACCTCTTGTTTGTTACATTTCCGGTTAGCCTGGTCATAGGATGAGATCACGCCCTCTAGCTGCTCCCTGAGTTGCATCATCTCTCTGTCCAGATACTCCACTCGGCTCCTGATGTTTTTGGACTCCTCCTTCTCAGCCGCCAACTTGGCCTGAGTGTCCTGCAGCTTGCGGGTGAGAGTCTGACACTGCTCCTGAAGGGGAGGACATCGTAACATTAAGCACAGAGGAACGCCGTGTCATTGTTTGTAATTAAAAGCCTCTTTCGTTAAAATTTGCTCCCACCCTCAGATCATCTTCTGAGCTGTTCGGCGGTGTATCCTGCTGCGACAGCCTCCTGCATAACTCCTGGTTCTGTTTCTTCATGTCGTCCATGTTGTGTGCAAGGCTCTGCAACCTCAGCAGCTCAGCAGTGAGCTTCTCATTCGCTTTCATGCTGCTCTTGAGATCAACCTGGTAAAACACACATTTGAATACAGGACCAAAGTTCAGATCTGGACCCAAATCTCGACCTGTCCTGTCTTTATCTGGATGAACAACAATCGCAGTATTACAAGTGTTTATAATGGCATTTTTGAGCATTTAACACGTGATGTTGCTCTACTTTATTGGCAAAGTAGTTAAAAGTTATGGTCCGTTTACGGTCTGTCTCTTAAAGGATCAGACCTGATACATGTTATTCATCTAATCTCAACTAAAAGGTCCACTTAGGAGCTCTTCAGGAGCTTTAAATCACATGTCACCGTCTTCATCAGCAGGTGCAGCTGGCTCAGGTGTCATCTGAGGCCAAACACCATCTTTGAACCGAGACGGGGGATTCGATGTCTCCAGATATGCAACCACTCGTTATCAGGTCACATGGCAACACCTGAGCCAGCGCCATTCGCTTACGAAGTCCTTGAGATGTGGTTGAAAACTCGGGGGGGAAAAAGCTAGTAAGTGGATCTTTTAGAGTTAAGAGCTGCAGCTGCAGATACTCACCTAAAGCACCAAATGTGTATTAATCCGCAGATGAAAATAGTTCCCCAACAAATTCATCATTTCCTCCTGTTTGAGTAACTTTTGCTGAAAACTACAGCGAGCAGCTGTTTAAGGAAATTACAAAACCCCTTTTTAAGAATTAAACTATATATTTGTGAGCTGTTTATAAAGATTTACAGTACATCTCTCATCTCTGACTCTGGTCTGGCATCAGGACATTAAACAGCTAATAATTAGCCGCTCTGTGCCACTAGAAAAGTAGATCCCTTTTTAAAAGGATTTTAATGTGGAAATTTGACTTTAACACATCAGACATACATTGTTGTTCCAAGCTGATTATTATATGTCTTAATATGTGACTGGAGGTGATCTTTAAGTAATGCTAGCTTAATTCCTTAACCTATTTGTGGCCGCAGTTGAAATCATACTATATTTAGTCTTCTTTATTTGTCCGGACTAATAATAGTTGTGTGCAACTTTCATAATGGACTATATAAACAGGAGCTTGTCGCATGAGTGTGCTGAAATTATTAAAAAATCCAACTTTTTTTACTGCTTATTCAGGACATTTTTAACTATTATTAACTGGCTTTATCTCAGAAACTATAATTATTTGATATCTATGAACTCATAGCAAGTTAAATGTCAAACATATGCACGCACATATAGTGTTATTTCATATGGAAAACACACAATTATAACGTTTTTCTTCATTTGTATGTAAGATCTGTATGCCAAAGTATGTCAGTACCACATTTCAAGCCTTTAAACATAGTCTGAGTTAGACTGTTGCACAGAAAAGTACCTGCAGGAGCTGGATGTTGTCTTTCACTTTGAACAGTTCCCTTTCTTTTTCTCTGATTATGGAATTTAGCCTGAAACACACAAAAAAAAACCAACATCTGTTTATTGTTCAGAAAACATTACGCAACAAGTTCTATAAGCTGTCATCGACTTTAACTTGACTCACGTGCAGATCTCCAGACTTTGAGCATCGACCTTCCCCCTCAGCTCCTCACGCTCCTCTTTGAGCTGGTTGATCTTCATCACAGCTCGGTCGTATTTCCCCTGAGCGTGCGTCTGAAACAAATGCAATATTTAAAAAAACATAAAAAGGACTCTAGTCGGAGCATTTAACAGTGAGATGCAACAACGTCATACCTCAGTTTGTTTTGCTGCTTCGTCGAAACTCAAGCTTTGACTCATTTTTTCCTCAGCAGCTTTACGCTCTCGTATCTCCATCTGCTTCGTTATTTGGGTCATCTCCTCCTAATATTGACATCCAAAAGTTAGGTTTTCACAGTGATTCTGTAGCACATTTATATTTTCACACGTGGATCGACAACAAACCTTTAAGTGGTCCGTTTCTTTCTGCCGTTCCTGTAAGGTGCTCTTTAAGTTTTCATTTTGCTCCTTGATTTGATCCAGTTCTTTGAGCAGCTGACTCTTTTCTTTCTCTTTCTGTTCGTTCTCGTCCTGTAGAAAAGAAACACAGTGCCTCGTATCAAAGTTTAACTCGACAGTTTTGCAACGAGTAAATGTCTTCACTATCACCGAGATGTTACGATTAATTAGATAAGCAGACCTTAAAGCTGACGGCATCCTGCTGTTCCTTCTGTAGAGCTCTTTTCAAGGTTTCGTTTTCCTCCATTATCAGAGTCAATTCTTTCTGCAGCTCGGCCTTCTCCCGTACGCTCTGCTCGACCTGTTCCTGGGTTCAACGAAGCACATTGAATCAATATAAAGCTGTATTTACTTTAGCCATCTGATCCCATTAGATTATAAAGAGTTGTGTCACAGAGCTCAGTCAACAGCCCTGCTGCAAGTACAGCATTATCAAAAGATACAGTCACTATCTCCAAATCTAGATACCTGTGTCGTGATAACCAGGAGGTCGTCATCCGAGTTGCTGTCCATGTTTTGCTCCACTGGGTTTCTGAAACAGAAAGGAGTGCTGGCTCCTCGTACCTGGCCAGTACTGTCGACGTAGCAGAACTGGTAGAACTCGATCTCATCCTTTGGCAGGTAGTAATCTAATTGGGCAAGAACAGAGCAGACTGCTAGAGGGCGAAGATCTTTTTTCTAAATATATATATATTTAGTTTTCTTTTATTTGATAGGACAGCTGACAGGAAAGGGGAGGGGAGAGAGAGAGGGGGGGGATTACACGCAGCAAAAGGCCAAAGGTCGGATTCAAACACAGGTCTGCTGCAGCAAGAACCTTTAAAAGTGCCCATCACGATATCTTAAAACCCCTTTTATGTCTTTGTATTGCTTGTTTTGTTTTGACCAACAGTCAAAAACCAAAAAAATATCCAATTTACAATTATACAAGACAGAGAAATACAGTAAATCCTCTCGTTTGAGAGGAAGAAATCAGGAAAAGTTCTGCATTTATGCTCGATAGATAACTGATTTATTTTCTGTTGATCGTTTAATCAATAAATAACCACTATTATACTTATCAATAGTGTTTGAAGACCCTCGATTCTTTTTATTTGTATCTTGTCTTTACTGTAAAACTGACATATTGTTTCATTCCCGGCATTAATTACAATATGTGTGTGTTTTTTAAGGTGTTTCATTAACCAAACAATACAAACTGCCTCCTTCTTTATGTTCTTAATTACACCTTAAAGACATATACTGTATATTTAACTAATTAGCCCTAAGCCAACAGACCCAAGATACATATTAGTGGTCAGAAGACAATTATAAAGGATCCACTGCATTATGTGAGACACTTTCGGATGTTTGGGGCCTAAAATGAAACTTAGAGAAGGGAAATGAGGCACACAGAGGCTGTAACCTGCACTGAAAGGTCATACTGTGGCCTAAAAGACTCTGTTCAGCTACTACAAAGAGCTAGATAACCTACACATAAAAATAAAATCTGACTCTCTAGTTTGCATAGAGAATTTGACTGCAACAGATAACCTGTATGAAGGCACTGAGTTTCTATATAAACACGCAGCCAGAGGATCAGACTTGTGCCACAGCAGCTCATAAAAACAGAGACTGAAGCATCAACTGTTTACACTTTATACTGAAACTTCTTACAGGATATTATGAACATGACAACGCATTATGTAACCCCTGCAGCAAAAGTGAAACTATTTCTTACCTTTAAAACCAGCCTGCCTTGTCACAGACTGCTGCTCGACCACATCCAGGCATGGCTCCACCCACACAAAGGTATGATAATCCTTTGTTGTGCTCCAACCCACCTGGAAAGGAAGAAGTTAGACCAAGACTTCCACTTCACGGAAAATAACTGGAGCATAAGTCATTGCTCTTCCTCACCTTAAAGATGCCCACCCAGTCCCTGGGGTTGGGCTGGAAGGCTGCGGTGAGGGTGTAGCTGCAGGTGATGTGGGTTGACGGCGGGTATGATTGCGGGATGTCCGTGAACACCACCTGGGAGTAAGTGCGTGCTGAGGAGTTGGTGGCTGCGACCTCTGTGAAGCTCTCCATGCTGAGTAAACAAACAAACAAACACTGATGATGAAACATGTCATGAGTGTGACTGATGACCGCAGGTGTCACAAGATGGTTGTCTGTCTGTTTTTGGTTTTTTTTTAATAGGCTCCTTTCTTCCTGTGGTTGTTTTTTGCGCACTTACAATCTTGTTTCCAAATTGATTACGCAGTCATAATTAACTCCAAAAACATTTCCCAGAGCAGAACAGGCTGATCTATAACAATACAACTATTCACCTTCTCTCCGGAAATGACATTTAATCTGTTATAAAAACTTTTAATAGCACTTTAAAGAGCACAAAAAAGAAATCGAAAGTAATCATGCCAACAAAAAAAAACAGACCGCACCCGAAACATTATATATTGATTACTTTGAAACACGATATTGGTTTTACTCTAAGCTCTTCTAACAGACGTACACTTTACAGTAAATGTTAGGATATAAAAACATTGAAACTCACATGTTTTTGGTGTCACAGCATCGAGAACAACCGTCAGTCAGCAAGTCGGTCCTCGACACACACTGCGGCGCGTTCAGGCGCTGCTCGGACATTTGTACCACCAGGCTCGTAAATACGACATCACTCTCCGGCCACTTAAAGGTCCAGTGTGTGACATTCAGGAAGGATCTATTGGCAGACAATAATAAGGTCTTAGATACATTAGAGTTGCTATGTTTCTACGGTAGCCCAGAACAGACAAATCAAACGCTGTAGTAGTTTTTAACACCTTAACTTTTAACCTTTAACAGCGTAAATAGATTATAAATAGACCAAATCTTTCATTAAGGCTTTCAACTTAACTTTTTAGCTATTTATTTTTTCTTTTATAAAATGTAATGTTTTTTTTTATTATTGCTTCTTTTACTTGTGTTTTTATATTTTCTACGCATGTTTATTTGTATTAGATGCAATTAAATTGAATTAAAACAAAAACATATACGTTTTAGTCGACCCGAAGTCCACATGGAGAGTTTATTGTTTTAATTAAGTACTTTTACTATATTTTTATTTATTATAACACATGTTGTGCTGTTTAAAAAACATTATTCTATAACAAAATAACAAAAAGTGGACATTATAATAAGTTTTTAGTCTGCAAAAAACAATCACAGCTAACAAAACCTGACCTCAGTGGTGTCAGATAAGCTGATATCTCACAGGCTCATGTGCGCACAAATCAAATACATAGCGTCCTCCTTTCCGATTGTTATTGAAGGCATCAGTGGTGACGCATTGTGGGAAATGTAGTCCAGTTGTGACAACTCACTCCTTCCTCTCTTCTGCAGGGTGAGATAAAAACACAAGAGGGAGCCAAACTCATTACAAACTAATGCTGTTGTGTTGTTAGAATAATTTAAATATTGTTCACTTTAAACCCCAGGAGTAATGTTTATTGTGTTTTTACTTTTTATTTGTTGTTTACAAGCAAACAAAACATGCCTGAGTGCATAAAAGGTTTCCAATAAATCAGTTAAAGAAGCCATATGATAGAATTTGGAGATTTTACCACTTAAAAAACGCATAAAATAATAGTAATAAAACACTAATACATAAAATCCAAGTAGGCCACCCACTCCCTGAACAGTAATATTCAAGTTCTTTGTAATATTAAAATTAAATACTACAATTTATTGTCAACATTTTCCACCAGTATTTTCTACTGGAACTCATATTTTGGGTAAAATGTATATAAATAAGATAGAAAACAAAATTGTGCACTTATGGTTAAATTAAATAATAAGAAATGACAAAATGTGAGCTGTTTTCTATTTAAATAATAGAACATTTATATTAGTAAAACTGGTGATTGTATGACAAATCTTGGATCCTACAGTATAATAATAATATATTATTTATTATATATTATTTATTGTGTTTTCAGATAGGAAAAATATGAGTTTTCTGCAGAAACTACCTGGTTATAAATAAATATATGTTGTGGAAACCATCTAAACTGCAAGGTGTCACCTGTGCATCAACCTTTTTACGGTGTGCCTTTTCTCCTCGATGAGCCAAAAACAACCAATCAGAAGCGAGTATTCTCACACCCCCCGGCTTGCGATTGGCTGAAGGCAGAAAAGGGGGCGTTCCATCTGAAAGGCACCTCGCTCGCCTATGTGTGTGTGTGTGTGAGTTCATTCATGTTTACATTTGCAGGCTCCTCTGTGCGTCAGGACGACTCTCCCCAAACCACCGAGCCCCGCCAACAACGACAAACAACAACACTTACCGGAGGCCGCTCGGTGTATGCGTACAACCCCCCCCGGTAAATGAGAGGACACTGCTCTCTCTAACGGTAAGTTTACGACATTTTATAGCCGTTTAAAAAAAAGTGGACTGCGAGTGGTTGTTAGCGTTACCACGGCAACAGCTACTCGCTGCCTGGGTTTTTATCTTGATTTCGTGTTATAAAACTTAAGATACCGACCAGGTGAAACGTTTAAACTGTGTCAAATATTAAGAAGCGTTTTGTGTTAATGCGCAAAAACTGAATTCTGACATTTATTTTTGCTTAAATAAGGCCTGTCGGTGAGGAAAGTCTTACACTAAACAGCTTTTGCTTGTCAGCATTTGAGAAATACTCAATTACAAGCAAAAGATCCTGCAAGTAAAAGTACAGTTATACAGAAACATGGCCCCTGTGAGTGTTATATTATTATGTAGGCTTTTATGAATTATTAATTCTGATGCATTAATGCATTTTACTCTTTCAGTTGCAGGTGTGGCTTTTATTTACTGTCTGAAAAGTGAAACTGTAGCTTTTAAAAGTGAAGTTTAAAGTACAATATTTCCCTCTGAAAGGTTTTTGGAGTGTAAGTATAAAGTAAGTAGGCCAACTGAACTTAATACACTCAGTACTTTACGCCACTGCTTACAACAAACCAGAGTTTAATTTTCTTTGACGAATCAATGTACAAACTTACATTGTTATTAGCTTTTGTGCAGATTAAATACACTGTATTCTGTCCCTCGTTGTGTGATTTGATTCCTCCTGTTTTTGGGTTATTTAGGTTATGGTGTTGTGGTGCTGTACGCGAAATTGCTGGCCCGGTTATGTTACTGTCTGTCACCAAGTTACACTGAATATGAACCAAGTTGCATTACTGTATATTAGTGATGTTTTTTTTATATTTTATGCAGTTTCTTGTACAGTCGAGACATTAAAATCAAAGCCACAGCTGTGATAGTTCCAGTATTTTATGGTGTTTTTTTTGGCACAACAAATTAGAAAAGTGTACACAAATCTTAATTTAAAAAGATGTCAATTGCTGATCTTGTTGAGCAGCATAATAATTTGCATATCCAATTCACGCAGCTGTTCTTATAGACAAAACTAAACAACAAAACCAACTGTTTATCATTGACTTTCTTATTTAATAACACACCTGGGACATTCTACTTTATAAACATAAGAGAAAAGAACGCGTGAAACTACCCACATTGATTATCTCTCCATAAAAATACAACATCGTCACATTAAATTATAATTGTCCTGCTCTGTAATTGTTGAATGTTACGTCTCTCTCTCTCTCTCTCTCTCTCTCACACACACACACACACACACACACACACACAGAGTTTAAATACCTGCACACGCACATACAGTCGTGGCTTATCAATTCAGCAACTTGAACCAGTGCTGGAAGCTTATCATGTGATCTTTAAAGCAATCCAAGAAAGACAAAAGGTAGATAAGTGAGTGCAGAAGGGTGTTGGATGTCAACTCCTGATTATTTAATGTTGATTGATTCATAGAGGAATAATTTCAGCCCAATATTGCTGTCACCCCGTCTTGTTTCTCTGATTGATACCTGGTTGGCTGTCATGACAACTGGGAAACATGTTTGTGTGCTTTCTGTTTGACCAGCATTTACCCCCCCGTCTGCTTCTGCCCCAGCTCCATTTTGAATGTCTTCAGTGGAAGGCTAAGCTTCAGCTGAAGGTACTCCGTTTCAACTTGGCTGAGGAGATGGATGTCCGGCCTGTTCACTTACACCACACACCGCCGCGCCGCTTTTCAGCACAGATTTAAATTCAACAGCTCGAGGCGTTGAAAAACACTTCTCCTATTTCAGTGAACAAATATCAGGGATTATCCCTCTCCACTCGCTCCCTGCTGAGGTCTCCTGCTCATTTTCTCTCCATCATGTCGAGAGGGATCAGGTGTTTTGTCCCCACAGTTTCTAATTGGTCACCAGATCCACCGCTGGGCCTGTTGCTCGAGTGTGTAAGTCAATCTGAACCGAGCCATCCTTGTGATGATACAAATCTTTCTTTCTTTCAGAGGCAGACGGTGCACGAGGTCGAGATGTGGCTCATTGGTTCGTCTACTGAGGAGTGTGACAGCGTCTTAAAGGGCTCTTGAGACAGATTCGGGTATCAAAAGACGTGTGGAGGCAGACGGGCGGGCTGGGGGGGGGCAGCAGCATCTTCCAACGCCATTGTTCCTCACAAATGTAGGCGTAACAGTGCAGGTGAGTCAGAGTCATTTCTAAATGAAGACAGCACCGTAATGAAATCAACACTTCTCTAAAATACTAGTTAGTTGTTGTATCTGACTGCATTAGTTTGAGCAAGGTAATAAACTGGAAACTGAGTGTGTTGCATCACTTGGTGCAGAAGGACTCGGTTCAATAATCAACGGAAAATTAGCTGGTGTTTATTTTGATAATAATTTAAGTAATTTATCCACATATAGCGATTATTTGTGGATTCAAATGTGCAAAGATTTGCTGCCTTCCTGTTTCATATCATTTCAAATTAAATTCCTTTGGGGGTTTTTGGACTGTTGCCAGATAGAATTAGCAGTTTGAAGTTGTTTGAAGCAGTTTAATTCACATTTATAGACTAAATAATTCATAATTTAAATATATTTGATAATAAAGGTTAGTTGCTGCTTTAATTTTTGAGTGTTTACATGAGTAAGAGAATGTGTTCCGTACTAAACTGCAATTTTAATTCGATAATTTGTTGAAGTTTTTATACAGAATTTAAAGGTTTCTCTTTTCTTTAATAAAGCAGACTTAACCTCAAGAGTTAAGTGAGTTAAATTAGACAATAATAAGTGCTAGCTTTGCGTGTCGTGCTGTAGCCTGAATGTATGTAGTGACAGTTAACAGTTGACAAAGTAATTCACACTGAAACCAGTCATTGTTTGTTGAGGACAGATAATACAAAGGTGTCACTGATGTACCTGCCGTGGTTGCACGCTGAGGGACAACCTTGGAGAAATCCTTTGCGGGGCCGTAACTGTATCCAGGCTGAGGTCAGTGGGGCGTCTCGGCCCAGCGTAAAGCTCACAGTTCAGGGCCAGGATTATCCAGATCATTGGATCAGAATACTGTTACCTAGCACCGTAACCTCCCACAGTGTACCTGGGATGTCCCTCCGTGCCGCCACCACCCCCACGGTATTCTGTCACAATCACTACCAGGAATTAACTTGACCTCTCCTTCACCCTACAAGACACCAGATAGGAGACAGGGACGAGCAGCTGAGACGCCGCTGTGGCGCTCGCTGGCCACCGCGCTCGGGTCAGAGTGCAGACGGACGTTAACAGAAGAGGAACACATAATAAACTATAGATTAAACTATAAACTTTAGTTTTTAGAACAGGAAATGACACAATGCGTACTTCATGCCAGGAAAACATACCTATGGATATCATATTGAAATAAATCCTTTTAGATGTTACGCTCTTTAAGATCTTTCTGGAGCTGTTTCACCATCATTCATAATACTTTTTATTTTTACCAGCAGCTCCTCCATTTCCTCTGTGCGTTGCATTGTGGGAGAATAGTATCCATATTTAGTATTCGTCCTGTCTGGTGTCTTTATTTCAGCTCTGAATTAGTATGTAACATGGATTTAGGACACTCTGTTAGTCTTGTTTAAGTTATTGATGAATGTGCGTCTCAGTCACTTCTGTGTGGTCACATTTTAAAAGTGCTTTTAGCGTAGACATTTGACTCTACAAGGATGATGCACGGGTCGTGTTAAAGGGGATACTCCCCACTCTAAGACAGTGGCTGGACATTTTTGAAGAGATATATGATAGTGAAAGGCTCACACGCTGTCTAAAAATTAAGAAGAGTTAATGAAAATTGTGGAAACTACATTTAAAACCAGTAACAAGGTCAGTTTTTTACCTCTCTGACACTATTTTTGGTGTTTCTTTTGTACCCACATTTTAAAACTAACACGTTTTAAGTTCTGCTTCTGTGTTATAATTAATTCCCCCCTCGCTATTGTTGCACTATTGCCCACTATTTGTATCCGTCCTGCCACAATAACTCTTGAATGCCAGTGTGTGACAATGTGCCGACAGCCAGAGCACTCAACTGATGAGAGAAATGGAAACGGAAACATGACTCCGTGCGCGCACTTACACCATGTACTTGGTTCTGTTTGATTGAATTTCATTGTGAGGCTGTGCAGCACATCCCATTAAAAAAAAACACACCATGTGAATGAGTAAAAAAAATGGGAGTTTGCATGATTTGTTTTTAAGCTTTTTTTCCTCATTGTCAACTAAGCACATTTGTGTTTGTTTGTCCACGTCCAGGATGGGTCTACCTGTGGACAGCCCCGACAGGAGGGATGATGCACTTAAACAGGAGCAGCAGGGCGAGGGAGACGGGGGCGAGAGCCAACCCGAAGCCCACACCACCCGCACGCCGCCACCCATCAACAAGAAGAGGAAAAAATGCAAGAAGAGGTACTTTGCTGCTGGATCTCCTCCATTTGTACTTCTGCATTTATTTCCCATCACAGGTATATTACCTCCGAGCACCCTGACTGTTATGATTTTTTTTTGCAACGTGTCCTCGAGGCTCTTAAGTTTTTGTTTTCTCACTTGTCCTCATCATCCGGGGGGGAAGGAAGACGGGCGTAATGAGGCATTTTGTAGGAGCTTGTTGCAGCAAAGCAGGTGTCTGTCCCTCTTTCTGTCTCTCTTCTCTTCCAGATGACTGTGGATCAACCTCACCAACTGCAAATATGAAAGCGGTACGTTCAGGCCAAAGATGTCTATATTGCCGCACAGCTCCACCTATTTGTATTTTACAGACACACAAACAGAGACTGTACTGGAAAATGGGAAGCAATATATATACTACATGGCCAAAAGTATGTGGACACCCCTGTCTACTCTTCTTTACTTATAGTTTGAACTACTTTTTTTTTCAATTTAAAGTTTCAGTTTGTAACATTTAGGACGACCTTTTGGCAGAAATAACTGTTTTCATTCATCACCAGAAGCGTCAGAATTGTGTTTTTGTTACCTTAGATTGAGCCTTTTATGCTGTATACATACAGTATATAGTATAAGGTACAGTATGCAGATGCTACAGGTCGCCTCCATGGAGTCCATCATGTTGAACCGCCATGTTTCTACAGTAGCCCAGAACAGACAAACCAAACACTGGCTCACTTTTTCGGCCACCATAGTTTCTCCTTCGCGTTTGGAAGGGTCTAATGTTCGAGTGTCCACATACTTTTGGCCATGCACTATATTTTGAATGTATACTGTTTTGTTGTTGTGTGACTTGTGGTTAATCTGTAGCTCCTAGATCAGTCCAAACACTAATAAACACACACAAAAACGTTCATCAGTAAAGTAAAAATACTCCTTGCTGTTTCTTCGTCTCAGTGCGGCGTGCTGCTCGCAGATACGGACTCAGGGAGGCAGCGGAGGGTGAAGACTGGACATTGTTCTGGACCGACTGCTCCGTGTCTCTAGACCGAGTGAAGGACATGAAGCGTTACCAGGTATTCCTCACAAAAAAACACCCACATTAAGGGCCACACCATCATCGTACAAGACTAATTAAACTAGATTTAATTCTATAAATCAAGCAGAAAATTAATCAGGTCATTCTGCTCTGTCACACTGTAATGTTATTCTACATGTAATTTAAATTCTTCTGCTCAATATGCCTACCCTCGAAATAATAAAAAATGTAGATTTCCACTGAGATTATGATATTGTGTCTGGGGTTTTTTTTTCCCAGGGCACAGTGTTCATGGCTCATAACAGTTTTCCAGCTCAAGTAATCAATTTGTAATTTAATTGGGTAATTCAGTGCAGGAACTATTCAGCACCAGCGATTCTTCCCTGAATGAATAAGGTGGCTCGGTTTATTTAATTCCTTTTTTTTGTGTCTTTGCAGAAAATAAACCATTTCCCAGGGATGAGTGAGATCTGCCGCAAAGATTTACTGGCGAGAAACATGAACCGTATGCTCAAGCTTTTCCCCAAAGACTACAATATCTTCCCCAGAACGTGGTGCCTCCCTGCAGAGTCAGTTTTGCTCTTTTATTTGAGTTTTTTCCCCCTCAGCGTGTCTTAATATACTTACTCCTGATCCCTGTTGTGCCTTGCAGTTACAGTGACTTCCAAGCTTACACCAGGGCCAAAAAAAGCAAGACTTATATCTGCAAGCCAGATACCGGTTGCCAAGGCAAAGGCATCTTCATTACCAAATCAAGTAAAGACATTCAACCTGGAGAGCATATGATCTGCCAGGTGTACATCTCCAGGGTGAGGGTATATTAAACAATTACACCTACACACACACACACACACACACACACACACACACACACACACACACACACACACACACACACACACACACAGTTTTACATTGTTTCTCGTTCCCTTCTCAGCCTTTTATAATTGACGGCTACAAGTTTGACCTGCGTGTCTACGTGCTGGTGACGTCATGTGACCCATTCAGCATTTTCATGTTCAAGGAGGGCCTGGCTCGCTTCTGCACCACCAAGTACAACGAACCGACACACAGCAACGTGGTAGGGAAATGTTAAAGCATGAGTCTCTTATTGTCAATAAATCCCATGAAAACCAATGAATTGATCCTACCAACAAGTACTGTACATGTCCAAAGCAGAAAATAGTCTCCAAAGATTCACTATTTGCTCCTGTTTGAGTAACGTTTGTTTAAAACTATACGTATATTTGTGATATGTTTTTAAAGATGTCCAACACGTTGTTGGTTTTAATTTTTTCATAGGATTTGTTAACGGTAACAAAAACATCAGCTTTATCCTTCAAAGATCAGAAATGACAGTAAAAAGTACATATTTAGTCATGTTGTGTCATTTATAATATACAGAATATTCTATATCCTTGTGATTACAAAGAAATAATGAGAAATAATAACAATAACAACAAGAATAAAGTAGGCAGATAAAACCTTTTTTTCTCTGAATAATCGATAAATCTTTTGCTCTGTATGTCATCAAACTGGGAAAAGTTGCATGGTGACTTTTTAAAATGTATATTTCTTTTGTCTGACCCAAAGTCCAAAACCTGATATTCAGTTTTTACTATTTAAAACTCAGAAAAATAGAAAATAATCACATTATAGAAGCTTTTTCAATTATTGAAACTGTAATTTTCTGATGATCATTAAATCAATCATTCGACTAATCGTGCAGCTTTAATAACAACCTATCAGTTTCTGACTGCAATTTAAAAGGCAAACTCATCAGGCAGACTGCCCCAAGACCTTAATATAAATATATATGTATCTTTCTTATATGTGATCTATATCTCTCTTCCCTCGTCTTCCTCTCATTAGGAGGATGTGTGCATGCATCTCACCAACTACTCCATCAACAAGAACAGCGAGAACTTTGTCCGTGATGAGGACACTGGCAGCAAACGGTAAATAAATAAACAATGCTTGTTGTGTCGTATTACTACTGCATTTTATTTATTGCATGTTTCTTTGTTTCTTTGTTTCTTTGTCCTCCAGAAAGCTCTCCACCCTGAACAAGCTCCTGGAGTCCATCAGCTGCAACACGGACAAGATGTGGAATGACATTGAGGACATGATCATAAAGACTCTGATCTCTGCTCACCCCATCCTGAAGCACAACTACCACACGTGCTTCCCCAACCACACCACCGGCAGCGCCTGCTTCGAGATCCTGGGCTTCGACGTGCTGCTGGATCACCGGCTCAGACCCTGGGTCCTGGAGGTGAAAGACCACGACACCTGTGTTTAATATCAGCCATAAATATAGCGTAACTAAACCCCAAAAACCACCTCTGTCTATGGGTAGTGTTGTTCATAGATTCAGGTCCAAATCTGGACATTTTAGTGCAAAGTATTTTAATATTTGCTATAAAAATGTGCAGCGACTGCGCTCCACTGGTTGACACTGGCTATTGCAATTTAATTTTGCTACTGGCTGATCTGGAGGCAGGTGATGTATTTGGTGGCAGCTTTCGTCAGCAACCAACCCCTGCGTCTATCAAACCAACGTCTCCACTCTGCGGACTGTCTCCTGCTGCGTAGCGGTTAGTCACAAACTACCACTAAAGCCACTAGCATAGCTAACGTTACAACACAAGTACCCCACAGAAACTTTATGAATGTGGTTGTAGTGACTGTCAAAGCTCCAGCGGACTCTCTGTGTATCCAGCACGGACACGGAGAGTCTGACAGCAGCTGCTCATGGCTGGTTAGCTCAGCTTTAAACGTGTTTCCCTTTAAGTAGCTATAAGGTTGAAAAAAAACCTGTATGATGTGTGAAATAGTCAAACATGTTTTTTTTATGGCTGTACCATTCTAGCAAATGGAAATATTCTACATCATTTCATCAAGGAATCAAGGAAATGTATTTATTATTATACAACACACAGCTGTATAACCAAATGAACGTTTGTAGTTCTTTCATGTTACACACATAGAAAGAGATGATCACATTCATAGAATAACATAAAAGACAAAAAGTGTAAACATAATACACATTTCTGTAAAATTCAGTCTTTTGAACTGAAGGAATTAAAATGTTACTCAGGAGATACGTGATCTCATTAGATGTCCAATCCAATCTGTGTATTCTTATGTGTCTTCAGGTGAATCACTCCCCGAGTTTTACCACCGACTCGCCGCTGGACCGCGAGGTGAAGGACGCGCTGCTGTACGACACCTTGGCCCTCATCAACTTGGGCGCCTGCGACCGCCGCAAGATCACCAAAGAGGAGAGACGCAGGGTGAAGGAAAGGCTGCAGCAGAACAGCACCAGAGAGGCCAGGTAGGGTTCTGTCAGGTGCAAATGGCGTGTGAATTTTTGTCCAAGGTCACACATCCATTCACACGCAGGTGACTGTTACTGTGTGTGTGCATGCGTCTTGTGTGTGTGTGTGTGTGTGTGTGTGTGTGTGTGTGTGTGTGTGTGTGTGTGTGTGTGTGTGTTTTACCACCAGGTCGGAGGAGCTGCGTCAGTGCCAGGCTGCCACGGTGGAGCAGATGGAGAGGTACGAGGCCAAACACCTGGGAGGCTTCAAGAGGATCTATCCCAGAGAGGGAGAAGAGAAATACGACAAGTACTTTAAACACAGCAGCTCGCTCTTCCAGGAGACGGCGGCGTCAAAGGCCAGAGAGGAGTGTGCCAGGTACACCGCAGCACGCCGTCAACATACAATCCAGGAAAGAGTTGAAGCCACATCTTTCTCTGCACATGAGAACAGTGGAACAGTAAAAGGAGAGGAGGACAGTTTCTTCTGCTGTGTGCATCGTGACAGACGTGATTGTGTTAATCAGTTATTAGTTCATCAACAGAACATTAATTGACAAAAAGTAGTCAGAAGAAAATAAGTGTTTGTGGTAGTGACGGCACGCTCAGCCCCGGAAAATGTACGATTTAGGATTTTTATTAACACTGATAAAAAAGGGTTCAGGGTTTTCTCTTTTAATAATAACAATCTATTATTTGTTATCATTATAAATTGAATATCTTGCGTTCTGGACGTCAATATTCACTATTTTTGCCATTTAATGGACTAAATTATTAATCAATTAATCAATAAAAGAATAGGTAAGACTGTGATTTTGCTGCTTTTTAAATTTAAATCAATATCACTGTCCATAACTATTGGTTGTTAATAATGAACTGGACTAACTGTTCTCTAGGAAAACAGCTCAACTTTAATCTCAGTTTGAACACGTGAACGTATGAGCAGGATTTATGACTCTCAGCTGGTTTGGAGCCAATCGTAATCCAGTAGTCCAACCTGTTGTGTGATCTATATGTATGGTGGCGCTCAGTTTCCCCTCTGGAGGATTATTAACATATTTCATATCGTATGAAACTCACAAACACTAAAAATAGACTTTACAGTGAATTAAGAGACATTTTTTTGCCCTTAACTGAATGAAATGTACTTTATTTGCATATTTATAGCTTCTGGGTTTGTCAGCGAGATTAAAACCGTGTCAGACAATTAATCTGACATTATTTAATTTCATTATTATTCCGAGCAGAGATATTTTTATATGTCTTAAAAAAGGGGTCTCAAACTGCCGGCCCGGGGGCCATTTGCGGCCCTTCGTCCTCCTCCCTCCAGCCCGCAACAAGATGTCAAAAATATAATATAATCCGGCCTTTATATCAGTTTAAACTACCCCTTCTTATACAATTAAAATAAAAATGCTGTTTTATTTTTAAAAGTGCATTTTGTTAGGCACAAAGGTCAATATACCAGTATGTGTCTTTATTAAGGTAAAGGGATCGGCTTTGTTCAAATTCAAATATAGCTAAAAGCTCAATAGTGGAGAGGAAGATTATCCTTCTTGGAAGAAACTAACTGAACAATTTCAACCTGTCTCAATATTAATGACACAAGCTGTTCAGAGATCAGCTGAAATAACATATTTGAATGTATGTAGTGTATTTCTTCTCATCATTATTATTGAAGCATTACATTTTGAGTACTTTCCTTTTTAGGTTTAGCTTATAAAAATATAAAGGGATTTAATTGGGAGTAAATTATTCATATTATAATTTTTTTTGTGTTTAAATCCTTTATATTGTCAGAGAGAGATGTTAAAGTTTCTGATGTGTTTTAGGCAACAACTGCAGGAGCTGCGTCTGAAGCAGGAGCAGAAGGAGAGAGACCAGAAGGGAGGCCGGAGGAGAGACTTGCAGGGGGAGACGGCGGGGGAGAGAGTCAAACCGCGGCGAGCACAAACACAACCCCCCGGCTCAAACTGTGACCCGCAGCCGGTGAGGCTGTCTTACCGTGTCATTAAAGACGCAGAGTCCATATGAAACCACAAGAGGGCGTCAAACAGCTTCTGTCCTGTGATGAATGGTTCATATTCTGGCTGACCCCTTCCAGTAAATGTACTCTTACCCAGTTTAAATTAGCTAGAATAATATTCCCGCAGATTGTTTTTTATTGGGTGTCTCTCATTTTGAATTCAAATATCTTTTATTCTCAAGACAGGAAACAAAAACAAACAGTGTTATCAAGGTTATTCACTGACAGTAATGGCAAATGTATTGTGAATGCATACCGGTGGCTACATATACAGCGAAGGGCAATAAAAACAAATTGAATCAAATGTGTCTCTGCAGCCGCCTCTGTCCGGCGTTTCGGCGGATCGTGAAGAGGTCCGAGACGAGAAGAGGGAGCAGGACGAAGAGCTGGAGGAGCAGGAGCGGGTTGATGCGCTGCTCCAGAGGAAGAAATTACTGCAGGACCTGGGCGTGGTGGACCAGATCCACCAGCTGTTGCAGGGCCGGACAGAAGGTGGAGGGGTCCCGCAGAACGCCAGGGACGCCTACACCCACCAGCAGAGTAAGCAGAGACAGCAGCAGGTGAAGGTAAGACCTCACCACTAATGTGGTCTCAGTTTTTTACTTGTTTGTTTGTTAAATTATATTTTAGCTTCCGGTCACTGCTGTGTTTTATTTTCTTGTATTTCAGTTGGACTCTTTGACACAGTTTTCCCAAAAGACAAAAGCAGCAGCAGCAGCAGCAGCAGCAGCAGCAGCAGCAGCAGCCCTGCAGTCAGATGTCACGGCAGGTACGCCAGACAAAACCAAATCAATGGTTTATTTAAAGAAATTAGGAATGCTCCTTTAATAAACAACCCTAAATAATCAATTCAGATTCAAAAACATCCTGTTATTGTCCAAACTCATTTTTTTTTACAATTTCCAAATGAAAAGAAAAGACAACATCATTTTTTCTATGATTGTTTTCACACTTCTGCAGTTTATCATCTTGATTAATCAATTAATTGTTTAATATAAAATGTTGTAAAATAGTAAAAAAAAAAAAAAGCTCTTGGTGCTGGTTTCAGTTCAAACCTGAAGACTTTCTGTTAATCTCATATATGATCTCATATATACAAAGAAAACCAGTTAAATTCTCACATTTGAGGAGCTGAAATCAGAATATTTGTTTAATAAATACTGAAACGATTAATCGATTATCAAAGATAGTTGCAGATTAATTATCTGTCTTGTTCTCTGCTTCTAACCCCTATTATTTTTAAAGTTTAACTCAGGATTATGTGAAAGAGGAATGTCTTTTGTCCAATAAAACTTTATGTTTGTCTCCGAGAGGCGAAGCAGTGTTCCAGTGTAAATCCACATCCATCAGTTCACATTTAAAATGTTTCAGTGTGTTCTGACGGCCGCTCTATGAACGGATGAACAGCAGTCAAATCATAATATTAAGAAATAATTGTCAGTGAGGAATGAAAACGTGTTAGCGGTTGATGTTTTGGGCCATTGTCACTGATTGTGTGACGCTCAGGCAGTTCAAAGAAAGGCCATGGTGGTGGATTTTATCGATAATTTGCGGTACTAATGAAATCATCATGAGGCAGAATTAAAATGACATAATATCATTTGCCTCGCCGCAGCACATCCACTCCCACACGACTCAGCAGCGCCTGCTCAGGCCCACGGTGGACCAGAAGAGCCTGAACGAGTCGGCCTGCCTGCAGTCTGAGCCCGAGAGCCACAGCAGGGCGGCGGAGACGAGGAGGACCACCAGCGCCCAGCGGATACACTGGCCAGGTAAACACACCCCCACACACACTGTGATAGGTCAGAAATTACCTCCACACAGCAGTAAAAGGCATTTATGTATGTGGATGTGATTATTTTTGTTATTTCTCAGCTACTGTTTTGTCTTTTTGTTGCATTTTAACTGATTTTGTGTTCAGCTTTATTCTAAAATTAAACATAACTTCCTCGTAAAGTTAAATCAGCTGTGAGAAAGTGTGAGAAAATAACACTCTTTACTTTATTTTCACTTTACTTTGACCTTCTTACTTTGTCCATCCCATCCAATATTAAATAAATATTAACTTCAGTAATGAGTTTGTGCTCTTTAGTTATAAAACTTTTATAATTATCACACTGTTTTGTCTTCTTTTGTTTGAGTTGTGTGAATTTTTCCAGTTTCCAGAGACATACACACATAATTAAAAACAGAACAACCTGATTGTTGTTTTTTTATTGTTTTATTTCCCCACAGATGTCAAATGTTCTCCTTCTGTTCCCCCATCAGTCGGAGGCTCTCTGGCTGTCAGACAGGACAGCAGGAGCAGCTCCTACCCCGACACCCGGTCCCGTCCCAGCATCCCCATCATAAACCACGTCCCTAAAGGGGGCCTGCGCTGCAGTGCCTACATGTCCCACGACCCCGCAGCCCTGCAGAGTCTGCTTGTCATCTCCACTCGCGCCCCCCTGGTCAGGAGGCCTGGCTTCTCTCACATCGTCCGCAACTCCTCCCGCAGAGCCCCCCAGCACGGTAAAGGGCAGTGAGGAGCAGGACCACCGAGTCCAGACCTGCCTCCGGGTTTTAAAAAAAGCGTAGACACACAGGAGAAGAGGAGGTGGAGCGGCTTTAAACTGTGAAAATACATACAAACACACTGTGCCTGTGATGAACATCTCGTGTTTGTAGACAGATTTTTATATTGGCTCGCCACTTTATAACCTCCAGCACTGCAGAAGCAACATTATGGCTTTTTAACTTTTTCTACCTGCTGCGTGTGCTCAGATAAATATGTGATATTTCACTCTGAGGAGGAATTATCTCTCTACACACACACACACACACACACACACACACACACACACACACCTCACCTAGAGTGCCAAAATAAAAGCCTGATTTTTTACACCATCTGTGATCCAATCCTGCTGCCTCTGAGATATGGATCGGGAGCTGATACACTGACTGTTTATTGGGTGTTTATATGAGCTTAAAGTGGCTCAGTGAAACCGAATGTAATCCTCATGAATATTAAAGTATTATTAATTAAGATTTAAGAAACTTATAGGAAGATAAACTGAGGGATTTTTACAAAATAAAGGCCTTCTGCTTCTTTTCTCAAGGACGTGTGTTTGAAAATATATCTATTTTTTGCACTGATTGTCAATAAAATATCTTTTTGTAATGAGATTTAGTTTCACAGTCATTGAAGGTTTTTTTCATTTAATTTCCTGATACAATTATTATTTATTATTATTATTATTATTTTATATTATTTTTTATTATTTAGTTTTTATATTGTTTATTTTTGGTGCAAAGTTCTTAATTAATCAACGTTTGTGATTTCATCCTGAAGCTTTTCAGTTTGAGTTAAAGAGGCCATAAAGTTTTACAGCATCATCCGGTTTCTTTGTTTTTCTCGCAGATTGAAAACAGAAAAAGACAAAAAACCAACTTTAAAACTATCAACCATTTGACCCGAAATCCTCCAAACAACCAGAACAACACAGGAAGCAACGAGCTGAGAAAACAATTAGACAATAATTCAAATATTAATTAATGTTTAACTGTAAAATTAAGCTTCAAAATGTTATAAAACCTAAAATCATCGACTGATTTGAATCGAAAGGTTTTTATTAAATACATTTTAAGAAGCAAGGCCTCTGCCTGCAAACACACCGAGCTCTTGGTTTTCATTGTTGACTGAAATATTACAGAAAAATAAATACAGCTTTCAGCATTAATTATATTTATATTTATTTTATTCCATTTAGGAATTATTATCAACGAACGTGGAGATTTAACTGCTTTTATTTTGGAAATACAGCTCAAAGTTAATTCCTGTTCTTTAAACCTATTTTTTTAACCAAAAATCTACATTTTAAGGTCAGTTTGTTGGAGTTTGTGTCTCTTGGAGGCCCCCAAAATAAACCCCTTAAAGCTAAAGGGTGGGAATGTGTTGCATTTAAGGAATTTATGGTTTTATTGCGTCTATAAATGTCGGAAATCCTCGTTTGTGGTGGAAGTCAGCAGCTTGGCAACTGAAAAAGACAAATTTTCAACAAAGAAAGAAACGGAAATAAGACAAACGAAATCATAATAAGAAGAAGAAATGCGTTTTTTAAAGAATGAATTTGAGCCTGAAGGAACTTAAAGCTGTGTGTGACTTTCAGACGGGAGTTTAATTTTATCCTGATGATCTTAATAGAAAAGTTGGTGGATGAAATGTGATGTTTTAAAGTTTGTGTGACCTTAAAATCCCCCTCTGGACTTTCAATCAACCCGAACACCATTTTCCATCTTTGGCCTGGAAGGTTTATGCCAAATTGATTTGCAGTGACTGAAAGAAATCCTCCATTTTGAGAGATCATAACAGTCTTTAATGTAAAAATCTTTTAGCCTAAAACCATTTTATTTAAGCCCCAAAATAATAAGATTACACGATTATTTCAGTGCGTATTGAAAGAAAATGGATCACAAAAGGGTTTTTAGGATTTAAAATGATTAAAGCAACAAGAAAATGATCTAATTAAAGTTGTTAAATGAGTATAAAAGCACTACGGTTGTGTTTAGAGAACAATAAGAAGCTTGTACAGACCTTTTTCCAGTTAGAAACCAGATGCTGGAGCAGAACCACATCCAGCTCAATGTCAAACAAAATAAACTCTTACATCTTTTTTTTAATGTTTTTTTTACTCTTTTTAAATCCAGCATCAAATTTCAAACATCTCTGGGAGCTTTTGGAGGACAGAATAAAAATGGCGATGGGGGAAAGCATGTCTAAAGCACAAAAAAAGGGCTGCTGTTTATGAAAATTTACAACTTTGCCGTGGAAGTTTACGACTCAGCCGGCTCCGGGATTGGTTGCTGGCGGTCATGTGGACAGCAGGAATGGGAACTTATTTCCCATGAGGTTATATTGCAGCTGCTGTTTTCCAGCTCTCATTCACTTAACACTAGTAACACAACCTTTTTTTCTTGAGCTCTTTGTATATGCAATACGCGTGTGTCTGTATGTGTGTGTGTGTGAGAGAGAGAGGGGAGAAGCTGGCCGCCGGTTCGTGCGTAATCTCCCCCAAAAGTGGGGCGATGGAGGCTCCGCGCGATGCCCTTCCCTATGTGTGTGTGTGTTTGTGTGTGTGTGTGTGCGCCATGTTAAAGCTGTATGTTCGTAAAAATGAGGGATCATCACACTCCTTCGGATGGTGGGATTACTTTCATGAAATCACTTGTGCGAAGTGGGAATTGTGAGAGAGGGAGAGGAGGAAAAAAAGAAAAGGGGGACTTTGGAGAGAGAGGAAGCGAGAGGAAGCTTCTGCGGAGTGGCACCCACACAGGGAATGATGGATTATCAACAAAGGTAAGGGCAACCGTGTTTCTAATATGCCGGCGATTAACTCCGCTGCTGCAGCGCTGTTGTGGCTGGACTGTCACTGTAGGCCTGATGTTTATATTACAGGGAATGAGGAAGATCAGTCTTTATAAGAAATGGCAATTATCCAGTCTAAAGCATCTTCTTCTTTTCTCTCTCTCCTCCTCCCCCTCCTCCTCCTCCTCCTCCTCCTCCCGCGCTGTGTGAGATATTCTCAACCAGTTGCTGGGTCTGTTTAATCCGCCGTCAGATCTGAATATTTGCGCTTTAAAAACAAATATAAATGAGTGAAAACAATGCAGGTTTGAGGCCTGTGAGAGACTGTTGTTATATAATCAGGAGGGGTTTCGGCTGCAGGCCAGACAGGCTTTACTTTGATGATGATGATGATGATGATGATGGTGGTAATGATGATGGGCACGCAGGCCCTGTGCTGCAGACGTGATTTTCTTAAAATAAAAAACAGAATCAGCTAAATATATCCAGCTTCTCCTTAATAAGCAGATTTTATTCTATTTTTATGTATTTTTATGTTGTTATTTTATTCCCGTTGTATCCTGTAAAACATGGAGGACTGTCTGTAGGTGGATATTGGCGCGCTGTCTCCTCTTCGAGCTGGTTTTTTGCCTCTTTCTCTACCAAAATCTTTTATAATTTTGCGCAAATATTTGCTCCGGTTGTTGTTTGTTTGTGATTCAGTAAAATCTGCAGAGTCAACAATCAACAATCAACCGCGTTGAAGGTGTTTTGTTGGATTTTTGGCGCCTCTGCAGCAGTTTGTTTTGTGTTTGTCTGCGTCTCGTTTGATGCTGCAGTTTTATAACTCTATCATGTGATCGTGTGGAAAACAGGGATTGTGTCTCTGTCAGTGGAAACCATCAGTGTGTGTGTGTGTGTGTGTGTGTGTGTGTGTGTGTGTGTGTGTGTTTGCACTGTCCAGATGTACAGCAGCTGTCCGGCTGCAGAGGCTGCGGCCTGGTTCAGAGGCGGTTCTCTCCACGTACTGAAGCCAGAAAAACACAAAGATTTTGCATTTAAACGTTCAAATTAAAATGATTTCCAAACGGATGTTGTACTAAAATATTATACAAAATAAAAGATGTTTACATCAGGAAGCGAACTGGAGCTTCAGCCAAAGCGAAGACGGAAAAACAGGATTTAAACAAATGTTATGTACAAGATAATAACCTATAAATGTTTATTTTCAGCCTATTTCATTCAAAACACTTGATTTTAAATTAAATATTCTGTTATTTTTAACAATACAGTGACTTATTTCGTTATTTCTGTTTAAATGGGGGACTTTTCCAAAGGCGAAACAGCTAATTAAAAAGGAGGAAGTTGTCTATAAGATATTATAAACATCATAAATATAAATTAAAAGACTTAATTGAACAAATTCACATGTTTTTGTGCACGAAAATCTCATGAAATCATATTAATAACTATAAATAAAGGCCTTTAATAGCAGAATCAGACACTAAATGTGGAGGTTATTAATAACACAAAGCAACTAATACTACTTAATTATAAATAATGAACATAATATTAATATAAGCTACTAATAGAACATAATAATATTAATAATATCTAATAGTTATTTAATTGTTTTTAATACAGTTGAGGGTTGAGGGGAAATACTGAGGCTCATTTCAGACTTTTATACTTACACAATTTTTTTTAAAAAAGGGGGGGATTAGTTTCCACTTGATCACGGAGGGTGAAGATGATGATGAAGATAATGATGAGCTGTGTGGAAGCGCGTGTCCTCCTCCCTCCTGCTGCCTGCACGTCCTCGTGGAGTCACACCTGGTGTTGAATGAGAAATCAGGAGCTTTTTTTAAAAAAAGAGTGAAACACCAACATTATCTGCTCTCGATGTGGATTCATCGATACTTGTGATTGGTTTTTTTGAGGGCGGGGCGGTTTCTGGGCAGCTGTGTGGATAAATACTGAGTTTTATTCGTGTGTTTATTAGTTACAGTAGATTATTTAACGGGATGGAAGTGAAGGTTAGAGGAAGAGGAGGAGGAGGAGGAGGAGGAGGAGGAGAGGGAGACGGTGTTCGCCTGCAATTTGTGCGTAAATGGAAATAATGCGCAAATTGTTTCTATTGCGATGTTTTTTTTTGGTCTTTTTGCATTATGTGTGTGTGTGTTAGAGAGTGAGTGTGTTTGTGTGTGTGTGTGTGTGTGTGTGTGTGTGTGTGTGTGAGAGAGAGAGAGAGAGAGAGAGAGAGAGAGAGAGAGAGAGAGAGAGAGAGAGTTGTTTGTTTATTACGGAGGAGAAGAAGTCCGTCTGTTTTTCCGGACAATATTTGCATAAAACTAAAAGTTATAACGCAAACAGTTCTCCTTTTATATAGCATATTGTAGTTGTTGTTGTTGTTGTTGTTTTTAGTGTATATGTATTTTCTATAAGTCGCAGCATCTGTGTGTGTGAGCGTGCGTAAAGACCGACAGGCTCGAGCGCTTCATTTCGATTCACCGGGGACCCCTGCGCGCAACAAGAGCCCCCCATGGGTGCAATAGTGCAAGCACAGACGGCGGTGATTGGCCAGAGGTTGATCAGATGGTACACTTCCCCTCTGTATTCAGTGGCACCTCACAACCCCCCCTTTCAGCAAAAACCAAATCTCGGATAAAGTAATGGCAAAACCACTTGGACTATAAAAGACAACAAATCATATTCCTCCGGAGTATATACACCCCGTTGTCCACCCAATGAGTTCCTATTTTGTTAACTCAACTTTTCCCGTGTCTCTACCGGGAGGACAGGACTCTCTCCTGGGTCAGATACCGTTATATTCCTCGGGATACACCGATCCGTTAAGACACTACTCCAACGCGGCCACATATGGAGCAGCGGCGAACATGCAGGAGAAGGTTTACCCGGCGTCCTACTACCAGCAAACGGGCGCGGCGGCGGCTGCGGCCATCTACGGCCGGGCCGGCGGCGGAGCGCCCTGCGACTACAACCCGGTCGGGACTTTCTACAAGGACGCGGAGGGCTCGTGCGCTTTCTCGAGCCGCGAGGACCAGCCGCTGTTTGTCACTCAGGAGCATCAGCAGCGCAAAGCGGAGTGCCCGGAGCAGACTGTCAGTATGAGCAGCAGCATTGACGACAAGTCCTCCACTCTGATCTACCCGTGGATGCAGAGGATGAACGCCTGCTCCGCCGGTGAGTACGTGGGGAGGGAAAGGAGAGAGAAAAGCGCACGGGTTTTTTTTTTAAACTCTTGTTGTTGTCACGCTGCCTGGAGGTAAAAGAGCGCAGGAGAGAGCAGCTCTGCGTGATGAAGTGAGCGTCCTGAGCCCCCTCGCAGAGTTACCTGTCAGCTCCATACTCATAATAATATTTAATCAACTTAACAATCGGATGATGATTGTTGGGCCGAAAGTTTTTTTTGGGGAGATTATCGTGATTTGCGCACGGATCTTCTTCACGCGCCCTTCAGAGGGCTTTGGCTGCTACATCATCATCCTTACACATACATACACGACGGCCAACGCGCGCACACGCACGCACATACAGATTTGGCCTACATCACCCCCGAGCTGCAACTTAAAGCTCTCAGCTCGTGTCACATGGCATCCTCAAAATGGGCCTTTTTAAAACATTTTTAAAGCGACACTAAATGTCAGAAAAACACTTTTTGGTGATTAAATGTCCAAAATATAAACACAAAAACACTAAATCTCAGAAAACAAGGCGCTATGGAGGCTCAGTGCTCATTGTGGCGCAGTCTGACTCTGACTGTACATCCCTACTGTAGTGTTATAGAACAAAATACTGATGGCATGAGAGGGAAAAGACACCATGAGGTCACTTTTACGCACCACGCTTTAAACACATTATTGGCTACATCCTGTTGTAGCCACATTAAAGATTCATTTAGGAGATTTTTTTAAAAATAAAATATATGCAGAGGTCCTCATGGCCTCACTGTAAGGCGTGTCATGGCCATAATACACAAGTATTATTAGAAAATGTAGTTATTTTATAGAATATATTTAAAGAAAATAGAAATATAGGCTATTGAACGCCACTGTGAGGCATTTGCGTACCTATAGGAAAAGGCTGTTATAGGAGAATTCTCTTTAAAAATACACATACAATGGAGTACAGTTAATTGCTGTATCATAATTTGCTACTTTATACACAAGAAAAAGATTATATTTGAATGTTATAAAGTGTAATTTGGAGTTGAAATACACCAAAGATCTGAATTTCCCACTTTATTGTATTTTTTCAGACACACGACTACAGATATCGAGTGCACTCTCAGGTAGATTTCTCCTCCTACACTCTCGAAAATTCACGTCAGACCAGCATTTTAATTATTAATTGATGAATTCATTTTTTCCCCCTCCTCCTCCTCCTCCTCCTCCTCCTCCCCAACCACTTCCAGGCCCATTTGGCAACAGTGGCCGCAGGGGCCGACAGACCTACACCCGCTACCAGACTCTGGAGCTGGAGAAGGAGTTCCACTTTAACCGCTACCTGACCAGGAGGCGCCGGATAGAGATCTCCCACGCCTTGTGTCTGACGGAGAGACAGATCAAAATCTGGTTTCAGAACCGCAGGATGAAGTGGAAAAAGGAGAACAAACTCCTCAATCCCTCAAAGACACCCGAGGAGGAGGAAGAGGCGGAGAAAAAGAGCTAAAGGACACTGAAAGAAAGAAAGAAAGAAAGAAAGAAAGAAAGAAAGAAAGAAAGAAAGAAAAGGCATGTGTGTGTGTGTGTGTGTGTGTTTGTGTGCACACTCCCCAGAATAAAATGATGTATTATTTCTTTGTAGATAAAAAAAAAAGTGCTGCAAAAATCCCATGTTTAGAGACGTGTAGAGTGATAGACTTCAGTATCTGCACGGTGATAATGTCTGCATTAGGTTAAAATCAGGTCCTCCTCTGTTTGTCCTTGTGCTCGTGTGTTTTTTATTTTTAGGGGACTATATGCAAACAAAATCCGCCAACATGTAAATAATTTTTAAGTGTTTAGTTCTCGACAATGTTGTTACCTCATTATTCGTATAGACCTACTGAGTTTTTATCTCCATGATTTCTGTCTACATGACATTAAAAGAAAAGAAAAAAAAAGAGTCCTTTCACTGTACATCTTGTGGTGTGGTTGTTTCTATAATAGTCCATATTGTTGTTTACAGCTGTGCCATCTTACATTTGTACAGAGGGAAGAAAAAAAAAATGTTACATGTTATTTATTGTTGTTCACCTGTGTTCAATGCACATCTGGATATTGTGTGCAATATTTTTGTTTAGGAGAAATTGTACATAGAAATAAAGGCTTTTTGATGTATATTGGAAACTCTTGTGGCGTCATTAATGCGCAAGAAAAACATGCGTATTTTTATCATTATTATTATTATTCATGTTATTATAAGGGATATTAAACTGCTTCTGGACTCACAATAAGCCTATAAATCCACATAAAACCAGAGTAAAGATTAAAATAATTTCCAGTTTGACACTCTGCGCGTTAAACTGCCGACAGTCTGGCTGATAAGTCTCCGTTATGTGTTACCTGAGCCTTTTGTGGCCTATATTATCAGCGTGTTACATAAATGATGGATGACTCCGCGGGGCCTGACAGCGCGTCCCGGCGGCGCACTGCCACCGCTGTCCGGAAGATGGCGCTCTCTGCCTGCACGGCTCTCGGGGGCGCAGCGGGGAGGCACCATTGACTGGAGCCTAACGACCATTATTTCGTCATCATTTGTAACCATGGAGCATGAATTACCTCTTGAAGTCATCAGTGAGGATTTACGACTGGTCAACAAAGGCACGTGATTCCCGAACGCTCTCCCATATTTGGCCGCATACCTGGCAAAGTACAGTAGGGCTTCATTGCTTATAATTCATGATTGCATCCATAAATCGTGCAAGCACACAGGATTATAGCGACAAAGATCTACAAATCGAGGCTTTAAAAATCCAAGCAAATGAGCTCTTACTTTGTAAACTCGTTCTCAGGGCGCTATCCAAATGGCTCCGACTATCAGTTACTAAATTATGGGACTAACGGCGCTGTGAGCGGTTCCTTCAGAGACCCTGGCACCATGCACTCCGGGTCTTTCGGCTACAACTACAATGGCATGGACCTAACCGTGAACCGCACCAACACCGGCAGCCACTTCGGTGCCGTGAGAGAGGATGCCCGGGGATTCGCGCCGGACGCCCGGTACAGACAGACGCCCAACTGCTCGCTCTCGTCTCCAGATCCGGTGCCGCCGTCGTGCGCCACAGCCAGCCGGGAGCCGCTGGAACTAAAAAGCCCCTCTCCTCCCTCTGACCGGAGCGCGACCTCGGGCGGCAACAACCTCAACAAAAGCAACAGCGCTCATTTCACGGAGATAGAGGACGCCACCGTCGCCTCCGAGACCGAGGAGGGCGCACACAGCAGCGGCGGCGGCTCCGGCACGGCACCGCGGGCGCAGCAGCAGCAGCAGCAGCAGCAGCAGCAGCACCAGGACCCCAACGCCACCTCCTCCACTCCCACATCAAACGATTGCCAATCGCCACAAATATTCCCCTGGATGCGGAAACTGCACATAAGCCATGGTATATTTACACCTCTAATAATCTCTTGTTTTGAAAGGATGTCACGCTGACGCTGTGCCATAAATCTGTCAAGTGTTTGCATGAGTGAGCAGGTTTTTGGTTTGTGGATGATTAGAGGGTTTTTTTAAAAGAATAATTTCAGTGTTTGTAAAGTCTTTAATGGGATTGTTTGCTTTTGGATGAGGGGGGTTGAGGTTAACTGCCGCTTGGAGCCTGAGAGAGGATGGGTTGTGAAATGTCTTTAGGTTGGGGGGGGGAGAGTGGAGAGAGCAGGAGAGGCTGTTTGGTGCGAGAGCTTTTGGAGATAAGAAAAGGCAATAATAACCTCGGAGTGTTGCTATGTGTCGTGTTGGTTTGCATGCTTCCCTCCCTTACATCAGCTCATTCCATGTTGTGACCCCCTCTGTCCATTACGCATCATGGTGAAGCCAAAAGAAAAAGTCTAGCAGTCAAACACCCTCCTCCTCTTCCTCCTCCTACTCCTCCTCCTCTCTTCTTGTGGTTGTTGTTCAGTGCAGTTTTTATTTTATTTTTTTTTTTTGCTAATTTTTCTGGATTTTCTGTAAAATTGTAGATATGACTGGACCTGATGGGAAAAGGGCCCGAACCGCGTACACCCGCTACCAGACGCTAGAGCTGGAGAAAGAGTTTCACTTCAATAGGTACCTAACCAGACGGCGGAGGATAGAGATAGCCCACGCCCTGTGTCTTTCCGAAAGACAGATCAAAATCTGGTTTCAGAACCGCAGGATGAAGTGGAAGAAGGACAATAAACTGAAAAGCATGAGTCTTGTAACAGGAGGCAGCGCCTTCCACAACTGAATAACTTTTTTTTTTTTTTTTTTTTTTGGAGGAGAGTAAAAAGAATAATAGTTTAAAAAAAAAAGAAAAAAGAAAGAAAAATCCATGAGTACTGTAAAAGCTATTTGAAAAAAGCGCAGCACCTTTCCAGCATGCTATTGTGATAGAAAAAGAAGTATTCTGTGGTCTTAAAATGCCATTTTTAGTTGACTGTTGTTGTTATATGATAGCTTTAGATGTCCTATTTGGAAACAAATTAAGATGTAAATATTATTGGGGGTATTACTTGTCCATGCTTTTTGCTCTCTCTCTCTCTCTCTCTCTCTCTATCTTGAAGGTGTTTCAACTTGAGCTCTTTATTGTGACTTATTGACGGTCTAACAGGAGTAAAAAAATTCATTGTACAGTTAAAAAAAAACACACACAGAAAAAAACTAAAACAAAAAAACCATATGCTGCTCTTCATTGAATGTAAACCTAATGTATTCCGGGGCCATTCAAAGCGCTTTAGTGTAAGTTTTACTGCTATTTTTGATGGTTATCTTGTGGCCAGATTCCATAAAACTTTCATAAAAACCAAGCCAATGTGTAGCTCTAGGGTATTTTGTGCATCTATTATTATTATTATTATTGTTTTAGAACTAATTATGAGCAATGCAAATGTATTCAACCTGTCAATGTGATAAATTTTTAGTGCAAAGGGTTATTCTGTGGATAGGCAGTGATGTGAAAGCTTCTTTCGCCAATAAGCTTTTTGTATTTGTAAGTGAACTCATAGCGCTTGGAAATAAAGTTTCTCTCAATTGCTTTGAACGTTGTCTCTCGACTGTATTATCAGTTAGAATAAAATACAACATATAAAAACATCCTGGCTCGCTTTTGACCCGGTTTTTTTTTTTTTTTTTTAAATAAACTCGCTAATGATTAACCTGTGAGAATTATAAAAGTGTCACACGAACAACATTTTAACATTTTGGCTCCAGTTAGCAGAAGAAAAACAGAAATATCTAACTTTCAAAACTTACCTCCTCTGAGCCTCTCTGTGCAGCGAGATGCGTGTTTGCCATAAATATGTTGGTGATGATAAAAATTAGAAAAAGAAATCCTGAGTGGCTTTTTTTTTTTGGCTTACAGGTATATAGGCAAGGCTGAAGTTGGTAAAAAATCCCCCCTTGCCAAAGATTGTATAGGCCTATATTACTTACAGACTGTGAAAAGTCACGTGAGGTCCATAAAGTTGGTTTTATGGTTTTGGGGAGTAGACAATGTACTATATAATTCACAACCTTGAATGAAAGTGACGGCTTAACTGCATGGATGGGACTGGAAAGGCTGGACTGGGGAAGGAAGCTGATGTCCAGTCATATTTAGTTGGTTTAAGAAGGCTGGAAAAACTTTAAAAACTGTTTCTATTAAAATATTGTGGCTGCTGAACATTTTATTTTAAAATATCAGATTAAATATGATATTTTTTTTATTTATTGGAGCTTCTGGATGCATATTTTAAAATAAAAATGCTGTTTAAACTCAATTTGAGGCAGATTTTAACCCAAATTATTTATTTTTAATGTTTTGCTAAAAAAGAAAAAAGCCCAAACTTCTGCTGTTTGGAAAATATCTTTATTCCTGCAGAGCAGTACCAAATATTAAAGAGAATTCCTCTTATTAAATAAAAAAATAAAGAGATTTAGTGCTTTATTCTGCACACACTAAATGTTTTGCAGGGGAAAAATCTCTAAAGACTAATTCGAGGCTTTGTGGAGCTGACATGAAACGAACTTGAGCGGAGTGATTTATTCCGATCTGTCAAGTCACCGAGCGGCCAAAGGTGAAGTCTCGGACAAACTCCCGAGCTGGACACAAGCTCCACTGATTCTACATAAAGAAAATCTCGAATGTCTAATGTGTGCTGCAATGCATTGTCTACCGGGGCCACTAATAAAAAAAAACCCATAATGATATTATCTCCAGGAAACTAAAGGCTGTGTTTTGTAATATATTCAAAGTCTTTTTAAAAACTTCATTTCAGGTATAAAAAAAAAAAAAGTTAAAACCAGTGGTGGGCTATATGGGTCCCAGACATTTTCCACATATTCATAACTATTAAGTGGCAATTTAACCAGCGTAATGAGTATTGCATATTGATAGGGGTAATCTGTACCCGGATCTCATGCATTATTCATAGCGGCGGGGATCATCTCTGGGTCAGGAGACGATGTAGACTGTGAGCCGTCAGGAGGAAGCTGCACATGCTGCCAGACTTTGCACTGTCACGATCTCACATCTGGATGAAAAAAGAGAGAGAGAGAGACACATGCATATGAGAGAATTTAATGTTTTTAATGCTAATATTGTTCAATTTGTAGTTTTTGCTGTGGTGTTTAAAAAGAAAGAAATCAGTGCACACATGCTGCTTAATGTCAGATTTTTAGCTCCCCTTTTTTTCCTTTGGATAGTTTTAATAATGTGGACAGAAATAGTGCAACATGTGCAGGAAATAATAAGGTTAGAAAGCTACTATTTTAACCACATTTAGGTGTGTTTAAGTGTTTTAGAATGAAATCAGTGTATCCTCTAATGCAGCTTCACTCTCTGGGTAGTTAATGAGGTGATACACTTCACAAAATCCTTTCTAAAATAAATTACATTTAAACATAAAAAAACTGTATTTATTATTTTTATTCTACAGTTAAATAAGTTAAATAGGTCAAACTTCATGTCAGCAACTCCTTTTTTAAAACCCGCCTCCTCTCACATGAAACCTAAAGCTTTAAATGAACCAGAATGATCAAACACATGAAACAAATGTCACCTTGAACGGGTTTTTTTGGGGGTGTTTTTTTTTGGGGGGGGGGCAGTTTATGGTGTCATGGATGCTCAACATCTGGCTGACTGTGTGTGAGTTCACTGCTGCAGCTGCTGGTTGGAGGTTGATGTAATGCTGCTGTTGTGCCAGCAGAGGGCGCCTCAGACCGGGCCCGGCTGATGATGGATGAGGTTTCTTTCTTTGAGGTTAGAGAGCAGAAACACCCGCGTTCACTCCGAGCGTGTTTATTAGTTATCTGTGCAGGTCTGAGAGGGCAGAATAAACCTTTAATCCCACAGATATGAGCTGAGAGGGAAACTATTACAAGCACAAGGCTTTATTCTGGAGGAGCTGCTGTTTCTTTATTCTGGTGGAAGCAGCTGAGTATATTTAACTTAAGTATAATTTGAGTATTTCCCATTTTTGGTGTCACTTTAAACTCTTTTATCTGACAGCTTTAGTTTCTACTTTGGCTTCCTACAGAAAGGATTGTAAAGAGTGTTTCAGATGAAGTTTGTCACATTTCAAGAACAAATTTGAGGCCCAGATGAGAGAAATGTGCAAAAACAGTTAATAATATTTTGTGTAACAGAAGTTTTATTTTACATTAATCATCTCACGACCCCTCAGATTTACCTTGTGACCCTTTGGAGGGGTTTGACCCCCAGGTTGGGAACCACTTACACTACTATGCTGTTTACACAATTAACTAATATAATAAACACTCAACAAAATATTACTTTTGATACTTTAAGTATTTAGTTTTTAATACTTCTATAAGACTGTATTTTTCACATTGTGGTATCTATGCTTTGACTTCCACTACTGAGAGCCTGAAGAGAGATGAAACTCGGGTTATATGGCCGACAAATATTTAAAACATTAGTCAATAGTAACCTCACACTTCCTGTGTATGTGTTTATGAGAGTGACACAGTTACACCACTATAAGTGCTCATAATGTGCATAAATACTGACGTTAAAAGACATAATATAGGTTTGAATATGTGTGTGAACCTCTTGTCAATGGTACAAACATATGTACGGTGTATGTTTGGTTCTACTTTCAACAAATAATTGTATTAATGGTTAATAAATCATTAGCTAATGCTTTATAGAGCTGCTGTAAGCCATAAATAATAACACGTTTTGGGTTTAACTTCCTCTGACTGACGATCTGAGGTGTTTTATTTGGAAAAATACAGACGATCTGGACCAAAATCCATTTATTAATTACTTATTAACATGTATAACCGCACACTTGATGTATTAAACCACTTTTCTAATGACTTATTAACATTTATAACTGCAGATTTAGTGGATTAAATTCTTTATTAATGACTTACGAACACTTTTAACTGCAGACTGGGAGTGTTATTCTCCTTTATTAATGACTCATTAACATTTATAACTCACACTAGATTATTAACCCACTTTATTAATGACTTACACACACTTAAAACGGCTGACTAGGTGTGCTTTACCTCTTTATTAATGATTTATTAGCATTTATAACTGCCTTATTAGAAAATAACACACCCATGAACATTTATAAATAGATTACCAACATTTACAAGCTGCATTATTACCAAATAAAAACAATAAACACCAGCCAAATGGATTTTTTAACAATGTGACAACCCAGAATTAGTTGTTTATATGCTTATAACGGATCTAAATGATTTATTAACCATTAATAAAGCCATTAACAGTAACTTATAAACCCTTCATACCGGTTGCCTTATTTAAAACAGGTGCTATTTAAAGGATCTAGAAAGAAAAAAGCTCTGACTTCCCACATCTGAGTGTGCTGTTTCTGATATGTGGACATTATTAATAATTAAGCAGGCAGGCTTCTGTCCATGCACACAGGCTGACGACCTGTCATCTATATATACCCTGTAGATCCGAATTTGTGTAAATGTAGCAGCCAGCCACAAATTCGCGTCTTGGGGAGTATGTAGGTGATGACACTTCACCTCCGAGGAAAACATTAAAATCCAATAAAACCCACTAATTGATTTCTGTAGGTTCCAACCTGTGGTGGCTTAATAATTCATGATATCATTTTAATGCTAATAATATGGACCCTGCTAACATATGTTTGATGTTCCCTGGGTTTGGTAATATGTGTTGAAAGATGTTTGTGAGTTTGGTGCACAGAGCTGGAGGCCTTCACAGGATTAAATCCACTGCTTTTGAGTGTTTTTCACTTCTTTTTATCCCCCCACCCTCTCTCTCTTCTAGCTGTTTGGAGAATATGACATCTGTGAAAGTTGCAGGACAGGCTCTCAATGAGGGGGGGCATTGTTCGGCACATCATTTGTCTTCTTTTCAACCGTGCTGCCATGTGTGTGTTAGTCGAGGAGGAGTTTTAGTTTGCAGGGAAATGTGAGGAGAGAGACCCTCAACAAAACAAGCTCCCAACAGACTCCCAACAGACCCGGAGCAAGACTCTGCCACGATGAGGAGATCCAAAAGGAAAAAGTAAGTTTAAAGTTTTTATAAAGTGTTTGGTGACAGAATGTGAAGAGGCGGAGTCAGAGTCCAGAATAATTTAGCATTTATAAGCAGTAGACAATAAGACAGTGTATTATGTGGCTGTAAGCAGATATAAGAGTGTTTATTGGTATTATTGTCAGTAATTATAACTTATATTTCCTATTAAAACTGTGTTTTTACTACATTATAATTGTCTGTTTATACATCCAGCTCCCACTGATGGGTTGTAGTTGTTGACAAACACATTAATAAACACTTATTGTGTTATAAACCATTTATTAAATGTTTACATACTGCTTATAAATGCTAAATAAAGTAAAACACCTGATTATTTTGTGGAAAATGACTTGTGATCTTGTGTTTTTCTTTATTCTTAGTGTGTTTAAATGATATGAATTTGTGTATTTTATTTATTTGCTCTACCGCCCTGTGTTGTCTGTGGGAAATGAAGCTGCTGCCACAGTTTGATTCAACCGTCTTTGGATTAATCTTGAGCAATAAATCCTCTCCTCGTGGACACGTGGGTCCCTGCAGCTAATTGACAAGAGAGGTTGCAGAGCGCTGCATTTGTCAGCAGGCCTGCAGACTGAATGGAGGGATGGAGGTGGAAGAAGAGAGTGTGTATGGGGTGAGGATAGAAGAAGAGGGGTGGTGTTGTGTGTGTGTGTGTGTGTGTGTGTGTGTGTGTGTGTGTGTGTGAGGAGCGTTGGAGATCGCCGTGGTGATGAAGATGGGATGTAAAGTGCAGCTCAGGGATGTTGTCATATCTGAATGATAACTGTGTGTCACCCACTATGGGCCACAGGGATCAGACATGAATTTATATTTATACTGTATGTCTTCATTCAGAGCTCTGACTTATCATGTCGGTCCATCTGCATGCCCCCCCCCCAAAGCCTCCTCCTCCTCCTCTTCTTCTCTGGCTGGCTCGTATATCACAGGACGATTTAGACTTTTTGAAGACAGCGCACTTATTGTCGATTTTCTTTGTATTTATATGGCACCTTTTATAGCACCATATAGGCCATCAGGGAGATTTATGGCGCAGGCGCTGCATATAAGTTACCAGTTTATTAGGCACACTTAGTATCTGTGTTGATGTGCAGTAATTGGGGGGGACAAAATATGAGAAACACCTCTCAAACAACAACAGCCTCCAAGGAAGGTGTCTGAAAACATCTCATGGCCTTCATCCTGTGGAGATAGCTTAGTTGTCGTTGTTATCTGAGGCTGAAAGCTCCTGGAAATTCCCAGTAAGTGGACCTTGAGCTGAGGCTTGAAGCTCAGTGATGCACTGAGCCACCTAAACTGGCAACTGAGTGCACATGCAGACATGTTTTGATCTTTTATATGAAGCTCTTGAGAGACATTTTACTAAAATATGTCTTTAAAATTAAATTAAATAAGATTTCTTATACTTTTTTATAGCACTATTCAGGCTGTCAGTGAGATTTATGGTGCATACACACATGTAAGTTACCAGTTTATTAGGCACACTTAGTGTCTTTACTGATGGGAAGGAATTGGGGAGGACAATAGGAATAAAAACAAGCTTTAAACCAAATCTCATGGCCTTCAGCTATGGAATTAGCTCAGCTGTCATTGTTATCTGAGGCTGAAAGCTCCTGGAAACTCCCAGTAAGTGGACCTTGAGCTAACTGCTATTGAAGCTGAGTGATGCAACATTAGTTTAACCACATAAACTGGCGACATACATACAAAGTTTTTACCTTTTATATGAAGCTTAAGAGACATTTTAATCTTTTAATCTGTAAAATTAAATTAAATAACATCTCCCACACCAGCCATGAAACAAAAGGCTTAAATAACTTTAATTTTTTGGGACATGGAGCCACAAACATCTGGTGGCCACTCTCTATTTCTGTGCACGGCTCAGAGATCAAAGGTTGTTCATTTGCATTAATTAACGCTATACCTAGTTAAATATTACCTTTTCAGAGCCAATCAAAGCGATCGAGCAAAGAACGTGAAGATGAGAGATCAAAGCTGCCGCCAATCGATCGATCCCCCCCCCACCAATGCAGCAGTCTGATGGGTCACCATGTAAACCAAACCAGCTCCTGTCCGGGCCTCATTACAGACTCAACCTCTGCATGGAGACTGTTTAATGGACGCTGCTGCTGCTGACCACTGTCTGTCTCCCTCCTTTAGTGCTTTAAAATCACTCCATCGGATCACTCATTTAAATTAGAAAAAGAAAAATCTCATTACATAAACAAGACGTAATGCACTTGGTATGTAAGTGTGTAAAAGAAATAAATAAAAAAATCAAATAACTGATAGCTTTCTTTTGCCGGAGTAATTTATGGCGTCTCTGGCATCGGTCCTAAATGGGATGTTTGAATTTATTATTACAGCTTTGGACACGTTCCCAGGACGGTTTAAACAGAATAGAGACTGAGCTTGTGTGTGTTCATATAACAGGAAAAATGCGACTTAAATTAAAAACTACAGCAGCTATTTTTAGGGCCACGTTTTAATTCATTCCAGCGGCGGTGTTAACAGGACATTTTCCTTATCTAAATACACTTAAAATGAGCTTCACTGCCAAAATATTTCAGCTTTTCTCTGGCCTCTCATTCAGTCACCTTCATTTTTTATTATTTTTATTTTTTTGTTCTGCTCTAATTGCTTTAAAGATGTAGAGGCAGTCGAGATGTCTTATCTTTATCGCAGAGGCTATTACCATATATGAAAGTGAGCTTGCATGATCAGCACAAACGGCTGAGACATAGAGAGAGCTGACATTGTGTGCAGAAATGCTATGCAAGGGCGGTGTGTGTGTGTGTGTGTGTGTGTGTGTGTGTGTGAGCTGCAGAAAAGAAACACTGTCCACTCTGCTTCACCTCACTGGCATGCAAAGCCACACCATCACCATCAGCATCATCCTATAACGCGGGAGCCGCTTTTTCTCTGTGTGCGGGGATTATTCTAATCTGGGGAGGTTTTTACGCACACAAACAAACACACACACACACACACACACAGAGAGAGAGAGGGAGAGGGAGAGAAAAAAGAAGGTGAGAGGGAAGGAAGCCGGTGTGTTTTGTTTCCGCGAGGATTGTTTCAGTGCGGGATGAATGTGGGTTGTGAAGGTAAGGCAGCCGGGCTGTTGTGCCGCGGACTGGGTTATGTGTCTTTATGATTTACGAGCCTGACTCCAGCCGCGGTTCAACCAGAGTTCATAAAGCTGCATGCCTCCAGACTTTATTCTCTCTCGCTCCTTCTTCTCTTTTATATTTGTATATAAAGAAAGAAAAAGCTGCTTGATGTAATAATTCTGTGTAATTTAATCTTAAATTTCATTAAGATTGCAGGTTTCTTTTATTATTATTATTATTATTGTTGTTGTTGTTGCGTTTTCTCTCTTTCAGTTGTGGCCATAAAAGCAGCTGCAGTGCACAATGGACTCTTGTATTATTTTGCGTTTGATGGATGGGTTTTTTAGCAGATTGTGATATAACATTTAATTTTTCTCCTCGGAAATGTTAAGAGACAGGGGTTATCCATTAGCTGCACACAAGGGCTGTTATTTATTAACAGTTACAGACCTATTAATTCTATTTAAATGTGTTTACTTTTTATATTTATATCGAATATATTTTCTTTTTATGGGCCTATTTATGTTTGGATGTGTAGACTAATTAGTATTATTGTTTGTCGTTATTTATTATTTTTTAAACGAACAAAAGAAAGTCCTATAGGCCTATTTCATAACCTGAGATCATCATATTCCCCTTTGTTTGTATATATTACAACGTAATTAAAAAACAGAAAATGAGCCTTGTTGTAGACCGGTGAGGTTTGCATTAACTGTTGGGGGGTAAAAAATAAGAATTTAATTTAATTTAAACTCAGATTTTACACGATTGTGCTCGAATTCGTTTTTTTAGAGGGTTTATTTGCGCCAAACTCTTAATTTTCCATTGCCTCTCTCGCCAAGAGAGGCTTGCTATTCATGTCAGAATACTATTGAGTTGATAAGATGGATCATGTGGTCTCCTCCCTGATTCTGTCTCTTTTTTCTTCCTGGATCCTCTCAGGCCAGAAGCCCAGGGCTCTCTGGAAACCTGCCATGTGACATTTGGTTGCCAGCGCTCCGTCAGAAGGTCAAAGGGGGCCCCGGTGCACATTTCATGGAAATGCAGAAAGCCAGTGCGACGCACAACGCCCAGCAGCACCACGACTTCTTCAGCGGGTCTCTGGATGGTGTCGGTGCGTTTGGCTGCACCCGGCAAGCGGCCGCACACCAGCAATTGGCGCAAGTGGCGACGTTTGAGCGCACGTTTCCCCGGAGGTCAAAACAGCAAAACCCCAAATTTCCTATGAGCAAAAAGATTTTCCCCTGGATGAAAGAGTCCAGACCCTCAGAGCAGAAACACGGCAGGAGAGTTACAGGTCTGTATGACAAAGAACAGGCAGCAAGTGTTTCCAAATGAGGCCTTTTCATTTGCGTTTCCTCAAACCAGCTCTCTTACGCAGTTAATGGAGGGAAATTAGTTTATAGTTTCTCATTTTCAGGGTTCAAAAGGTCAGGAAGGTATTAATAAAGCTACAGTCAGACAGGCTCAGCTTTTAAGCATCTAAAGAGATAAACAATCTATTTTTAAAGCAGTTTTCCAAAACAAGAACAAGTGACACAGAAAGACTAATTCATTTAGAAATGCAAGTTTATAAAAAATGGGTTTTTAGTGGAGAAAACATCAAGATAAACAGCCACAACCACTTACAACAGAACATACCACATATGAGCTAAACTTAAGTCACCATGTTTGAAATATGTCTGACCTGCTTCCTCCTCTCACTCCATATCAGATACTGTCAAACACACCACAACCTCTAATAACCTCTCACTTATAAACAGTGTGGTTTAACTGATGGCTGGTTTCTCTCACCATAGTGCTGCTGCTTTGAACGCCTATTGTCTGATTCATATTTATTTATTTATCCTTTATTTATTCGGGTTATTTGCTCCCTTTAATTAGCTCTTATGCAGTTAATTAAGTTTATATTTTCTCCTTTCAGGTTCAAAAGGTCAGGTGGCCATTAATGAAGCTACAGTCAGGCATGTAGGAGGAGGATAAACACACCTTGGCTCCGATTTCAGGCTCACATCATTTTCTTTAGGATGGAATTTAAAGAGATAAACAACATTTTTTTGCACTTTTCAAAATAAAAGACATGTATTTATTGAGGTCATTATGCTCATTAATGCCTCTATACTATTATACTATAGTTTAGTCTAATGTGATCAAAATTATATGAATATAGTCAATTAATAAAACAGAAAACTGACACACAGACTCATCACTCAAAGTCATGAATGAAAAGAAGAAAGAAGACAACCTCCCATTCACAGCTTTCACTCAGTTACTCCAACCTGTTCGACCCCTTTTTTTTTTTTTTTTGCTCCACAGACTGCACCGTCAACGAGAGGTGTCCAAGCGCGACCCCGGCCTCCAAGAGGACGCGCACCGCGTACACGAGCGCGCAACTGGTGGAGCTGGAGAAGGAGTTCCACTTCAGCCGCTACCTGTGCAGACCGCGGCGGGTGGAGATGGCCAGCCTGCTCAACCTCCAGGAGAGGCAGATCAAGATTTGGTTCCAGAACCGCAGGATGAAGCAGAAGAAGGACGAGAGATTGCAGGGCCTCACCACCACCACCACCTCCTCCTCCTCACCCCCGTCCTCCCCCTCCGCCCCGGGCAGCCCCACTCTGTCGAGCCTGGGTTATGTCCATCTGGGCGGGGATTACCAGTCGGCCTCCCCTCGGCTCAAGTCCCAACAACACCAGACCCAGGCGGCGTACCCGGAGTACTCCAAGTATCCGGCTCCAGGCTTCACGCACGGCCCACAGTTTAATGTGCAGTACAACAGCGCGCACACAGACCCACATGTGGATCTGGACGGGTTATATTTCCCTCAGAGCTGCACTCAGGACAGAATCATGCAAGCTCCCAAACTGACTCATCTGTAGCAGACAACATGTGAATCCCTTCGACTCTCCACAAAAAAAAAACTTTCCCGTTAATTCATAAAAGGACTTAACTGATCTGTCTTGATGCATGACTATTTCTTTTATTATTATTGATTGGACTAATTGGTCTCAAGTCTTATTTATGCCTATTTATTCATCTTGTGCATTTTTTTTTTATATTTATTGTTGTGTTAACTTTTACGCATGGGCCACTTCTAATCAATTTGTTTCCAGGCAGTAAGGAAAATGCTGTAGCTCAAATTAAAATGTTCGCTGTTGTTATTTCAGCTACATAAATAAAACGCAAATTTGTTGAGATTTCCTCACCAGACTCTTCAGAGTAAATACTCCTCCAAGAGCAAGTATACAAAAAGAAAAGAGTGTAATGGAGCCAAAACGTTGGGAAAAAATGGCAAATTTCACCCCATTTTTTTTGTTCCAACTTAATTAGCACTTGAGGTCTATAACATCACATTAACTCTTACTTAATTAGGGATGAGTGTGGACGTGATAGGCTTAGGGAGATATTACATTATGGTCTTGGTGTCGTTAAAATCTCAAGCACGACAAAAAAGGAAGAAGAAACTAGAGAAAGAAAGGCTATATGGTTCTTAAATGTGTCTTTGTTCTTTTATGGGGAAAGTGGGCCACACAAGCTGTCAATCTTTTAAAAAGAGCGCATGATGGATCACTGAATTCACTGTGCTGCCTTTGAGTCAGAGTCTGTCTGCGGGATTCATGTTGTGGAAAGGCCGAAGAAATGTGTTGGTGATGAGCCAATAGACCTTTTTAACCAAACTTACATTTAGATATATTTATAACTAGTTTTCAGTGTCGAGTTTTCTCTCTCTAACGTGAGAATTCGGATAAATTAATGCACATAATGCAAATAATTACGCCCAAACTGGATACAGGCCATAAATTAAAAAAAGGCTAATATATTAATATAAAAAAATAGACTTTATTACGTTGTATTCTAATTACTTGAATCCCTTGGATGTCACAAGAATGATTTAGCAGTCTATGTAGTAACCTTTAACCTCAAAGACAACAGTAATACATGACGTGTGCCCTATTTTCTATTACTTGGAGGCCTTTAACATAACATTTATAACACTAAATCCATATTATTATTATGGCTCTTGCTATTATAATTCTGTTCCACATATTTGTCCACATTTTTTTTTAAAATGTGTCATTAATTTGTCATTTCGTGCTCCTCTAACACTGTAGCCTGAAAATGTGTCCTGATGTTTGTGTTCTTATCAGATGGATGAGCGCGTTTGATTGAAGCATTTGTCATGTAAATGCGAGCCGTTTGATGGACGAGCCCGCAGACTTGACAGAGTGCTGTAGGTCCTCTGCCATTGGCGTTTAGCGGGTCACATGGTGTGTCAGGAAGGTGATATGAGGGTGGGAGGCAGTTTTACAGCTTTGACATACTACCTAGAAGGTCAGGGCAAAGGGAGCACCGATTAATGACTCCTCAGTCTTGATCACTTCTGAACAAACAATAGACCCAAGTCCAGCATGAACTCCTACTTAGACTACCCCGTGTGCAACCGGGGAGCAAATATTTTCAGTGCCAAGGCCGGATACCACAACTTGAACCATGGATACATGTCGTCCAACTCGTGCGCAACAAGTGATAGTTACGCACCGGACGGGCGCTTAGTTGCTGCAACTTCTGCGCCACACCAGACCCCGAGCCTCCCTCTGCACCACCAGACACACGTTAACTTGGATCTGCAGTTTGCAGCGCCGGGGAACTCCATGTATGGGTCACCCCTGGAGTACGGACACCACCAGTACGGCCTGGCGCCCGAGCAGGACCGGAGCTACATTCATGTTTCACCCCTTGGAACAAACATGGCTCCCTACACCGGGGACAGCTGTGGGCCTGGAGTTGCAACGGGCAGCCAGTATCTACATTTTGGCAACGGGGATCAGAGACTGCAAGAATATCCAGAGAGTGTTTACACAAGGTTACCGCCCCAAAGCAAGGAGAAGGATTTGGACCATGTGGAGGAAACTTCTAAAACATTCGACTGGATGAAAGTGAAGAGGAATCCGCCAAAAACAGGTTTGTTCATCTTCATCTCAGACAGATTTGATAATTAGAGCTGGGAGTGGTTTTTAGAGAACCCATGAGACCTCTGGAGGTAATATTGACTCCCAGTGCGTAAACCGTGCGTAAAAACACAATTCAGCTGATGTAATAAAGTGTTTTAAATTGCTCTGAAAAAATTTAATCGGCAACTAATGTTCTGTATTTGTTTCTATCCATTCGTCACATGTTTCATTCATATCTAAAGGCCATGCTTCAGGCTCCACCACTGTCATGTTTTTCCTCCATCATCAACTCATCCATTTCTCTCCACAGCGGTCCTGTCGGAGTTCGGGGTTCCCAGCCAGCACAACGTAATCCGCACCAACTTCACCACCAAGCAGCTGACCGAGCTGGAGAAAGAATTCCACTTCAACAAGTACCTGACGCGGGCGCGGAGGGTGGAGGTCGCCGCCAGTCTGGAGCTCAACGAGACGCAGGTGAAAATCTGGTTTCAGAACCGCAGGATGAAGCAGAAGAAACGCGAGAAACTGGGCGGCGGTTTGATCAACAGCCCGGCACCTGTGGAGAAACTCTCCGGGCCTGACACCTCTCCAAAGGGAACGGGGAAAGATTGTGAACCATGATTTGACTTTAAAAAAAAAAGAAAAAAGAAAGACTGTTTGGGGGGGGGGCTGAGAATTTCTCCACTTCTTTCCCTCAGTCGCACCATTCCTGAAAAACTGTGAAAAATGCATGTGGACTTGTGAAGTATATACAGGGTCTGTCTGTGTCTGCTGATTATTGTGCATCTATTTCTGAATGAGAATGAGAAACTTTTTAAAAAATGTCTTGTCATTCCTTCCTGTGTTTGAAACCTTCCTATCATAAAAGCCCATGCAATGTTTTTGTGTTGGAGCACTGAAGAGTACTCAGTGTCATTGTTTGCACTATTTATTTACAGGGTATTTTCCAACAAGTGTTGAGATGATTTAGCTTAATAAAGTCTATCAAATGGAGAAAAAAAACAAGTGTTGTATTTGCTGTTGTAAAAAAGAGGCTGTAATGGATGCTGATAATCCCTGATTAAGTCCTATCCAACTTCTACTTTTGATACAGAATTTGCTCCCTTTGATGAAGTCTTTTCCTATTTTTCCAAAAAAAATATATGTATATAATAAATTGTTCTAAATATGAATGTTTCTGAATCGCATTACAAATTCTTTTGCTATATATATATATTTCCATTAATAGTCTCAACTCAAGTCCCCCTTGCATAATGTGACAAGAGGAATCTTTCACAACACATGGGGTGGTTCCCAGCGACCTTTTCACCCTCAAATACCTCCAGGGGCTCTAAACATGACAACAAACTCCAGGGAGCCAGGTCTCACCCTTGATTTGTTACCCAAATTCTGCTCGGATACAGCTGACACAGGTTGCAATGACATCCCACTCTTATTTTACATAATTTGAGTTAAATACTTTTTCATTAAAACAAACCACATTTTTAGAAGTAAGCTGATAATTTGACACTTCAACGCTCATTGTGGTTTCACCTTAAGCTCAACGTTTGCCGGACCTGACCACCTAGTTTCATCTGAGGGGTAAGAAGGGGCAGCAGGTTCAATATTTGCACTGGGTGTTGGGTTTGCGCACACAGTTTCTGCCCCAGCAGCACTGGCCTGTTGGTGCCCTTTTTTCCTAAAGCTGAGGTTCACACAGAGTTCAGGAACAAATGAATGCAGAGTCAATCTGTCAAGACACCAGAGTGGCTTGGAAGAAGTCAACTCTAAGACTCTCGTGCTTTAGATTTTTTGCAGGTATTGCCTTTAATATTTGGAGTAAAGTAATTATAGAGGGCATTTAGTCGATGTTCTGGTTTGTGCAAACTAAAAAACTGTTCTAAGTTTCTGAAAAAAGATGCTTGTAGGAAATGGAAATCAGCAATCATTTGAAATATATCCGCATGAGTATGCAGTTCTCTCACAACTATATTAAAAATTAATACAGTTCCACTAATAGAAGTTACAGTTGAAATACCATACGGCCCATTACTGTAAATTAGAAAAGGGGCTGAGAGGTTTGTTGTCATGCATTTCTTAAGCCAAAAGCTTCCTCTTCAGATGAGTCACAAGGCCAAGGACTGGGGGAGGTGACAATCGATATGGTGAATAGTGACGGATTCAACAACAACAATAAAGGGGGCACGGTGTAGAAAACAAGTGTGGGACTTCATTCCAGAGGTGTGATCCCTGCCATCTCTGTAGGTAATACCTCAGCGCTCCCAGCGGGCTCTCCATCTGGAGGTGTCAGAGTCGGTGCTGCAGCCAACACCAGCAGAGACAGATGTTCAGCTGGGGGAAGAGGAGGAGGATATTTTTGCCCTCTTTGCCTTCTGCCGGAGAATGTAGGGCAAGGAGAGGAGAAGAGCAGAAAATGGTTAATGAACACTATGGTTACAAAAATAATCAAAAACTCCACAGCGTGAACACCCGACTGCACAAACATGAGGTCTATTGATGGATACAGCAGCCAACCCTCTTTTACTCCTCAGATATCTTGCACATCTTTAGCCAGCCCCCTCCGCCTCCCCTTCCCCTCCGCACTTTGTTTGAGGTCAACCCAGTGCTGTTTGTACCCCATGCTGCTTGCAGTTGTTGCAGGCTCTTTTACAAGTCTATTGCCAGGCTCACTTCCTTGGTTTTCTACCAGTTCCTCTGTCGCATGTCACTCTGCAGGGTCCCGAGGCTTCAAAGGGAAACTAGATACAGTATTCATGGGAAAAGGGAGGGGGTTGGTCATCTAAGAGATACCACAGAGGAGTCATTTTCATTGGCAGATATCAAACACAGCTATTTAGGTTTAACGTCGTTTATCTATCACATATACAGTACGTACTCTAGTAGGCTGACAGGACACACAGGAGATAAATGGAGCAGTGAAGGAGCATCTGTTGGAAGTGCAAGAGAGAAATTTCCATTAAACTGAGCCATATTGGCAATATTTATAAATATAAAACATATCAGACCTTTTCAGGGACAGAACGATAAAGTCGTATGTCCGTCATTGTCCCTGGTGTTTTTATTACGGTCCACCAACGTTTATCAAGATGGAGAAAGGACATTTCACGACAGGCCAAAGAAATACCGCAACAAACGATCACTTTTTTGTTATCGATTAATTTGCAGTTTATTTTCTCGATTAAATCATTTTGATTTGTAAAAACGCCAGAAAAGAGCAAAAAAAAAGACAAATCACAATTTCCTAAAAGTCTTGTTTTGTCCAAAATGTAAAAAAATACTCAATTAACTATGTAAAAATGAAAAGCAGCAAAGTATGTCACTTAAGTTTGACATTATTAACAATTTTAATGAAAACTATACTTTTAAAGCACTTTTTTAAGAACATTAATTTTTTTTTTTACCAATATTAAAGTTATTGTTCATCCTTGTGGAGAAATGTTGCCTAGTTATGAATGGCACACTCTTCCTTTGTTGTGGCACTGAGGATCTTTTTAGCCCAGACTGGGAGAATCTTGACAACCATCCCCCATCCCAGTCAGGCTCTATTGGATCTGGAAGCGCCAGCCGACCTGAAGCCCCAGCCTCCCGGGTCCCCCTTGCTACTGCATCCTTTCCCCACTCCATCAGCATAGTAACTGAGAGAGACAAGTGACTTGGCCAGGGTTAACGTCTTAATACTCCCTGGGATTGCCTCCAGGATCCAAATGGCTACCCCTAATAGTTTTCCTCCTCCGTGTGCCTGTCAGACCGCCATGACTATATGCCGTAAGAAAAACAAGACTGGCTGAGAGGCAGAGTAACGAAGCAGCACGATGAAATAATGAGGGGTGGTGAGGAAAGAATAGAGCGGCCGTGAAAACGTTTGGTGTAAAGATGCGAGGTCGGAAGTGATGCTCGCCTGCTCGGGGACTGAGCCGGGATACTTTGCATGGAGAGCCTGTACACTTGAAATTAAACCGGCTTCTTCCCTTAGAGCCCAGGAGGAGGAGGTGGCGGTGGTTGGGGGGGGGGAACCAGAACTCAATCAGTGTCACGTCACATGGTTCAAAGCGGCCAATTCGATGCTGCCAAGAAGCTGAGAAATGCAAGGTGACAGTTCATTTTACCAGTGACAGTGTGTCGGTCTCGCTTGCTGGTTCCCCAGTCAATTCCCAGCGAGCAGTGAAGGTTGAGCGTTGCTGTAGACAGACAGCAGCTCCCTCCCTCCCTCCTCCTCCTCCTCTTCCTCACTACCACCACCACTCTCTCATCGACCCCGCTCTGCTTTGTATTCCAATTAACTGGACAGAGGGAGAGGCGGCGGTGTGCAGGATCACAAGCGCAGGCAGACACATTTTCTTTCTGGCGTCCTTCCAGTCTCTCAATCCCAACACTATCAATAGCTCGGTGCTTTCCCCTTCTCCCTTTCCTTTCCTTTCCTTTCCCCCTTCTCCTTCTCTCCTTGGCTTATGACAAGGGCCAGTTGTTCCAAGGGGGGGGGATAATTCATAGATTCTTCTTTAACAACTGCCTCTAGGGACAATGTCCTGGTAATGAAAAATAGGTCTCTCTCATACATTCATACATCACACGTAATAGAGGTGTGCAATCACTCAGTTGAGTCAACGCACGGCGAGCTGTAACTGCTATCCTTAACAGACACCTCGAATAATGCTGAATTAATATTTTGAAATGGCTCATATATTCTAACATAATACAATTTGAATGATTTTATATTCAACGCTCACAGGGCTAACATTGATTTGAGTACAAGCTGAGGTATCCCTCCACCCCACACACACACACACACACCCTTCACCAAGTCAGTCAATATGTGGCCAACTGAAGGTTTGTAGATTTAGCACAACACATTTGCTCTTCTGTCTTTTGTGTCCTCAATCTATCATCACTTTTTTACCTCAGCGCCACCAAAGCACCCCCCCCTTACACTGACATATGTTTGAGCAATGGGTGGGTTGGGAATACAATGATTCTGAGGAAATCCGAAAAGTAAACTTACCTCTTTTTATCTCCTCGAGCAACACAAACATTTACAACAGAACCTCTTAAGAATCAAAACCAAACACCTTCTTTTATTTTAAAATCAAGGGGGTTTTTGAATGTGCTGTGACATGTTTAATTTAGCCCGACCACTTGAGATATCTGCCGTTGGAAAAAGGTGACACCTATTCTTACAGGGTGATTTATGCCAGTGTGTTTTAAAACAAATGGTAATAGTATGATCTGTAACTTTAATTTTTTAAAGGTTTTTTAAAAAAGAATTTCTCATTTGGAGCGTAAACATGCCCTTCAACCACAGCACTTCCTTTTCTGAAATAGAGATAAAGACAAACAGAGCCTGAAAGACAGGCATGGGTGCTTCACTATTTGCCCCTCTGGACTGCAAAAGAGTTTCTACCTAGCTTGAGAATGTGGTTTTGTGTGTGTGTGTGTGTGTGTGTGTGTGTGTGTTTGCAGGACAGGATGCACACACACATTCAAAAAGACACACCCTTCATGCCCTGAGGATCCTCCTGACTCTCTCTCCTGGGCTCTATCAGATCAGAGGGACCCGCTGTCCCTCCCCACACCGCAATGCAAATGAAAAGGAATGCGCTGATAAAAGGCCAGATCCTAAAGATGAGAGGGCAGAAGGAGGACAGAGGCAGCGAAATGCTAAAGGGGGAGGTTGGAGGTGGGAGGGGGAAGAGAGAGAGCCTCTTGGGGAGATGAGAGGTGGCGGAGGAGTCAGTGTTGGTAGTAGCGGGAGATCATAGCCTTGCTCCCCCTCGGCGGCGTTTGATACAGGGCTTTTGTCGCTCTTTCAGCGGTGCATTGTTGGGTGGTGTAATCCCCGTCGGATTACAAAGGGCTTCCCTTTTCATATGGGGCTCACCCAGCAGGCAGGTGGCTGGGGCTCTGTGGAGCTGTCAAGGGGAGGGAACCTCTTTTCCAGGGGGAGGGGACCCCCAGTTCCTCTTACCTTCACAGGGGCTTTTTTGCTGGGAGGCCAGTCAGGCGCAGGTCAACATGGGGACAGTTCTGACATGGGATTCAACTCGCCCTGACCCCGTAGGCTTCCTGTAGAGAGGTGACAGGGGGAAGGAGAGCGTCACGAAACAGCGTGAAATACTGAAAATTATTAAAATATGAATATGTACTGAAAGGAAACTGCTGCTTTTATTATAAAATAGTTATATTTAATAGTAAAAATGCAACACAGGGTCATTTTCTACTTAAGTTTAAGACCTAGAAAACATTTTTTATGATTCAAAATGTTGCATTAAGACTAATTTATGTTAAAATACTCCTGAAATAGCATTTAATGTTGTGTACGTGTCTGTGTGATGTTGCCCGGGATATTAAATAATTATCTTGTGAGCTTGAACACACACTTCTCTCTTTTTTTTTAAACAGGAAGACAAATATAACATTAGTCCAACATAGTCTAGATTGATATCCGGTGGATTCTGTCGATGTGAGCAGCGTCTGAATGAGCTTCGGTTTCCTGATGGCTTTCCTTGCAGTGTTTCAGTAATACAGGATCAATAAGACCATTGTCAGGCCCACCGCTATTTCTATTAGTATTACTGCTGCTACCAATATCTTCTCTTACAATAATGTCAACCGTAAAAGCCCAGTCCAGTCCATCCCATTGCTGTTCACCCTCTACTGGTAATATAAACCACTCATCCGTGCCCTGTCAGATATAGTGAGGGACCAATTTAGTGATGCTGCATTTAAGTGTTAGTCAGAAATAACCTAATTAGTTGAAAGCTTAAATCAAAAAGACCCATCAGCAAGTGTAATTTAAACAGTAAGAGAATTTCTGATAGCCCAATCTGACACAATGTGTTATTCATGGTGAAGAAAATGTTAATTAAACATTTTAAAATTAGTAATTAAGCCTTCGCTGTTATATATCTTATTGTTGTGTGATCTTACGAAAACATCAGTTTCCTCCCCGTGGATACGTATTTTCTAATCTTTAAGTGCAAGGCAATTGCATACCACTGGATTTGTATTACAGGATAGCATTACAGGTCCCCATTAAGTTATTATTTTCATAACAAGGCTGTAAAGGCACTACTTTGATTTAAAATAGACTTTTTTAACAACAGCGATGACACGAAATAATAGGTGTTACCAATGATACTAATTAATTAAAGGTCAAATAAAGTCAATGTGCTGCTGTTATGCATTTTGACTCATTGGAAAGGCTCTGCTACACCTGTAATTACCCTACTATTTCATGTCAAATTGGCTGCTGTGAAAAAGGTCAATTTCACAGCTTCTACGATGGTGCTTTTAACACAGCATCTGCACAAAATGTAAATTAGCCAGTTAACCCAGTGTACATTAAAATAAAACACGAATCTACACTAATATCTACCTTCTTGTCAATGATGTTGAATAAACGTAGTTTGTGAACAATAAAATATTAAACTAATATTATAATAAAAACATAAACATGGCAACTCTGATTTACGATTTTACACCTTCATTAACCAATTGGGAGAGTATGAGTACTTGAATGCATCACCCGTGCAAAAGTCGTGGTATACATTATAAAACTAACTTTTTATTGTTTGACAATAAGTGATAAATATATATATACTTACACAGAAACACTGTTGTTTGAGGAGGAACGTCGGCTGCCTTCAGAGGCCAGGTAACAAAGCTAATGAAGCCATTAAACGTTAGCTAACCGTCAACTAACGTTAAATAACGGCCTCCTTAGCAACAGGTTAGCAACAGGTTAGTGTGACCTTCGTATTAAACGGTAAACAATGACTTCACTTGTGACTTGTGATGCAGGAATAACAGACAAAAAGGTGTTTTAAAGTATTACTTTATTGTATTGTTATTTGTTTCCCCACAGAACTGGGACATAAAGCAGTCACCACTGTTTGAGACTCTCCACCTTTAATTGTGGAGGATTATTTAACTGACTGGCCACAATCAGGGGTATTAAAAAGGCGTCCAGTAGTGTGCTCTGTTGGTAGTGTTTCATTACATAATTATATTTATTTCAACTGTGTTAGTTTGGTTTTTCCAGAGCATGCAGCCCGGACCTTAAGGTTTGAATAGCGCTTTTCAATTTAAGAAACTCCTAAGGGGAATCCTGTTTTGCTGACAAGTATTGTGTGTGTTTTTTTTTAATAATGTGGTACGTTATTGATCCCGTATTGGGAAATTGTCTGTTTTCTCTTTGCACTTTGCAGGGAGGTCAAGCAAAAGATCAGGAGCTGGCAGGGATTCACCGTCCCCCAGTCCCGAATGCTCGCCAGCTTGGATGTGTGAGCCCAGATCATGTGGTTGAAGGTGTTATCAAGAGGATTTTAGCTTTATTTGAAGCACTTGTTGGCCACTTTTACAAACTTACAAACTATTATGGCACAGATCCACATATATACAAAGTAAAGCATACAAAGAGAGGCAGAGATACATGTTATTTCAGCAGCAGACACCAAAGTTTCCATACCTACATGTACATAAGATTTGCGTTGTTTTCTTACATAGTAAAAGTAGACAGTGTACAGGATCGGGGCTCCTGCTCAGGCTTCCTTTGTGACATTGTTATTGTAGATGAGACAGTGGGGTTTTCCTCAGCTTCAGTCAAACCTTGTCATCACCCCTCGACCGAGAAACTAGATTTCAGAGGAAGTTGTCATCTGCATACCTGCTCCACCCCATTTTGTGCAAATCTAGATGCATGCACGGAAGTTAGGTTTCAGAACGAGAGGACACAGGTGGTTAGATGCTGTGCCAGTTTGCCTGTGAGTGTGCGCGCCAGGCTTTTGTTCCTGTCATGAAGGCTGGACGTACGTAGGCTGCCTTGTGGAGTGAAAAACAAAGTGTGAAGGGCCAGAAAAAAGTCTTAAAAAAGTACAGCGAAACCAAAGTGTCTCGAGTTGGACAGGTGAAATCCAGGGATGGGGACAATCCCGAACGACATCAGGAGGCTTTTGGATGGTAACGTCTTTATATTCTACTGTAATAATGCTTGTTTTAAAGAGTACAGTTATATTTATTTAAGTCTTGTTATGAAATAATAGTGTAACCTTGGAAATATAGTAAAAGCAGGCACGCCCATCACAAAAAAAACATATTTAAAATGTACAAATCACACGATTCTACTAGTTTTGAACACCTAAACAGTTAAGTGACAGCCTATAAAAAAATTATATTGTGTTCACAGCTTTCTTTTAATTCTTTATTTTATTGCTCAGATAATTCTTGCACTTCGTTGTACAAACAAAAGCAACCACCCTCTCTGAGTGATATCCTGTAACACGGTGGCACTGTTGGCATTGACTACATTTGCATGTACCGCCGGGCCTTTGGAAGAACATTTGCATGTGTCGGTACGTTCGTGTAATTTGGAAGTGAGGACAGAAAGAAATTGATTCAGATAAGTGGTGTGAGCCAACCTGTTTCACAAGCATTGGTCTCCCTTCACTGAATAATATCACGATGACTTAAAATCAAGGTTGCAGTTCAGTTCAATGACATGGTGGATGAAAATTATTAATCATAACTACTTCTTTCTACAGACGTTTTGAAAATGTGACGTCTTACCTCTGACTTTGGATTTCATTTTCACAGATCAAGTCACACGAAAGAGTAGTTTTATGTTTTTTAAGGCCTCAGAAGAAGCAATGTAATAGTGAAACTATAAGCAGCTTAAATATTTAATCGCTTTAGAAACTAATTTGGAATATTTTAAAGACTTTTTCATTAATTAGCGTCAGTGAGACCTTATTAATGTATTTTATGGGCATAAAGCTCTACTCGTTTGTAAAGTAGAAGCACTGACCTGAGACTTGTGAATAAGAAACCAGGATAAAATCCAAAGTCATGTGGATTAAATGATCAACAATATATGTATAAAATCAAGGTGGTTGTGTTGTAATGCTTTATATTGTACAGGTTTTGTGTTGCTGTACGAGTATAAAGTGACAGAACAACTTCATTTGAGAGATAAAACACCACACAGCAGTTCTTAAACATAGCAGACTTTTATTTTGAATGTTATACCTCAAGGTCTTCATATTGAGTGACCATCAGACAGATTGAACTGAGATCTGCAACACCTACATGTGGGACTGTTTAAGTACATAATTTGAGTAAAAGATGAGGTTTCTGTCTCTCACAAACATTATAAACCTCTGTGTGTGTGTGTGTGTACATCCTTACAATGTTTTCTCTTCTCTTCAGACTGCGAGCTGTTTGTTGCAGATATCCTTCAAGATGAGGACCTCAGTGAAAATGCCCAAGAGACTCGAAAAGTCTTACTGAATAACTTCAGGGTCGTCCACATAAGGTAAGATTTTACCTCAAGAAGCAGTGTTAAATCATTGGGGAGAGGCCACAGGAAGCTGCTCGACTAGTCAAGTGTCACAACGTAATTTCACGACACCATTATCTGACTTTTTGCTGTTAATACAACAGAAGAAACCTTAATTGTTGCTGTAATTGGTTTAAACACAGTTTACAAAATTACATTTAAAGGAACTCATTTAGTCTAATGGTGTCACCTTCAAGACTTTCTTGCGAGGCGTTATTGCTCTCATTTATTGTTATTAAAAAGTTTTTAAAGATCTCATAGAATAATCTGTTTCGATCAGGATCATTTAATCTTAATATCATTTCCAAGCATAACGAACAGTCCATGAACCCCCCCCCCCCCAAAAAAAACAACTGAAAGTCTAGTACGAAGTGTGATAGTTTAACTCCGGAAACTACTCCACTGGTGTTGCCTGCACTGCATGATAAGAGACGCATGCTCTGTGGTTTTGTGGTCTTCTGTGCAGGAAGTGATTACTGAATTTTTGAGAAGCAATGCTGGAGCTGTTGCCTGAGAAATTAAAGCACAACAAACTTTTCAATTCAGTGCAAAACATTTTGATGTATGCCTATTTTGATTTTACAGAAACCCTGAAGAATTCCCCTTTCCGTGTAAGTACAATTACCCTGAAGAGTCTCTATCATCATAGTATCACATACTGCTGTATCTACAGTGAGTGGTTTCTGCTGAGTGTGTATATGTGTTAGTGACAGGTTTATCACATACTACTGAAAGTTAAGTCTTAACACTTTACTCACTCACTCCTGTTTGCTTTATCTCTCTCTCTCTCTATGTCACACACACACACACACACACACACACACACACACACAGCGGACTATAGGGAGGAAGACGGTTCTGATGACAACCGCAGCTCCAGTCTCGGCCGCTCTGTCCAATCAGACGACGCCTCATTAGCCTCTGACAACCAGGATGATGGAGGCCCTGAGTGTAAGTTAACAATAGTCGTGATTCTGATTCCCTGTGTGTGTGTGTGTGTGTGTGTGTGTGTGTGTGTGTGTGTGTTAGAGATCTTTGTCATTTGCGCAGTGCAGAGATCTGACTTCATAAGAGACCTTCATAACATCAGTTTTAAAAAAAAGGATTTTTTGGTTTTGACCAGCAGACATTAATATGTATGATTATATGTGGCTTACATAAGTTCACACCACCTGGTTTAACCCACAGCAATGCAGTGACATTTTAACCCCTAATAATAAGACGTACACCTCTATACATACAGTGTGCGAGGGATTCTGCACCGACAAAGAAAAGAGGTACAGAGGAGGAGTCGGTGTCACAGGAGACAATGCGGTATTCCTCTGAGAAAACTAACGAAAATGCAGTTTTGACACACTACCCCTCATCAGCCTCCCTGGCACACCTACACTTCACCACAGGAAGCGCAGTCAGAACCCCTTTTGCTGTATATTGTCATTCGCCCTCTTAATTTGAAAAAACAGACCACATCTGTGAATTCCCTCCCTCCCTTCCTCCTTCCCTGGCCTCCTACCTTGCTGCCTGGCTCCGGTGACATCAGTGACTCCTCCTCCTTCTCCTCTCACTCCTGGCCAGTGTGCCAGGTAGGCTGTCCTGGTGCCAGAGAGAGAGAAAACAAAAAGGGGGCTGGTGGTTTCACAAAAGGTCCGATTGGGGACCTAGAGCTCCCTCCAGTGGCGGTTCCTCCTCTCCTGATCTGTCCCCTTGAGCTGTGTGGACTGTGGGAGGCATGGAGGCCGGCCCACACAGAGAGGAGGCTTTGTAGCTGCAGGCTAATGCAGTGATTTATTGACCCCGAGCCCCCTCTATTCTTTCACAACCGGGTTTGAAATACAACACTGTACCTGAGGGGCCATGTGTGTTCCATCCCTCTCTCCCTTTATCAATCTTTCTCTCTATCTTCCTTTCCCGGAGTTGCCCTCCCTCCTGTTCAGACTTTTTTTGTATTTCTGACTCTATGCGCCGGCTAATAGCCCTTGACGTGACATGCCGCAGGTGGGCATTATTGACTCGGCTGCCTCAGGTGCCCATCTCAGCCCTGTCCTTTATTTCTTCTCCAGCTCCTTTTTTTTCGTGAAGTAAAAGCTGGAATCGTGGAATTTCCCCAATAAGACAAAAGAATATGTTGTCGCCGGTTTAATGCCAGCTGGAAGTATTCAAAACTGATCTCCTTATTTGGAACTGGCTTAATGAACTCTTCCGTCCTCTGCCCACAGAAGAGTAACTGCCGTCTTTCTCCACAACTTTGGAAAAATAGAGTAAACAAATCACGGCAGATGGTGGAAAGACAAGACCACGAGACAATGATAGTTAATTTTTTGGGGGGAATTGTTCATTTTAGAATAAACAAAGCGAGATTTCCTTGGGGAAACAAACAAAATCAAACTATAAAAAATGCTTAAAAAATTTCCCTTACGGCTATAATGGTAACACGCCCAACAACAAACTACGCCGTCTGTTACTGTGGATGCGATTGTCGTTAAAGCACGAACGTTGTGTCACGCCATTGTTGGCGTTAAATGTGAGAAATAGCCAATTATGCAGCACTATCAAAACCTTTTTTTTTTTTTGTTCTTTCATTTGCATTTTTGCTTTGAATAAACAACTACATTTTATTGTTGGATCAATAATCATAACATTTTGATTCTGTAAGAAAAAAATCTGTCTTTTTATTGCTGGGAGACGGCGACCATGTTAGCGTAGTGAATGGCCTGTGTCCTCACTAAGAGGGCATGTGGAGTTCATAGTTCATTCTCTGTTCACTGCCAGTTGAAAGAAATGGCTCACACGTTTTCTGCTGGGCGGTCTTGATTCAATGGAAGAGGGAGTGTTTGTGGAAAATAATGGCATGACCACTTAATGAAATCAGTGTTTGGTGGAACAATCATCCACTGCGACGATTTAGGTTTATTTGAATTTCCTCTTTTTTCTTAACTCTAACCTTTTGTTGCATAAATTAATGATAATATTCTGATTTAGTGAAAAGTGTAAGGACGAAGGTAGAAGAGTTTTTCTCTCTCTCTCTCTCTCTGTCGAGTTTAATCGTATCATTTTATTGTAGCCTACTGTATACAATAGAGACTTTGTGACTTGGAGAATGTATTATCCGTGGTAATCGACTGCCTGCCTTCGCTGCTCTCTGTTCCCTAACCAGAGAGTGAGTGAGTGTGAAGTCGATGGTTGCTTTTTACACGCGGGAGGAGCCTGTGCCGTTTGATTAGATGCGGTGGCCTGTTGTCTTCAGCGGACTGGGTGACACCAGATTTGTAATGGCTGACAGGAACAGATGGAGCCTCCATTGTTAGCCCGGGTGTCTGCATGGTAATGTGAACTGAGTTTCACCCGCCGACCGCACCGGTGACCTGACCGCGCCTGCAGCCTCACCCCAGCCTCGTCTGCCCCCCTTTCAGCACCCTCAAGCTCTCTCTTTTGCTCTGCTATTTGGGGCTCACACACATTTTTTTAGGGAATTTGTTTCACTCCCTCCGTCATTCCAGTACATTTTGCATACATAAACAAATATATGCAAAATTTTCTCCCTCTGCCGTGTAGAATCCACTTTAACACACGCAGAAATAGACCCCAGGAGACAGCCGTAGATGTGGGGGCTTTTAGCCCTGTCATGCTGTTTGCAGGTCAAGTTTACGAAGTTGAAATGGCCTGTTTGTTTTTCTTTGATTGGGGGAGCACCGCTGGGCGCTCGGGGATGTTTGCTGGGAAGTTGCAGCGATGACAGAGCACCACCGCAGGAAGAGCTTTGTTTCAGGAGGTCGTGATCGTAATGATTCTTGTATTGTGTACCATAAAGTCTGTGTAGGTGTGGATTCATTTATACACAGAACGTTATTTTCTGACATACTCGGGGTCACTTTTTCGGTTTGTTATTGAGTATCTTATTATCATTTACTGTATATAATGTGGCATATGTTATAAGCATTTCCATTTATAGTAAATATCTTGGAGATCATTTAATTTGACATATAATCGGTCATTCTTTTGTTTATTTTCTCGATTAATCAATGAATAATCTGGTTTATAAAACAGTGAATAGTGAAAAATATCCCTTTTAAATTGCTTGTTATCAGTTTACTGTCACATGAGCTGAAACTAGGGAGTGTTTGACATTTTCTTTCTTGAAAAACTATTAATTAATTATTAGTTTTAGCTCTAAAGGCACGTATGCTCTGTTGTGTAGGCCTATTTAAAGAATACAGGAATGTGACCCCCTTTTCAGTGATTACAGTGCCGGCACAATTTCCTAAACCAATTACTTGCAATATAATGCAGTAGGATAACCAATTTGAAGTTATGTCTCGCTGTTGCCTATTTCTCATTTGAATATGAGCAGCCACACAGTAACAACATTATTACACGCTGCTGGTAAATAGAATATTAAATCTAAATTTTGTCATTTTGGCTGAAGCTCCAGAAAGCTATATAAAGTGAAGTGCTTCTGAAGGTGCACGCCCGGGTCTCTTGGCTGGTGAAATAGGAGGGGGGGAATAACCGATGCCAGCTGACGGATGGATGCTTCATTAGGGGGTTAATCAGCAATGTTTAAGGCGCCAACTGGCCCCTCGTCTGAAGTCAAATTAAGTCGTGGAGAAAAGAGCAAGTTTGTGGGCGCTTCACATTTAAAGAACGAGAGACAAAAAATGTTGAAGCGCTGCTTAATAAATCACTCACACTCACTTTTACACACCGCACCTGGACTAGTATTTTGGGTCTTGCATAGATGACCTCCTCGCAGGTTTGTCGGCCTCTGGTCGTCCTGTCTGAACTTTTGACCTTTTTGGCCTCTTGCTTGGCCAACCTGTGACCTGTCTGCTCTCCGGTCCAGAGCTTGTGTGTGTGTGTGTGTGTGTGTGTGTGTGTGTGTGTGTGTGTGTGTGTGTGAATGATCGTTCCCTTTCCCCATCACAGAACGCCCATCGGTCGTGAAGTTTCTTTGGACTCTTGCAATAGCCATCTACTGTATCTATCCCGTCAGAATTTCTGCCTGGAGATTAATTCTTCACCGCGTTCATCGGCGTATGGATTTTGTGACATTTAGATAGCGGCTGCTAGTTTGCAAGGAAGCGAGGGGATATGTTAATGACCTCCAGTCTTCCTAATTCTTCTTCTTCACTCTCCTTTCCTTTCCTCTCTCAGTTGCTGGCCGTGTGCTTCTCTAGAAAGACACATACACACACACACACACACACACACACATTACGAGGCAGGAGCAGGCTCTGTGTATCTCTGCGACTGCTTGCCACCAGGGTTCAAAAGTTCACACTATTCCCCTAGGGCTACTGTGCTGCTGCAGATGCTGATAGTCTTTTTCTCTCTCTCTCTCTCTCTCTCTCTCTCTCTCTCTCTCTCTCTCTCCTCTCTCCACCACCACCGGCTGCCTTTCTCTCCCTCTCTCCCTCGCTGTTTACACTATTAATCTTGTACACTCTCTCTCACACACTCACTCACACTGCCTGGCAAGAAGAGAGCGGCTTGAAGGGGGGATTTGGACGTATTTAACCGAAGGGCATCCATCACTCTCATCTCCGGCTTCACCCCCACCAAAAAGCCACACGGTGTAGTTTTTGCATCCTCCCGTTTTTGCAAGCCCCTCTGATGCAGCTTTCCCCTCATTTGCTTTGTTTTATTGTTGCATTGCATATAATTACATCCCTCCGTTGCCTCCGGTGTAGTGCCGTGTTGAAACCCAGGGAAAACAGGCGAAGGTAAATGTGCGGCAGTCCATCTGTAAAGAGGCACATAGGCAGAATGCAAAGTGGGAAGCTGGGGCAGGGTGGCTCCTAATCTCCCCCAGAGCTGTCAATGTCACAGACAAATAGCAAAACTATCAGATGCGGCGGGTTCACCCAGAGGTTAGCGTTCCCAGGTACCTCCTGCATTCACTCCCTCTCTTTCTCTCCCCCCTTGCCTTTGCAAATGAGAATTTGATTTTGCCC